TGTGGGATGTGGAGTCGAGGTTTGCCCGTGGCAGCCATGGTGCCATGGTACGGAGTATCTACCGTATCTAGGGGCTCTGCAGTTGCAGGCCGTGTTCGGCACCTGCCCACCCTGGAAACCCAGCCCGGGGCCTGCGCGCGATGCTAATGCTGATGCTGATGCTGAGGAAGAAAGGCAGGGTGCAGGCAGGGGAGGGAGGATGTGCCAGTCTGGACGTGAGGGAAAGGGAAAGAGGGAGCCATCGCATCGACATGCTCGACTGGAAGGAGCCGAACACGACTCTGCGCTTACTCTGCGTTGCACTTGCACTTGCACTTGCCCTGGCACTTGCGCTTGTATTTGCGTTTGCGTTTGAATTCCTAATAACCAGCCAACTCTATCGGAGAAGGCTTCTTTCTACATATAGTATAATACATGGTAGTCTAATTATTGGCCTACCACGGTACCACAAACGAGGACGTCAACGTCTGTCTGTCTCTAATTTTAGGAACCCCCCGCGCGTCATTCCCACTCTCAACCAGGTTGACAAGCCCTACGAGTAATCTATCACCGACAGAGGCTTGCCATCGGGATGTTTTTTTCTGGAAGATGATGCTGTGCGCCGGACAGCGGGTACCACACAGCTCAGCCCAGCCCAGTCCAGTCCAGCCCACCACAGCCCACAATTTGGTAGCCCAGCAGCTCAGTGCGTGCGTGCGTACTCCCCTGCAACTTGCCCCATACCGCGCCGCCGTGCCAAAGCGGGCGGTGACGACAAGGACCAGCCCCTCGTCCCCCCTTGTTCTCAAGGGCTCCATCTCCATGGTCATGCCCGCCCAGTATCTGGGGCATCTGGGACGTTGACAGCCGATGCATTATTATTATCAAACTTTCCACGCTCGTCCATCCAACGCCCGCCCGGCTGGCCTGCTAAACATGACACGACTTGGGCTGTGGTTGACAGGCCATCGACCCTGGGATCATCACATGCCTACCTGGGACATGTGCAAGGGCCATCCGTGGCATGCCATCGTCAATTGACATCTTGGGGACATCTCTCAGCCCGAGCATTGGACGATCCACCTGCCCAACTCGCCAGTCCTACCAGTCCTGCCAGTCCACCCAGAGGCGGCGGGCGACGACGCATGAATGCGATGACACCTGATCCCTGGCGCCGACGAGTTTCTTCAGACTTCGGCTGAAACACAGGCTGAGGACTCCACCTCTGCAGTGTCCACCACACCCGAGCCCTTCTCCCACACCACTACCTGCCCTACTGCTACGCTGCGACGTGAGCATACCATGGACTCGATGAGCAGACAGGCAGAACGACGGGTACCACAGTTGACGCGCAGCCAGGACAGTCAGACAACAGCAGACTGCGGGCTGCACACTGCGCCTGCGACACAACGTCAACCCATCCATTCAGTCCCATGCCTGCTGCATGCATGCATGCAATGTCAAGGGCCCCGGGAATCTGACAGTCGCCCGTTGGCCCCGCATTTCCTCTGCTCTGCTCTGCATACATGCGACCCTAGGCCCAACTTTGCCTGGTAGCTCGTCGCCCACTCACAGTCCCTGGGGCGTCCGACCTTCCTCAGGTTCCACACACTCGCTCTGCCATGAGCACTGACTGTGCGACAACGCCCGCAGCCACCCACCCTGCCACCCTACCCACCACACCACCACTTGCGCATTCTCCCCTTGCTCTACCTCCCTTACTCCAGTCGTCGGCACTGTCGTCCACCTTCCAGCTGCCTCAGGTTCTTCTGAAACATCCAGCAAATCCCACGGGCCAATCGCGTCCAACCTCAGTTCACCCATCAACGACATCCCATGTGCGCTGCACTGCCGCTGGCCCATCCGACGCCCAGCCCGCTTGACGAATCTCATGTCAACTTGTCTTGACAGCTATCACGGCACTTTTCGAGATCTATGCTGCCATCTCGGAATACAGATGATGGGAAACGCCATGCCAGCGGAAAGGGGCGCAAGCATTTGACAGGCCCACAAACAAAGAGGTTGCTGACACCGAGACACCTGTCAGCTGTGATATATGGCGACTATTGCTCTAGGCTTGCCCGGCAAATCAAGTAGAGTTTTTCCCGCTCGAGTCGCATCAAGGGACGCGTGCTATTATCCTCAGCCGCCCGTTTCCCCTACTGATCGACGCAACGGTATTTGATGCAGATCTCTAACTCTCGATGCCCTGAACGGAGAGAGTTTCTCGGTTTGAGCAACGATGCGTGAAGTTAACCTACATGTGAACCCCCACATATGTCCTTAAACCCATGGGTCGGGCTCTTGGTGGCAGCAATACAGGCCCTAGGCTAGCACTTCATACGCCTGTAGGTCCCATACTGCAAAGTAGTAAACTAATCGGTTCCGAGCGCAACGAACCGGCTTTCCGAGCGCGCTTCCACAAGGTCACGGCCTCAAAATTACACAAAGGGTCTGGCAGCCACGGTCCCGCTGTTTTCTTCGCGCCCGTTCGGAGGTTTTCTATTACTTTGCGCGGCTTCTCCCGCGCTGACCTGCAGACTTTGGTGCTATGTATTTGCACAATTCTTCATTGTCCTGCCACCGGCGACGGGAAACAAGTCGCGTCTAGGACAATCGTGCTTCCGGCTATTGCATTGCTGTCAAAGATCGCGAAGCGAATCGGGACACAATCCTAGGCTCTCCCAGATCCACCTCACCTTTTTCGGCAGTGACTAGAGTTGTGATCCTCATTGTTAATCCGGCCATGACGCGAGAAACTATGCGACCAGGCAATTGATGGTGAACAGCAAGTCGCTGAGCTCCTTCCACAAGTGCTTTCGTGCTATCAGACGAGTCTGCCCACATGAATGGTTTCAAGCCCCATCCCGGGTCTCAGTTTGCAGATCTCCCCTGCTGCTGCGCCTCGAGACCGAGTACGTACCTGACCACGCTGCCCTCGCATGGATTCCACAAAGGGAGCAAGGCCTTGTCCGCGGCCTGCACAGCGACTGGTCTACCGCGGATTCCCCTGCGGTGATCGCTTTTTGGATCAGACGAGCATCTGACGCCATGATCAACCGGAGCCAATCTGATACAAGGATATTATTTTCAAACGGCGCCGGCAAGTGGATGCACTACCCTCAGGGCGGGCCTCGGCGAGCACGTATCACCTACACCCACACCAGAGATCCATACCCATGAACGAGACAGGGACCACCACGCTGCGTAGGTGCACCACTCGGGAGGCTCAAGAGCCCCGGTCAAAACCTACCTGTGGAGACAGACTACTCAAGATTCTCTGATGGCTTTCCCTTACTGCGTGAGGCGCTCTGCTTTACCTTGCCGCAACTGGAAACTCTTTGCACTCGACCTCTTCTTTTCCCTCCCTTCCGTATTGCTTGCTTGCTAACCGGAGAGCTGGACTCCCTTCCAAATACACCACCACCCTCGACGCATTGAATCGAACAGGGGTAAGTTGCCTTTAGCATCGTGTGGCCCGTTACCTACTCTTGGAACATGGACTGAACCCTCCCTCCTCCCCCCAGGATGTCAGACTTGCTCCTCTCGGATCGCCAAACAGATCTTCTTTTCAGCCACCTCTCCACGCTTTATGCATTGTCGGCACTGCCTTGTTTCTATTCCCCTGGCGCCGTTGCTAGTTCATGTCTGGTGGTCCTGGCCCCTTTCCTGCTGAGTGACTCCTCGTCGTCGTCTATCTGCTGTCTGAAATCGTCAAATCCCACGAGACTGCATCTTCGTCGCTTTCTATTCACTCAGAATTATAAACCGTCGCCAATTTTTAGGCGGCTAGAGGAGTAAATCGCAACTTGAACCGGACTCTTTACCACATCTGTTCAACGCATCTCTTCAACCGATCCTGATCTTGATCTCATCGACGGTGGCTTGCTCTGGCAACTTCATCGGGCGTACTGGCTGGCCCACACTCGACTTCAAGTTCATCGTCCCAGCGTGTCTCATCCGTCTCAAGGGCATCCGTTCAGCTAGCCTGGACATCTGGTCGTTGCTTGTTTCGTTCGGCTTCTTCGGTTTCCGATTCGATTGGGGGGGTTCAAGCCATTTCTTCTTTTGCTACCTTTTCGGATGGCCATCGCTTGACCTCTCCGGCTCCTGGGATTTGGTGTTTCAAGTGTTTGAATCTACTTCGGAACTGTCAGTGCCACTCAAACGTTGATCCCGTCCTGGAGTTCGACAACCTTATTCCTCTTTGCTATCCCTGCCACGGATCGCACTACAAAGTACTGTCATATCCCATCCCGTCCACATCCAATTCATATCGTGACACTTGACAACATCCCCACCCGCTTCATCAGACAAACTTACAACATTTAATACCGAGCCAACCTCCACCCAGGCGACTCCCCTTCTCTTCACCCCGCCTCTTGTACTCTCCACCAGGGAACGACGACACCGGATTACCTTGCTTAATCAAGCACTGCTCGGCCAGCCTTTCAACGTGACCACTGGTATTTCGTGTCACGTACCTGAGTCCGACAAACATCTCTCAACTTTGTGGCCCTCGATGGGTGCTTAGTGCTTGCTTGACACATTGACAACACCTCCCCAGGACATCTCATATCAACCGTCTGCCGAGGAACTTGTACGACAACTCGGGAACAATCAGTATAGCGGAGTACTACGAGGATCTTCCAACCCAGTCTAGCGTGACGAGGAGTTGATTACCGTTTCCTTCATAAGACAGCTGGCTGCCCAAGAAGGCCGGAAAATCTCATATTTGAGGATTTCCACAACAAAGAGGTGGTATACAAGTACGGACGGACTGATTGCTGTCCACCCCAATCAAGTCATCACATCCTGGCATCTTCATACAGCAGAGGTTCGTCTTCCTTGCCAAACCAGCCCCTTCGTTGATTCTTGTAGCCTTGGCGACCGAGTGAATCAAGACTTACATTCTGATAGGTATCCCCTCAATAAGTGACTCAATGAACGTCACGTCATTACTAAACACATCGGGGGCGGCCCAGGCCGCAGGTGCGAGGCGCGCTTCAGGCCCAGTTACCATGGGCGGCTACGAAGCTGGAGACAGAATGGTGCCGGTGAGGACCTCAAGTGAATCAAGGCTGCCCGGCCGAAGCAGGACGCCATGGGATGCCGGCGGATATTCTCTTCCCTTGACTCTGAACGTGAAGAATGCGCAGTCTTCACCAGCAGCCAAGCCCTCATTCTACACCGAGGCGACACCGGTTGACAGCGTCGGCTCGACCAGCCCCAAGTCACCAAAGCACAAGTTCTCAGACAGCCGCAGCAGCCTGTCCTCATACACAACAATGTCGTCGAATACTTCCAGTCACTCCCGATCGCACTCGAGAATCTCATCACTGTCTACCGTGAGCGAGTATCAGCCAATGAACTCGTTCATGTCTGATTCAACCCCAACAGAGAGGAGGATGTCTGATCCCGACTCCGGGATGTCATGCCCTACTGTTGTTGAGATCCAGCCCCCTTCGCCATCCAGGAGAGCCTTCGAGGATGTGTCGCCTGATGCCTCCGATAACGACAGTCCAATGCATTCCGACCGACCTCGGTCACCTTCTGATGCAATTTTGGTTCGAAATCGAGGACTTGCTGGAAGCGCAAGGTACGTTGTAGTGAGCTGAAGATTATCCCGTGTTATTGGAATTCGTCCCATGTTTGCGCCCCTCTATTGTTCGCGCGTGTGAATAGCTTCGAGCCTGGGGGACCCACCCAAGCTCAGTCACCAATTGTCCATGTTCATCCCATTGTGAGCCATTCACCCAGCCATTGTGGTTCACAATTTATCCAGTGTTTGTTTCGCGGTCTGGAGTTGTTTAAATTGGCATATCTGATCTTCTGCAATTCTCTTCGATCACCAACTGGCACGTGTTGACAAACGCGCTGACTTTGACCGTCACAGCCCAAGTGATTCCAAGATCATCAGCTCGTTTTTGAGGCCTGATTCTCCCTCGATGTCAACTTCCAGAGCACACAAGAGAACCGTCTCAGCTCCTGATTTCCCGTCCCTTCAGCAACGATCTCATCACTACCCGTCGTTTGGCCCAATGGCGGAACCCACCCCTCCGAAATCCCCCACAGCTGATGAGCAGCAATCAGTTGGTTCAGACACCGCGATGCCTACGGATCCGGCTGAGAACACCCAGACTGCATCGGTTCTGCCTCGCCCTACCCCTCCTGAGCCCCGGTGCATGTTTGTTGACCCTTGCACTACTGGGTCCTCGCTCCGTAAGGCCATTTCTCACATCTTCGGCCGAAACAAGCTCTGCACCAAGGCAATCCCTCACGGAATTTGGGTTCATTACTGTCGCAAGCACTACCAGCGGTCTCGCTATCGCAACGCTACCGACTACGCCATTCGACAAGTCGAGCTCGTTTTGATTCAGATCGAGAAGGTCCACGCTTGGAGCGACGAGAACATCAAGAGCGGTCGCCGAGGTGACGGCGTTCTCAAGCACTGGACTCTTCAGGCTCGTAAGCGTGAAGCCAAACGTCTCCAAGAGTCAGACTCCCGGAAGCGACGATTCAATGACGACGACGACGAGGACCAAGAGTTCAGCAGTGGAACAGCCATTCCCGGCTGGCTGCAGGATAAGCTGAACAAGGACTACGGAACGGAGGACATGCTTGCCATTATCAAGGACGTTAAGGCCCGAATGGACGCTGGAGAGATTCAACAGATCCCCGATATCGAGATCCTGCCCGAGATCATCACTGATGGTAACGAGTCTCGGCCCAAGGCAACTGTCCGCCGTACCGGCAGCAACGGCAATGGCCACCGTCACACCAAGTCTGAGGTTTACCGGGCTCCTCCTTCCATGAGCAGCTACAATGGTCGCCCTGGCATGTCCTTCAGCCAGGATAACAAGCGCTTCCGCACAGGCGCCAGCACGTACCAGATGCCCATCCACAACCTTGCCCACCGCTCTCTTGGTGGCATGAACCAAGGCTATCCGTACCAAATGGGCAATGGATTCGCCGCCATCGCAGAGAATCAAGCGGACCCCAACTTTTGGAACCCCCAGCCTTACAGCAGCAACACTGTATTGCCTGCGCCTGTCCCTCAACGTCACGTCAGCATGCCTATGACCCCCGAGAACAATGCCGTCCAGTCTTATGCCCCTCAGAGTCGTCCACTCCACGTTAGAAGCGTGTCGGAGAACCCTGTACTGCACAATTCGGGTCACGGTCCCACTGGATTCCGTCCTTATGCTTCGCAGCCTAACCAGGGCTTCCAGCAGCAGGAGATGTTTGCGAACTACCAGCCACCTCAAGGCTATGGCGGCCCTCCGACTTACCAGGGACAGGGGTATGACCCCAACATGGGCTCTAACGACCCTAACACCCGATTCTTTGGCCCGATGGATGGTGCCTTCGATGGCTCAGCCGACTGGGACAGCCCGCGCAATGGCCACAACCGCGTCCAGAGCACCTCTTCCATGCACCCTGCGCACATGCAGCGACACCTGTCCTTGTCTGGTGGTCCTCCCCCGATGAGCTCGCTTCCTTCAATGAATGGCATGGGAAACAACGGTGTGCCCGCGTACGGCTACGGAGAATATCAGCAGCACCAGCAGCAACACCGCTACTAGAAGAGAAGCTTATCATCTTCTGGGCATATCCATCCAAGTCATCAGAGCGCTGGGGCACTCGAGCTTCATCCCAGCATTTATCCAATTCTCCAAGATCCAAGTCGCGAAGGTCAAATAATCAAAGGTCAAAGTTTGGGTGTTTCAAATCACAGACGCTCAAATCCTGGACTCTCGTTGACGAGCTTTGGTACGGTTTAAGGCGTCAAGGCATCCTATAGTTTGGGTTGGTCGGCAGCGGGACGGCGAAACAAGAAAAAGGGGGTCGGTCTGGTCAGGCGATTGTTTTGAGATACCACGTGCTGTTTTCACCTTCATTTATATCCTTATGGTCCCACCTAATACTCGATGTCACCAATTCTTCTCCCGCATCGTCATGGGCGTGTGGAATTCTCTCCCTCATTGCTCAGTTCTTCAGCCACCAAAAACGGCGCAACGGTTGTCGACGTCAGGGACCTCACGACGATACGATCCCAAAAGACAACTCATATTTGAGGTCTTACATTACATTCCTTATTAATAACTTGTTCAGGGGCGGGGGAAGTTGTGGTGAAAGATCAAGGCTGACGTTTGCGCATACCTGAGGCATGGCTTGGCTTGGAAAATCTGGATGGGCTTCAGAAGCCCTGAGGGGAGAGTACAGGTCAATGATGGAAAAGGGGAGGAAGCACGGAAAAAAGGAGCCTGCCTGCGAATGGAAGAAAGAGCCTGTCACCTTGCGATGGTCATTGCCATGCAATTGCGTTGCCCTGATGAACTTCACTCTTAGATTAAGGATTCTCAAATCATTATTATGTGAAAACATTCTCTGCACCTCGATTGTGAATTTTGTGATCCTTCTCGTCTCTACATCATACATTATCTGAGCTGGGCAGTCCTTTGAAATGGTAGAGATCAATTGGCTCCTCTTGTTGTCGGGCTGCCTAATCTTTCGCAGCCTTCCACCTGCTCAGTTTACAAATGCACTGCACGCTTCACGCTGACGAGGGACTTCTCTGCTTGAAGTTGACAGTCACTGTCACCACCGGCACACTAGCGATTTGGATGCTGATCACAGCTGCTTTGAAAAGCCAACCAGAGTATTGATGCTTCGCCAACCTGAATAGGTCAGAAAGACAGCCGCCGGCGCTCTCCTCCTGCTGGCATGAACCACCGTTACTAGAAGTGTCTCTCCCCGAGCACTTCGACAAGATACACCGGGCATCTCCACCACCGAGGAAATGATCGGTTAGGTAATTGTCGACCACTGGCACGAAGCAGAGAACGCCCACAGGGCTGCAGAACAGCGCAGACTCCCGAAAGCGCGGTAGAGGAGGGCGCGCTCGGCCAGCAAGCTCTGCACCAGCGCGCATGAACCGGGAACCCGGCGCTCGCAGCTTTGTGCAGAGCGCGCCGGTGGGGAGGCAGTCTGGACGAACAGACCGAGCACACAGAGGGCGCGCGCGGTGCATTTGGGGAATACGACGTGACGAAACGTGGGCGGAGAATCAGGGCCGCCGGCCTGTTAGGGCTGGGGCGGGGATCGGACGATCTGCTGTCGCGGATCAGGCAGCACGCTTCTTTGGGGACAATACGGCAGTGTGAGGAGAGACATCTCGACTGGAAATTGATGCGGCAGCACCGAAGCTTCATCCATGGCGCACATTTGTGGGAACGGGCATGAATGGCTGGACTTTTTAGAGCACACGCGCGCAGTGACTACCCGGGAGGAAGGGGTTGGATAAGAGACAGTAATCACAGGCTGAGAACGTCGGCACCAGGTCTCAGTGAAGAGGCTGCTCCCGTGATTCTTTTCGACGCGATATAATAATATAATTAGGCAGCTACTCACGGCCCCGTAGAAAAGACAAGAGCTTCAGAAGCGGCCCCGGAACCTGTCGGAGCTTCCGCCTCTCTGCTGTCTCCTTGGCCATCTTCCGTAGATATGCTATGTATATGAACAAAATAAGTAGCAACTATGCATGAGTGCCAAATGCGTACCGCTGTGCCAGCCATAGGGTATCTCAGTATCGATTAAAAATGCAAGTTTCCCGAATTCTTCAGCAGGAACTCAAACTGTGGCTGCCGGAAAGTGTCAGGCATCAGGCTAGCTTTGTCGGCGTCGAACACGACGAGCTGGTTGCTGGACGCCCAGTCGGGCCAGTTGATGAGCTGCTCGCCCTCGGCGGCCCTGGTCCCGCCGGAAGCGTCGTTGGGGTCGAGGTTGTACGCGAAGTTGAGGAAGTAGTTGACGATGGCAGAGGCTGCGAAGTTGTCCTTGATCCCGTAGAAAACCTGGATGAGGTCGCTGCCGTGGAACGTTCCCAGGACCGGCGTCCCCTGGTCGTACTGGCTCAGGTACGACCAGCGCTTGACGCCGGGCTGGACGCCGGTCGTAATGTTGAGCACGGCGCGCCGCGACAAGGTGAAGACGGCATCGCCAAGGAGTGCAGCCACACGCTTGAACTGCGGGTAGAAGTTGTTTTCGGTGCCCGTATCATAGGGCGAACCCTGAGTAGGATCATCCGGGTAGACGTCGACGAACTCGTCGACGATCTGTGGGTCTGTGTTGGTGAAGTAAAGAGTCTTTAGATAGGTCTTAAAGTCGTCTGTTGTGGAGATGTTGCTGGTGAAGATGCCGAAAAGCGTGCCCTCGTCTTTTTGGTCGCCAAGGATGAAGGGGATATTTGGAAGTTTGCCGGTGGTCGCGAACTGCTCAGGCGATGACACCAGGAATTTGCCGTCTGGCCGTGGCAGGTAAGAGAGGGCAAGGGCGTTAAACGAGAGGATTCCAGGCACGGAGTTCATGGATTTGAGGAGTTTCTGGAGAATGTTGTCAATACAGCCAACGAGCACAGTCCCAGATTGTGACGAGCAGAGCAGCACGGAGCCACTGACTTACCTCATACTCGGCTTCGCGAAGACACTGCAAAGTGTCTGCCTGGCCAGAACATCCCACTCCTTGCACAACTGCGTCATAAACTTGCTGAGCTTTGGCGCTGTCTACTGGATCGGTCGGTACTGCGGAGCCAGAATTCATGATTGCTGCTCTGAAGAGGGGCTTCCCCTTGTACGTGATGTCCCCTGAGAGCCACTATTAGCCTGCCATATCCCAGCCTCTGCTCGAGCGAGAGACATACCATTGTTGGCAATAAGTTGATCGAAGATAGAGATTGCCCCAGCACTCTCGCCCCATAGGGTGACCTTGTCTGGATCGCCACCGAAAGCCGCGATGTTATCAGCGACCCATTGCATACCCAGACGCTGGTCCAGCAAGCCCAGGTTTGCGCTTCCTTCAGCGAGGATCTCTTTGCCAGCTAGAAAGCCAAACCCGCCAACGCGGTAGTTCACCGCGGCAAACACGACGGGCTTTCCCAGCTCAACCGATCGCGCGACGACATTTGAGCCATCGTACATGGCCGTGCTACCGAGCTCGAAACCGCCCCCGAAGATCCATAACATCACTGGGAGCTTGTCCCCCTCCTTGGTGCCCGCTGGCCGCTGGACGTTGATGGTGAGACAGTCCTCCTGGCCTCCGATGATATTGTTCTTGAGCAGCGGCGAACCCACTATGGTCTCCAGGACATCAGTTGCTACTCCCGGAACGTTTGGGATCTGTATGTCCTCTCCAAGTAAGAACTGTGGGCATTGCTTGGGCAACAGTGTCGTGGCATCAACATTTCCCATGGGCTGGCTCGGGTCCAAGGGCACGGGAGGTCTGAGACGGTTGTTCCCTACGGGAGGCTGGGCGAAGGGGATGCCTTTGAAGTTCTCGACGAAGCCGCCTGCAGATCCGATGAAGGGGAGCGCGCTTCCTTCTATGGTGGCAGAGGGCGTTGTGATCTTCACTGTGGGCCCGAACAGCCGCTTCTCCTTGGCATACTTGATCCTCGGAGCTGCGTGGACGCCATCATGGAGTGTGCCTAGGAGCAGAGCGCAAAAGAAAGTAAGCATCATCTCGAAAACCTCATGAGACGGGCAGTGATTCAGCTGAGGACAACGAGGGCTGGGCTAATTGGACCGTAATGAGGGTATTCAAGTACTTTGAGTGATTGTCGTGACCACCTCTCGCTCCGAGACTATCTCAGGCCATCTCGGACGAGATGATATCTTTTTATCATCCCGCAACCAGCCCATGTCGACATCTCAAGATTCCGGCATTACATCATGCTGTAGATCATGCACATATGATAAACACGGAGGCAGTATGATGGGCATTGCAAAGATTCCCGAGGCTGCCAGAAGGCGGTTACGCCTGGCAGCTGACCGAGAGTCCCGCCCATGGGAATAGTTTCCATGCTTATTCTGTGAGGGGGGTCGAAAGAAATTCCCTCTTTAGGGTACGCTTGAATTACAGGCCCATGAGAGGACGAGAGGATGCTCCCGTGGAGTGGCCAGGGGAGGCGGCGGCGGGCAAGAGCCTCAGTGTCTTGTGATCATCTTTGTGTGTGGCCTTCGTCAATCGGCTACCCTACCCTAGATCAGGACAAGGCAGACACCGAACTCAGAAGAAGTGAGGGGAATCCAGACTCAGCACGATCACCACTAAGCCTTGGGATTTTGGGCCTCCGCCCTTCGCGGGGTTGGGAGGTGCCTTGCTGTAGGCTGACCGGCAATTTACCGTGGCCAGCTACGATGCGTGCCCTGCCGCAAGCCATGTAGTGATTGATTACCCGGTCTCGGGAACCTCCCGGGGCCAGGATCTTTAAACCTGAGGTGATCGCTGGCGCGGGACGAAAGAGGCAGTTTGCTTCAACTCCAGCCAGGCTCTCGTATTCGTATGGGGTTTGGAGACCACCGACACATCATGCAAGAAGGTTGAGCATGATCTACTCCAGACTTGCCCTGGGCAGCCCAATGAGATATGCACGGGGGTAATTGGGTAAAAGATGGACGGTATGTACTGGGAGGGAATCTGCAGGTAGGTAGGGAAGGCCTTGGCGAACACCTCCTCGACTCGGCGGATCGCCTGGAGCGGCGCATGTGATATTCCGGGAATAGTATACCGTCGTAGGCCCATCGTTCGGGAGCGAAGCTTATACAACGTGGTGGTGGGAACCATGGTGAGCCATGTTCCCTGCCTCGGCACGGCGTTGCGAATCATGAACGGGAGTTATTCTCTCGCCGAAGCTGCCGTGAGTTTGGACGAGTCTGCACAGCCGACGGAATGTGTAAGGCATACACGACATGACGGAAGGCATCGATAGAAGAGATGAAGATGGGCCAGATTGTGGAGCTGACGTCGCGGGGTATACTGCAGAGATGTTGGCGAGCCGTTGGACGTTGGAATAACCTTCGTAGGATTTGCTTACGTCTGGGTCCCGACAAGGCGACTGGGACGATACGACTGCGCTAGCAGTATACTGCCCCTTGGCGGCCCTGGATCCGGCCCGTTTCGGGGTTGAAACGCTATCAGTGCCACCCGTGGGTCTCCTCTCCAAGGACCAGCGCGTTTGACGTCAACGACGAGCCTTTTTCACCGGATGGCATTTTCTGAACACGACAACAATCCGCCTCCGTCTAATACTCAATTTCACATGCTATAGCTACCCTTGTTCTGTTTCCGCCTCTTCACTCCAATCCAGAGCTATCATCTGTCTAGGTACCTTCCATTGCAGCGAGGTGATCGCTGGATCGAGACCAGCTGGGATCTGCTGCTCCAGACATCTTCTTTGCCTGCGCGGGCCCACTGTACAGATTGGCACAGCGAGTGGCTCGCTCGAGGAGCTCAAAATGCTGTCCGCCTTGTACGTTCTGGCAGGAGCTGTCCTAGCCTACGGTGCCTTGTCTTGCTTCAATGGCTTGCGGACTCACATCGCGGCTGCTAAGCGGTCAGGATTGCCATATGTGGTCGCCCGTAAGTCTTGCACGCCTCTGTTCCGAGCCAGCTCGACTTGTTGCTGACTTCCGTGTTAGCAATATCACCTTTCAGTCACTATTGGCTATTGACGTTCTGGATATGGACGCCTATCATCAAATGCCTGCCCAAGTCATGGTGGGAGAGCTGGATAGAGTAAGCCCTGACTGCAAATGATGAGTGGTCTGCATGCTCGTACAACATAGCACGACTGACAAGATAATACCCTAGCCTCATGCAACCTGACTGGGCATATCGCCTCCTCCGAGAACCCTGGAAACGACTTGGCGATAGCTTCCTAGTTGTTACACCGGGGAAGATCATCATGTGGACATCCAGCGCGGAAGCTATACACCAGATCACAGCTCGGCGCGAAACCTTTCCCAAGGACACTTCAGCCTATGAGATTCTGGCCATCTTCGGCCGGAACATGCTCACCACAGAGGGTGCTGAGTGGAAAATGCACCGAAAGGGGGTGTCGCCCAGCTTCAACGAGCGAAATGCCGCCTACATCTTCGGCGAGTCTATCCATCAGACACAGGGGATGATCACGCACTGGATGGGGGACGACGCAGAAGATAAGCAGAGGAACAGCAGTGCCACTATCGACACCGTCGAGCACGACACTATGACGCTTGCCCTCAACATCATAGCCCACGTCGGTTTCGGATTGAGGTTCTTCTGGCCAAGCCAGAAGTTGCCCGATGACTTGAGTGTCCAGAACAAGAAGTATGCCAGTTTTGAGCCCCCAAAGGGCCACTCTTTGACATTTGTGGACTCACTGGCTATGGTTCTCGAGAGGATCCTCGTGCTCTTACTTCTTCCTCAGTGGCTCCTGAAAATACTTCCATTCAAGAAGACAAAGGAGGCGCTGGTTGCTTACACCAACTATGATAAGTACATGCAGGAGTTTCTACAGTACAAGGCTGAGGAAGCTCGCAGGGGCGCCAGTAGTGATGGTATGGACATTATGGGCCAGCTGGTGCGAGCTCGGTATGGTGAGAAGGGCACGAACGAAAAGATGTCAGATGAGATGATCAAGGGCAACGCCTTTATCATAATCGTCGCCGGCCACGAGACGACGGCCAACACCCTGCACTTCACCCTATCCGAGCTCGCCAACAACCCTGCAGCGCAGCGCGCCCTCCAAGCGGACGTGGACCGCCTCTTTGGGCGCGAGAGCGACCCCTTGACTTGGAACTACGAGAAGAACATCAACGCCCTGTGCGCCTCAAACGTCGCGGCGTGCATGAACGAGGCGCTACGGCTCATCCCGTCGGTCGTGGACATCCCGAAGCACGTCACCCCGGGCCATGATCAGACCATCACACTCGACGGGGACAAGCACGTACTTCCGCAAAACACAATGATCATACTGAACACGGTCGGCGTGCACCGGAACCCGAGGTACTGGCCGCCCAAGCCGAGCGGGGGCTCAGGAGACGAGACCGACCTGGACGATTTCCTCCCCGAGCGGTGGTATCGCCCCTCGCTGACCAAGGCGGCCGAGGCGCAGGACGATGACGAGACGGAGGACTTTGGCGGCTTCAAGGGGCGAGACACCAGCGAGCAGCTATACAGGCCAGTGCGAGGCTCGTTCATCCCCTTCAGCGACGGCGCCCGCAGCTGTCTGGGCCGTCGGATCGCACAGGTCGAGATGCTGGCTGCGCTCGCCGTGTTGTTTCAAAGGTACAGCATCGAGCTTGCGGTTGATGAGTGGGCTTCGGACGAGGAGGTGGCTGCCATGACATCGGAGGAGAAGAAGGAGGTCTACGAGAAGGCGAGGACGAAGTCGAGGGACACAATCAGGCAGGCGACCTCGGTGTTGACACTGAAGCTGCATGGAAAGCTCAAGGTGCCCGTCCGGTTGGTGAAGAGAGGAGAGGAGAGGTTTGTCAATCTGGTGGATGTCTGAAATGGTACGGACTAGGCGTGCATTGGGTGCTCAGACTGGGATGATAAGCATATGCGGAGATTTAAGATCTCAAAAAAAGGTGAACATATCACGTTGTACGCATTCATGGTCACGTTGTTGCTAGCCCATCTTGAACAGTCTTCCGTGCCAGCTCATAAAGTGCTTTGCCCGATTATTTCCTCGAGGTGAAGCCCAGCGGAAATGATAACGCCTACTAAGTGCCCTACAAATGTCGACAAGAAATGACTGGATCTACAATAGGATCTAATAGTCAGACAGGATCGGCAATGGACAGTTTATCCAAAATGACCTCACTTTGGTTCAGGCTGGCGCATGTCGCATCCATGAGGATCACGAATATTGGGCAACAAAGAAAGGCTCCCACCGGGGCCCCTCAGGCCCCCTCAGCTCTCCCCTTCCAGCCCCCCTGTTTTCCGAAAAGGTACAAGGGGTGGCCCAAGCTCCCGAGCTGGGGAAGCTAGCTCTGTCTGTTGCGGACCCGCGCTTTCCCATTCCCATCTCCCCACCCATACAACGCAGATGTGCAGTATCACTACCCAGCCAACTGGCCACCCCCCCTGTCCGCCAGGGTCACCTGCCAAAACACGCAGACACCCCCCCAAACATTGAGATCAACAACATAACCCGCCCGCATCACTCGTGTCTTAGGTACAAACACACTCTTGTCTACATCTTTGTCGTTGGCGCCCATATACAGTAGATATCTCGTCACAGACCATCTGCCTATCGCACACAGCTCATAAGCATCGTAAACTCGTCGCATCTTCTACGCGACCCACAAACACACCCCGGCAACGGCACCGACACCATGTCGAGCTCATCGAACAGCTTCCTGCGCGGCCAGCGCAAGTCTGACCTCCTCGAGTTGGCCGAGACTGTTGGTCTGGAGAAGTACGTTCAGCCACATTTCTTAAGCTTTTTCGCGTCTGTTCAGGAGCCTCTTTGCAACTTTCGATCTTGCAGTACGGCCCTATGGCCTCACTACCCACCCCGCTTGTGGAGCTGTCGCATCGCGCCGCTTCAGCACGGCCTTCTTGCGCCTGAAGACCGTTGCGCGCCGTCACAATAGACGCGACCTCATGCTGCCCGCTGTCCTTTTCTGGGAATGTCCACCCTTCAGAGCTTGTGACTAACATGCTACGTTGACTCCAGCACCGATGGCCTGAAGAAGAGCGATCTCGAGGTTGCGCTTGACGACTACCTCGCTGAGAACTCGAACCGGTTCAGCAACAATCCTGCAGCTCTGCCTTACTACAATGCACGCGCTCGTGCAATAGGGTCGCCGGTGAAGAAGGAGGCGCCCCCTGCTGAGGCCCCCAAGACCGCGAAGCGAAGGGCCGCGAAGGCAGCTGAACAGTCCATCGCAGCTACTGCCGGGTGAGTTGCCCCGTATCGCCGATCCACGGCGCGTCTTGTCGCGCGCGAGCACCAGGCCGTGGTAAACAAGACCAGCCTACTGACAGTGTGCCACCAGAGATGACTCTGAGCTGGCCTTGACCTCCGCGACGCCTGGTCGCGCTCTGTCCCTCGCTCGACGCATCCCGCTCCCAGCCTCGCCAGCTGACGTTGCCCGAGTCGTCGACGAGCGCACCGTCGCGCTTCGCGAGCGCGTTGTGACTCTGTATGAGGACTCAGGCGTAAAGGAAGTCGCATACAACACGCGCGACTCTCTCTCCACCGTAACCTCGATTCTGTTCTGCATCAACGCGTTCGAGCTGTACCACCTGCGGAAAGAAGTCCTCTCGGATCGCTATGCTTTCACCATCCCAGCTATCGCCGCGCTGGGAACGTCGGATTATCCCGTCGAAGTGCCCGACATGTTCCTGCTGCTGACGAGCTCGTTCTGGAACCCAGCACTGCTCTGGGCCTTTACTAGCGTGGTCGTGCCCGCGTTTTTCGGGTTCTACTTCAATCTCTCCGCTGCTCATTCGCAGCCTGGTCGCGGAAGGAGAAGCTCGCAGCCAGAGAACGTTGTTGACCCCTTGACCTTCAGCATCGCCAAGGCGGTCATCACGTACGTGGTCTACCAACAAGGTGTCACCTTTGGTGGCTGGGTAGACCAGACGTCCGTGGCACGCATCAACTCGGCCGTCTACGGAGGCTGGAAGGGTGTCATAGTTGGCGCCGCAATCACTGGCATTGCGAGCTTCTACGACGCTGTGTTGCGGAAGTAGTGTTCTCGCTAGGTGTGCGCGGTTCATGACACTGGCTGCCACCCAGATGGAACTTGGGCTCGCGCCACAAATTCATGCTAGCCGCTCTCCTACTCCGTGAGGAACTATGCGAGGCTTGCGGTGCAGTCTCAGGGTGTGGTGGGCTTCACTACATCCAAGGGAAGGGTGTTACAAGGCGTTTACGGCGTTCTGGCGTCGCAGGGCCTACGGCTTCCTTTCGACCAGATACCTCCCTTTGATTCTTTTGGCCGTGATCTTCCAGGAAAGACATGGCATCTTTGTGCCCCTAGGAGTGCTTTTTATCGAGGGCGCCTGTCTCGCATTCACCTGCCGATAGCCTCGCCTTACGGGCTGATGGTTGGCGGAAGTTGCATCTACGCAAAGAAACTGTGCAATCCGGCGGTGGACTTATCGCGAGCACTGTGTGCTTCTTTTGCTGGGGACGAACGTATTTGGGATGTTTTTCGTCGTTTTATCTTGTGATGGGCTCGGAGGGTTCAGCGACGGGAGCGGTACGCGTACTGTTTAAGTCTTTTTGTCTGCACGACTGCTGGTAGAAACACGCACAGCACGGATGGGGGTTTGGAGATGTCTTCGAAGAGGGGTGAAGAGTATGATGTAGTACGGCACGACTCGTTCAAGTTTTGAATAATTGTTGATATCCCTTTCCCACAAAAATCGTCACCGTTGCGTGTAGTGGAATTTACACGACCGCGCTGTCTGTCCCTCGACAAAGATGGCAGAAGAAAACAAGCCTCTGCTAGACGGATTCGAGATGAAGCGTTAGCGACCGTTGGGCGGCTGGCAGGCCTGTGGCGTCGGCGGGGCGAACCGATAGCGCGGCGCGGCCGACGAGCGCTTGGTTGAGCTCGTCTGTATTCTCATCGTCGGAGTATCCATCCTGTGGGAGGTGACGCAGCCTCGGGAATTCATAAAGGCGAAAGGGCGAACGAGAAGAAGACGCGACGCCAAGTCAAATGCAAATGCGCGCATGGCGTTGGGACGAGGGGAGTGAACGTCGGTTCTGCAAAGGGGACATTGGGTGAAGCTGCCGAATGCGAGCCAGCCTACTCACCATGAAAACCGCCCTAGAGAACATGAGATGATGTCCTCTCTCCCGACGACGCAGGCCGGCCGGACGCGCCTTGACGCTCGGCGGGCTTGGTAATAATGCCGCGTGGCCGGCCCATGCATCCTGTAGAATCGGGGCGGATAAAGAAAACCTCTAGAAGCTAGAAGGGCATTATATTCAATGCTCTGGGGGTCTGCGTCCACAGCTAGACTGATAGTCCGGTGGGGCGCGTTCAATGCGCGCCGTGGAGGGAGATGGATGAATCGGTCCTATACCCTCACCGACCCCTCGATCCTTGAGGAATTGACGAGTGTCGGTCACAAGCAGTGACGACATTGAGGCGCCCCCGATCTGAGCGAATGACCCTATGAAGATCTGGGTGGGTAAAAGCAGGATCTTGGCCCCCTCCAAATAGACTTTTTTTTTGCAACCCCTGGCAGCTGTAAGTGAGGCCAGCTGCAGGATAGGTAGGCTTGTGCCTGACAAGGGCGCTATCTAGGTGGTCCGGTGTGATGCCCAATATCCACCTGCTCAGCTGCTACGCTACGTGGGAACACTGGCCAGAAGCTGTGCAATGTATGTGAAGTGGCTTGCGCACTTTCACACTCTTGGCCCCAGTCGGCAATAGACAATTGTGTGATGGGCGGCCGTCCGTGTCTGAGCAGACATTGGGGAGGCACGACATGTAATTAAGACCTGGGGGCCGCTCGATATCGCCGACAGACAGAGAGTGGTGCTGCGCCTTGTTGTGATGCGAGGGCAAGGATGCTATTTTTGCAAAAGACCTGAAGAACGAACTGGACTGCCCGTGTAAATGGAAAACGACATGGCCTCGGGCCGGCGGCAACGTCCACATCTGGACAAAATGACTCCTGAAATTTATGCACTGCCTGTTTGGGGGTGGTAAGGCATTGAGGCATGTAGCAGCCCCCCCGGGGCCCCAATGTTATGCGGCATGAGAAGGGAGAAAAAAAAAGATGGTTTGGCGCGGCCACTGGCGAGACGACGATGCAAACCCAACATGGGGCTGGCAATCAGGGTAGGGCGAAGGCAGGGCGAGGCGAGCGGCCGAGTCGGTGACGGGGTCGGTGTCGAGAGAGGAGACTCACTCCATGACAGTGCGGCGACGAGGGGTTACAGAAACAAAATCGAGAGGATGAAAACAATCACGAGCTGGATAGGACGGATGGGACGGTGGAATAGTTTTTGTCAATAAGCTTTCGGCAAGACGCCAAGCAAGTTCTCGAGCAGCCCATCGAGAGCTATGATCGCCATACTCATAGTCATTAATCACGAGCGGGATCATCAAAGAGCTTTCGCATCTGAACAGAGGAGTTGGATTGGGCTGGGTTGGGTTGGGTTGATTTGGACTGGAAAAGAGAACCACACAGTAGACCTGCAGCCAGACCCTCAACCACCAACGACAAGGCAGACATCACGCTGTGCTCGTCAACACAGTATTTGGTCAGCCCTTTGCAGACCCCTCCCCCCCAGGATCGTTCTCGCTTGGGAGGGAGGTGAGGGATGATGGATGCGGGCGTGGGAGATTACGTAGGGGGTCAGCTGTGCAAGGCGGCAATGCCAACCACCTGCGGTGCCACATCGTCCACAACTCCCGCAAAAGTCTAATAGAGACTGACTGGTCTGTTGCTCTATCTGGTCGGGTGGCACTGGAAGAGCAGACCACGGACTTTTTCATCTGAATTGTTATGTAGAGTAGAGTAGAGCAGAGCAGAGTAAAATAGATACTGACCTAGATAACAAACGGCAGATAATTACTGTAGATGCCCCGTGGGGGGACTGGGCGACCGTGCCTGTTTTCCCCTCTCCACTGCTTACAGCCCTGGCCCCTCCAAGGTTGTGTTTGGTTGTTTGACGCCAATGCTCAGGGCTGAGAAACAAAAGCGAGAAACGAGAGACCACAAACACAGCCGTGGGGACGGTACTGCACTGTGCTGTGCCATCACAAGAAAACCTGCTCGTCTCCTTGGTCGTTGATCTTTGCCCTGAGACTACTGTGTCAGGGTACTTTATTGCCTGCCTGCCTGTGCCTGCCTGCGCCTGCCTGTCCCTGTGCAGCCCCATGCCCGGCCAACCAACTGGATTATCTACGTGTCTACCCTACCCAGGTACCCAATCCAACACTGTCGTGCCAACCTCGGGCCCTCGCGCTGCCTTGGTTCTGCTTGCCCGTCAGCCCGTCTCCAAGGCCCCTCCTCAAATCATCGATTTTCAAAGACCCCGGGGCCCCCCATCTCCTGCCACGGGCCCTCCCTGCCCGCGCCAAGCCCCAGTTACGCAAACCCACCCGAAGCTTTTGGACCAGGTCAAGCTTCCTCTCTCTATCTCTCTTTCGACTCGCCGGGTCCCCGAGCGGCACTTTCATCAAATATCTCTCTTCGACTGTTTCCATATTACCTCCCACCCCTCTGACGTCTGTCTGTCTCCTGCTAATCTGCGCCTTCGTTCCATCCCGGTGTACCGCATCCTTGCTTGCACCTGACCTGCAAGACACTGCATACATATTACGTCCTGCAGGGTCGCACATTCAGCATTTCGACATACTTCGACATACCTTACCCAGCATCATTCTCGAGCGGACAGAAAGAGCAGAACAGGCTCGATTTTGACGAGAAGCGAGTCACTCTATATGCTGACGATCAATCACCTGTGACGACGACCAAGGCTGGTGCGATCTCGAAAGGACTACCAACAACCACACTCAACCGGCCATTGCGACCGAACTCCCATAGCTGGACCGGATACCACGACTCTCCGAGCCTGAGCCTGAGCCTGCAGCGAGATTTCCTTGCCTTTCTCCTGCAGCTTCTCGGCGGACCCACCGCGAGCTGTCGTTAGTGGCTTCCAGACCCATCTCGCATCCATCTCGAGAGCCCAGAACCCACAGAGCACCCTGCTCTCCCCAGGTCTTGTCCTGTTCAGTTGCCTGGCACAGCAGCGTGTGTCCTTGCTTGGAGGTAGGTCAGATCGATTTGTCTGTTGTTTCCGACTGCCTTGTTCCTTCCCAGCAGTGGAGAGACCGACCGAGTCTGGGCGGCACGCCCACGGAGACCCAGGAGGAGCAGCCGGCGGGGGGGGGCGGGATTGGTCACGATCGAGTTCTATCTTGGGAAGCTCCCCAGGCGGGCGAGCCGCCCACTGGGACCTTTCGACCTTTTTTCAGGTCACACGCCGCCGCAGGTGCTTTTTCGCGATAGTCTCCTATCCACATAGCATTGCGTTTCCCCTCCTTGCTTGCTTGCTTTGGTTCCCTCGCTTATCTCTCCACTTTCTCGCCTTGTCCCCAATCAGAAGCCGCCATTGTGACACCACCTGCTCAACCCTCAGGAGACGCCCGTTTGTTGACATAAACCGTTTGCTCCCTGCAGATTTCCCGCAGCTCCGGCATTCCGCAAGCTTTCAACCCCAGCCTGAGACTGAGACACCTTTGGGCTTCGACCATTCTCTCGGATACCTCCCTGCAACGGTATCCTCCTTCTCTGCCCTAGATCAACGCAGTCTGCACCTGGCACCCTTGTACCCACGATGAGCCTGGCCACTACCGCGCCGCTGCAAGACGGCTCGTCGAACCAACCCGCCCCAGCGCTAGCTGAGCCGTTCGAGCCGAAGTCGCAGAAAGCTGAGAAGGTACGGACTGGAGAAACCAGACAGGCTGCTGTGGAGGGTGCTAACGAGCTTGGAAAGAAAAACAAGATGCGAGGGCTGTTCGGACTTGGCAAGAAGAAGACAGACGAGCCCGCAAAGGCACCATCAAGATCAGATCCCGCCGCGAATGCTGCCAGTGGCATGGGCAAACTGAACAGGAACCCTCCGACACGACAATCCACAACATCACCCATCCAGACACCTTCCTCCCCAGGCCGCGGGCTGTCCTCGTCCCCGAGGCTTGCGTCACCGGCCGGCAGCCAGATCTTTGAGCGGGATGTACAAGAGGCCGCACTTGTCCCGAACTCACCTGCGATCCCGAGCCACATTATGACCGAAAACCATGTGCCGCCTGTCCTCGACGACGCCTCCAAGGCCATCACTGATGACCACCTTGATCCAGACTCCGTTGAAATTATCACCCACGCAAGCCATCAGCCCGCCGCAGTTGCCGTCACCGGCGTCTCCGACCACATGTCCAATAGCTGGCAGGATGACCTAGCCTCTAGCCTGGCAGCCTCAGATTTCAGACCGGTGCATGACCACACGGACTCTGGGAGCAATTACGGCAGCCTGGATAATGTTGACATTCGTAGGCTGAGCTTCATCAGCTTCGCGGACGTGGTGCAGGCGGAGCATCAGGGCCATGCTGGCCTGGGTGGATCGAGGGAATCGATTCACCTCGCAGGTCTCACCAGCCTCTCCTCCGTGGGTGGCATGAACCGATCACCGTCACCAATACGCTCTCCCGTCTCTTCGGCTGGTGGAGCCTCACCACCACGTAGCAAGACGGGGTCTCTGAAGGGCATCGACACATCACCCAGCCGAAAACCTCTGGCCAGTCCCGTGTCAACGAATCTGTCCATGTCGCCATCCATACCTGCCATCGGCATCCCTGGTGAGGTCAACGTCGAAACAATGAGTCAGGCCCTAGGGAGAACGGGCTCTGACCTTAATGGGATGAGGAGCATCCCAATCAGTCCTGTAGAGGGGGCACCGTCGCGTTAGTTGCGCGTGGTCAAAAGAAGCTGTGAGGTGCGCGGCTGTCCTTGTCCGCGTCGGCTGGCAGTTGAAAGGTTTGGAAGGATCATGCGGCCGGCCTCGGTGCCGCCGCCGGTGTGAGAAAGAGCAATGCCTAGAGAGTCGACATTTCAAGAGAGAGAGGACACTTTCTGAGGAGTCGCTGGTACATTTGGCTGGGTCAATCCGAGGAAGACTCACGAGGAGGCGCTATTTCAATTCTTACGGACTTTTGAAAACTCGAAACAAAATCCGGCTGCTTACGATAACTTCATTACACTGAGGAGGCATTTCCGAATTCGCGACAACATACCCCTACGAACGATTACCCATTTGATTTCGCGCAGTCGTTACTTCTATTGCCCAAGGGAGGTGGAAGCAGTTGATTACGGTCGGCGAGGCACCCCTGGTAACGTGCTTGTTTTCGTGTGTCTGGCTTCACGGGAGAACGGAGCTTGGTGGGAAGTGACGATATCGATGGGCTTTCTTTGCTGTGCTTTTTGTTGCCGCCTTTTTTCCTGATTTTGACTACCTGGCCATGCCTATTTTTTGCTAAGAGGGAAGAGGACAAGGGAGCCAAGGAGGCTGCTTTGCTTAACTTTTATGTGCCTTGGAGAAACAGCTGATTGATAGGTTACCTAGAAGATACCTGCAAATATGGGGGAAACTGCGAGGGCAAATCGAACATTACTTTCCCGTCTACTACTCAGCTTTTCGTCCTGTGTGATGTCGGATCTCTCTCATCGAGTCGGTGAATAGGAACCGTGAGGAACTGACGACGAGGCGGCTTGCCGGATGCCAGACCGCCTCTCCGGGATGCTCCTCGCCCTATGCCACTGATTTGCCGTGCCCAAAACAAGGATTGGAAGTATGTTGTGTGGGGGAGAGGAGGTAGCTGCTCCGCAATACACGTGTGAGCGTATCGGGTGGGTCTCACGGCCGGGCCTGGCCGGGTATGGAGAACGGTCTTGGTATTTGTCCGGGAGCTTCGACAAAAGAATCGGAAAAGGGGGTCCGGAAAAAACAGAGCAACGAGCAGGGATTGACTGTCATAGCTCCGTGTGCCGCGATCGGAGGGTGCCGAGCGAGAGATGGGACAAGAAGAGACCGACTGAGGCGTTTGACGGTCGCCTCTTGCTTGCGGGAAGCGAGAGGGCGGGAGAGCTCTCCTCCCGTAACGACGCCAGCACGCGATCTGCGTGTGTGGGTTGGGTCGGGTTGGGCGGCTACTTTGCGGGCAAGGCTTGAGAAGGTCTTGTTGTTTGCCGTCTCCCACCTCGTCGGAACGGAGGCGAGGGAAGGCAAGGTAAGAAGGGATGGGCGGCGTGCCTTTTCCTCCCGCTTCCCCTGCCCGAGACATGTGCGGTTGCTATGGCTGCTAAGGACGAGAGAGTCGTCGCGTGCGTTCGTGCGACGTCGCCTGGCCGTGTTTGGCTTTGCATCTGGCACGCTTTTGTTGTCTTCTTCTTCTTCTTCTTCTTCGTTCTTTTTTCTTTCTTTTCTTTCTTTCCTCCGGAGTCTTACATGGTCTTTGGGGGAAGGGGGAAGGATGAGACAGTCGCCGAAGGTCATGTATGAGTTTACTTGGCTTCTGTGTTGATCAGTTGCCAGTGGGTCCGGAGGCGCACTCGGGCGGGCTATATTGCCGACTCTGCTTGGTCTATTAGGAAAATGGACTTGTGAATATACTAGGTAGGCTTGAGTTTTGATGTTGTGATAGTCGAGTCGTGTCGGCTGTACCTTTGAGGAGGGTATTCTCAAGCACCACTGGTGGGATGGTTGGGAAGAGTTGATGATCGCTTCCATATTCACGCCCGCCGCGGTCCATACTTGCCAATATGCCGTGGGTAATAGTGGCACAAGACACGACACAATCGTATTGACTGATCCCGTCAGGGCACGGGGGTTGTGCTACACGGGCCCCAACCGCAGCAATACAAGATCGATATTTGCCATCTGGTATTGCAAGATGCCGACTTGACAGCTTCCACGACAGGGTCGATTAGCATCCGGGAGAGAAGGTTGTACAGCACACGAGATGTCAGGGCCTGTGTCTTGTCCTGTGTGTAAATTCTGGCCTGGTCTGTTCGATGGTGTTAGTCATTCGGCTTTGTGCCGTTCAATGGCAACTACCCGGTATCATCTCATACCGCGGTGACCTGGTCATCGAAAGGTACTCGTCAGGAACGTCGCGCCCTTTGGGTAATTCTCGACGCCAGTTGATCCAATCCAACAAGGGAGTCGCCGAATGTCAGCGTGACTCGGAGCCGCGATCGGACAGGCCAGACCGGAAGTCGGGTGAGTAGCCGGCCAACTTCCATTCGCCCTGCACCCAGCATCCGTTTTCCGACCACCACCTACCTCCCCTTGCCCAATCGTATCCCTCGCCTTGTGGTGCTCGACTACGAAGCAATATGATACACAACTTCGCAGCATGGCCCCGGATGCCTGCACTGCGACCACATCATTGTCCAAGGGGTGAGTGGCTGCAGGATTAGCTGCTAACCTGTCACGCCTGTTTGATATTACCGATCGAGCAGGCCGCCTGTGGGGACCAACATCTGTCACCCGTCAGGCTCCCCGTCAGTCTTCCCGTCCCACATCTTTGTATCCGTCGGTAGACCGCGACGAGAGAAAGCGAGCGAAGGAAGAGTGGGTCAGAAGACACACGCCGACTCAACTTAGGTCTATTAGGCTGTTGGGCTACTGTTTCGCGGCTATGTCACGGCAATAGACCGCAGATAACGGCGACCACGCTGCCATGGCGCCAGGGACGGCATGCATTTGTCCATGGACCATGGATGGACGGGCTCTGCTATCACAAAGTCTGCCACCCCGGCGCGGCGCAGATCCTTTTTTTTTTCACCATGCCGCTGACTGGCTGGCTGGCTAGTCAAACGGGCCGCCCGATTGTATTTTGCAACCTCTGGTCCCAGGATACAACTGGTCCCGTCGGGCCCAATGCTTGTTTTCGATCCGGACCTAGTGGCCAACTTCCATTGCCGCTCCCCACCGATTCTCGGACCGCAACCGTCGTCAAGTCACTTAGTCGCTCAGCCTGTCTGTCTGTCAGTGTGTCTTTCTGGGGCCGTGGTAAAGGAAGCCCGCGCTCCACCCTATACTTAGGTCGAAACAGGAAGGCATCCACGGTGGATCTCGCTGCCGGCAGCCGATGACTCTTGGGCAGAGAATGGGGCATAACCTCCCGGACACAGGATGCCACCTCGCGCACACCCCAGACTCACACTGCGCATGCACAGGAACCAATGCAGTCTAGCAGTCTAGATAAGGCGAGTGCCTTGCTGCCACGACATGGGAGATCGTCCTTGGCCAGGCCTTCCTTCTCTCCTCCACCATCGGCCAGGTCGATCGAGCCTCCTTTGCCGCAGCGATATCGTCTGTCTCCCCAGGTGCGGAACCTCCCCAGACTTGTCGTCTTGTCTCCATAGCTCCCGGCTTTTTGCCGAGAGGCGGGATAGGCCCGATTGTCTTCAATTTTGTCCACCTTATATGTGTCACCGTCTCAGCCTTCGTCTCAGCAGCAGTGGAGGACCCGTTGACACTACTTGGCAACCGAGAAGTCTCGCCTGCTATGATACCCTCACTATCCCCCTTAGTCCTCAAAACGAAGGTACCCTAAGTCCCCGTCCCATGACACGTCAAGATGAACACGACCAAGAAGCAACCCGGTGCCCCTGCCGTGGGAGAGCAGCACGACCGAAAAGACGACGACGGGTACGACAATGACCTAGAAGCCGGACGAACCGATAGGGAAGAAGGGGACCACCGCTCAACAACCCTCACGGTCTCAGAAGACTCAGACGACGACTCCTCCCCCTCCTCCTCGCCGTCCTCCTCCCGCCGGCACAGCGCCACCAGCACAGGCGGCCCGGCCCAGCGGACGGCCAGCCCGCCAGCCCCGATGGTGCGGATCTCGACCAACGTCTCGCTCGGGCCGGACAACCCCGTGGAGCACTACACGTCGTACATCGAGGTGCCGGACTCGGTGTACGACCGGCTCCCGCAGCACCGCAAGCTGGTCATCGTCGCCCTGCTGTCCTTCTGCTCGTTCCTGGCCCCCATCTCGTCCACCACCGTGCTCTCGGCCGTGCCCGAGGTCGCTGCCACGTTCCACACCACGGGGTCCATCATCAACCTGTCTAACGCCATGTACATGCTGTTTATGGGCCTCTCGCCCATCGTGTGGGGGCCATTCAGCGAGGTCTGGGGGAGGAAGATTGTGAGTTGGGCCGTCTTGTTTTCCCCATCTGCGAATCATGATTGTTTTGGGTGGATGGTCGTGGTTCTTGCTGTGGCAGGAGCAGCTTGGAGACTGAGTATCGCAGCGCTGACCTTTGTTTGGGTGGACGTCCAGATCACTTGCACGACGGCAGTGCTCTTCTTTGGCTGCAGCATCGGAACTGCACTGGCGCCCAATCTGGCTGCGTTCTTCGTTTTCCGCATCTTGACAGCCTTTGAGGGAACGGCATTCCTGCTCGTTGGGTCGGCATGTCTACAGTATGTGTCCCGTGCATTAAGAAAAAACGCCACACTGCCTTCTCGATGTTCTGCTTTTCTCTATTTCTTGACTGACATTCGGGATCAGGGACATCTTCCGCCCCACTGAACGAGCGACGGCGATGGGGTGGTTCCTTAGCGGGACGCTGATTGGGCCAGCCATCGGCCCCTTTGTGGGCGGTATCATCGTCACTTACACCGACTGGACCGTCATCTTCTGGGTGCAGGCCGGGCTCGCCGGCCTGGCGGCGCTGGGGGCGATCTTCCTGCTGCCCGAGACGATCCACCACAAGAAGATTGACGATCTAGAGGGCTTAAGCAACATGAAGAAGGTCACGGTGCTTGCGAACATGATCAACCCCTGGAGGCCGCTCAAGCTCTTCCTATTGTATCCGAACCTGTATGTCGAGAATTTTGCTACATCAGATTTTCTGTGTTTGAGATCTTGTGGACAAAACTCTGGGGTTACGACTCTTGGTCTATATTTTTCTCTCCCTTCTGCTTACTTCCGCCGCCTTACGTGATGTTTATAGACTAACCATATCTGCTAGAATCCTGTGCGGTGTTGCTTCCTCTTCCCTCGTCTGGAACATGTACTCTCTTCTCACACCCATCCGCGTAAGCATATTTTGGATTATCTTTCTTGAACCTTCGGTGATATAAATTAGCCGTGTTGATAGACTACCTCACTGTCTACGCGGAAGCCCCCTTTAGGCCACAGCCTGCTAGACTGTCTGTGGGCGGGTGGGAATTGTTCCCGCTCTATCATCATGTGAAACCTGCTACTCGGTGCTTTTCTGGCTAACTCAGAACGACGCAGTACGTCCTCAACCCGCGCTTCGGCCTGACATCGCCCATGCAGTCCGGCCTGTTCTACCTGGCCCCGGGGGCGGGCTACCTGACAGGGACCTTCTTCGGCGGGCGGTACGCGGACCACGTGGTCAAGAAGTACGAGCGCAAGGAGGGCACGCGGGTGCCCGAGGACCGGATGCGGTCGGCGCTGCCCTTCATGGGCGTCGTGATCCCCGGCTGCGTGCTCATCTACGGGTGGAGCGTGGAGAAGGAGGTGGGCGGGATCCCGCTGGCCGTCATCGTGCTGTTCCTGCAGGGCGTCGCGCAGCTCTTCTGCTTCCCCTCCCTCAACACCTACTGCCTGGACGTCATGCCGGGCCAGGGCAGCGACGTCATCTCGGGCAACTACGTCGTGCGCTACCTGTTCGCGTGCCTTGGCACCGGCGTCGTGCTCCCCGCCGTGCAGCATATAGGCGTCGGCTTGTTCAGCACCATCAGTGCTATCTTCCTGGTCTGCAGCGCTCTGGGCATCTGGGCCACGGTCACGTGGGGCCGCGGGTGGAGGGAGAAGGCTGACCGGAAGAGGAGGGCGAAGAAGTTCGCGCGGGCGGAGAGGGAGAAGGGGGACGCCAGGGAGGCTAGGCACGTCGAGGGTCGTGCCAGGAGGTCCTCAAGTTCTGCGGGCCGTGGGCGTGAACGTGCGAGGGAGCACGTGGATCCTGAGAAGGGGCAGGTGCCGGCGCCGGCGGGCGTGGGCGTCTTGACTCCTAGGGATGACACCTCGGCACGGCCGTCATGACAGTAGCGTGCCTTTGGATATTGATACAAAAACAGATACTGCCGCTGGCTATAGCAAGGTGACTGATTGTAGCCCGGTGCAGAAGGATCATGAGAAGTGCGGTGATGTCAAAGAAGCTTTCGCCACCCTGCCATCTGGTGGTAACATGAACAAGCAGGTCAAGCTGCCGCGAGGGCTTCCAAAAAAAAAATTGGAGCTCAAGCCCTTGGGTTCCATTTTTACGACGACGAGGTCACCAAGACTAAATGATCAGGAGATACTAGTCCCAATTGCCTCAGCACGGTGCCTTTTTCAGCTACCAATTGCCTCACATGAAAGCTGTGGTTCTCGAGATTCGAGCATGCGGAGGCAGACACAACTACGACTATACATCCTGCTAAGGCCACAGGACTATAGTCGACGCCAGATTTGACGAGGTCGCCGTGCCAGGCTTGAAGCACAGTCGGTGAAGCAGAACTTACGTGTAGCTCCAGCAAACTGAAGTGATCAGGGCTGACGTCTGTACTTCGTCAACCCATCTTTTTTCGACTGGCCGCCGACGGGTAGCAGACCGCCCGGCTACGCTGAGTGTCGTATGTCGTGTTATAGGTTGGGGGCGACCGCCCAACCCACGCACATGTCACCCAAGACGGAGGGCTTGTTGGCCCGTGAGCAGACCCCGTTGCGGGTTGTTTACCCGCTTGACAGTTCGAGCTGTTTCCGCAAGACCAGGCTGCCGGCGCTGTGAGTGTTTCTGGCCCGTTTCCGTGCGAGTTGCGGAAACCCCTCATGTGTTCCTCTTCTGTCCTGTTCACTCGGGCCGGACCTCGCGTCAGTGTGGCTGATTGGGAAACCACGGGCGCGGTTGCGTGTCTGCAAGGGCGGGCTGATGTGGACATGGGACTTCCGTGGTACTCCGCCTTCATGGTAGTTCAGACGAAAGATGGACTCGTCTAATCAAAGCACATGATAGCAGGGTGGGAAAATCGGCAGCTCGGTAGGTGCGGGATCCGGACGAGTTGAGGGCCAGCCATGTGAAGATATTGAGAATGGCCGCGAATCTCTGACCGGTTGCTCAAAAAAAAACAAGTAGCACAAGGCGTACAGGAGTCGGCACTTTGCTTTGAGATTTGCGCGACGTGCAGGATCGGGCATATGCCAGGACCCGTCGGTGGCAGGACACTTTGATGGCACACAAGATCACAAGATCACGATGTACCGGTCAAGTCATACATAGATCATGCGAGTCGTGCTCTCATCCTACCCACCTGGTATTGCCATCCGAAGGGAAAATATGCCTTCGTCTGGTGGATAGTATGCTTACCTAGGTACTGTATTGATGCTTCATTGGTTTCTGCTGGCTGACTCGCATGCTGACTGTCAACACTTGTTGTTCTGTGTCAGGAGCCTTACAGCGAGCAGGCACGCATTGGCGCAGCTGACGTCATGGGGGAGCTGATCTGAAGATGAAAGACGTGGAATTTGTCAGTCCAAGAGACAGTGCGCATGGGCCGGTCTCCGCCCGAGGTGTAAACAAATGCAAAAGAAGGGACGGTTGCGCGGCTGGGGTCACGCAATTAATACTGGACCAGGCACTGCGGTTGGTATAGTGGCAACGATATTAATAGATTGACTGGGCGACGAGCGAGTGTGTGTGGGCACATTGTGTTGGAATTTACTGAGTGATTGATTGTCGAGAGTCTTGGGTGACAGAGTGAGTGGGTGGTTGGTGGTCGGTTCTCCTGCTCGAGCTTAAGTTTGAAACAAAACCTGCGGCACGAGCCCGAGTCTCGGCAGGTTGTCGCATGTTTCACAACCCCTGGGAAGGTCGCGCAGTGGCGTGCCACCCCCACTTGTACTTCTTGTCCTCCCGACAAGCGGCCGAAAAGGGGATCATCAAGCCTCAAGTCGAGATTCTGCAAACGATGGAACTGGCCGTCTGGGCCTCTTGAAGTGGCTGCAGGAGTGGACCGCGCAGGTACGAGGAGCGAGAGACTGGCAGGGCTGCATCGGAACTTTATCGTCACGACTGTGAGAGGCCGTTGCAGAAGACCACACACACACACACACACACACACAGCTCAGTCGCTTTGCATTCTAGAAGGGCAGCCTCTAACTCCAACAGGCCCCAGATCCCGCCATCGGTTGTTTCGGAAGACATGTCAAGTCATGTCGCGAGAGCAGGGTGTGGGACGGGGTCGCTCACGCTCACCGTCACAGTAACAGATCTAAGCTCTCGTCTCGCCTATTTAAGGTAGTGGGGGCTCTGGGGTCTGTTAGCGGCTAATGTAGCTTCATCCCCAGTCCGTCTGCAGGGGCGTCCCATCCCAGCGCGCGCCCCGGTCGGCATTAGCGGCTTGGCCCTCAGAGCCTCCTCGCCTTGGGCTCGACGACAGCTGGACCCCCGATTTCTTGTCTTGGCCTCGTCCTCTTCCTTCTCGATAGCCTCTCCATGAGATAGGCGATGGCTTTATACCCCACCGGAATTGGATTATGCAACTATATTCAACTTAAGGTTCGTTGACAACTCATGCACTCGCTATTCTCATGCGATGTCGTTGTCTTGCATGACGATAGAAAAGTGAGAAAAAGAGAGACGACTGCAACAACACAAGTCAGGTAATATCGAGCTCTGATTCCCATGTCTGTCCAATGCTCGCACCAGTGCTCCCGACGACGCAGCCCGAGTGTCGTCCTGTACGTTGTGCAATGCAATGCAATGCATCTGTCCAACAGCGTTCTCGGACTCGTACTCGGCGTCCGCAGACAACGCAGGGACGCCGTCGTCGAGCTCGAACCTACCTTGCTTGGTCCGTTCCTTGGCCAGTGGGCGCGTGGCTGCGGCGCTGTAGCAGACACGTGGGGCTCAAGCGAAGCTGGCAGCGTTTGAAAAAACAACTCCACACTCCAGGTTCGGGCCAGAGTCCGGACGACCGAGGTGGATTGCGTATTCCGATTTCGAGTTCGATTTTGATTTCGATTACTAACAGCAGAGGTTCCGCGTATTAGGCCTGCATGGCACGGCTAGAGTGCCGGCATGAGGGCCAAGGCTGAAGCATGTTGGTGTCGCGGGGGCGGAGCCGCGTCGAGGATCGGCATCTCCTGGCGAGGGACCCATGCAGTCGAGTGGAAATCGGGCCAAGTCGAGGCACAGTCGAGCCCAGTCGAGCCCACTTCAGATCGTGTCTCCCATTGTCGGGCCTTGGGGCCGTCACACCCATCAGCACGATCGGGAGCTACGTTCCTAGACAGATACTAGACAGGTACGTGCGACTCGAGCCAACCCAGCGGGAGATCAATGCGTTGCAGGCTCCAGGCCTGCTGCTAGCAAGTCCCTAGGCAGGTCCAAGTGGTGAGTGGTGGGTTGCAGGTGGTCTTTCGGATCCACCGTTACAGCCAACGGCGATAGCGTACGGCAAATTCTCCTAGTCTCTTGCCGTTGCACTGTTGCACTAGGGTTTCCTGTTGGCGATTCCGTACCATCTTGTCGGGGAATACACCAGCCTGTCTGCCTGTGTGTTGCCTTGGCTGGTGGCAGGTACCTCTCACGCTCTCATCTCCGTCTCCGTCTCTGTCTCTGTCTCTGTCCTCTCCTTTGTCTCCTCCGACTCAGAGATTCACGACTTTACATGCCCCCCTTGTTGTCTGCTGTGATACTTTCCTTTCCTATACTTTAGATTCTAATTGCCCTGGGTAAACAAGCAAGAAATTCAACTCAGTCAACAGCCTTGGCAGCAGGTTCTGTTTATTTGTGGGCTTTATTTGTTTTCGACCCATATCCATACCTGTGCCCATACCCATACTTTCTTCCCTTCCATTACCTGGGCCTACACGGTACCTACCTAATACTTGCGGCAGGGCGTCACAGCATCATCCCATCCCGTCCCGTCCAATCCACCTGGACTGCACCTGCCACAACCGACGTCTCTGTCTCCGTCTCTGCCCGTGGTTTCCCTTTTCACCTCGTCGCCCCGCCCTCCCTTCCATCGTTTTTGTCCTGTCCTGTCCTGTCTTGTCCTGGTCGGACCAAGTCAAATCAAGTCAAACCCAAGTTCAATCAGCTCGACTCGAGCCTCTCTGCCATCTCCGCCATCTTCGACATTTACCTTTGCCTTCCCTTTCCCACCTCTGTCTTGGCACCACCTGACCTCCTTCTGCGCCGGGTCACGCAGACACGCACCTTCCCTCGAGGCGCGTCACCCCCAATCAGCACTCAGCATCTTGCTGCTCGGGCTGATCAAACAATCCAAGTCTTCGAGCTTGTGGCTGCCTATACCCGCTGCCAGCCTCCACGAAAACCAACTTCGAGATATCGGCCGAGTCGCTCACTCATGTTGAGCCACGCTCGAGTTCCTTGAAGCTGCTCCCCCACCTCCACCACGTGTCGCCTCGGGCAGCTTCACATCACCGTCTAACCCACCCCTAATTATCTAGTATGGAGAGGAAGAAGTGTTTGCCAGTCTCACACCCTTCCTCGAGAACGTCCTCGCCGGCCTCGCGAAAGACTGACTCCATGTTGCCTTTACCCGTTCAGGCCTCCTCGAGGTTCCCCATGCGGGCCCTCCTCAGTCATTGCCTCTACCGACGGGTCATGATATGGGCTATCACCGTCACCATCCTCTTGTGCCTGGTGCTTTTCTCGAGTGGAGTGCAGACCCGACATGGCAGGATCTTGGATCTGGTCGACTTCAGGAAAGGCAGCCACTCCGAGACCACTAAAACCGGCCTTGGCAAAGGTTCCGCAACCATTGAGCAGCAAGTGACCATCGAGAAGTCAAAGGAGGAGGGCAAGAAGGAAGATGCCAAAGGCCGAGATCCTCTCCATTGGCTGGAGTACAAGCAGTAAGTTCGAGCTGAAGGGCAACTTGCTCGCCTCAAGGGTCAGATTTCTAACCAAGTCTGCAGCATGGACGGCTACTTCAATGGCATCAAGGCCCTGGTACCCCTAAAGGAGCATGTCGCCGAGTTTCCAGCCAGGCCAGATACCCCGCCTGTCATCACCGTCTCTCTCCAAACCGCTCTTCCGACTCCTACAGTTTATGCCCCACACCCGGACTATCAGTCATCGGAATATGTAGAGAAGCACTATCCTGTGCAAACATGCTACCTCAACGAAGAGAAGCAAATCCCAGCCCCGGATTTGTACGTGTACGATGGACTTCCACAGGGCGTCGCGAGGCCTGCATTGGGATCATACGAGCTCCTGGGACTTCGAGATGACATCTGCTACGATCGATTTGGCCGATATGGACCCTACGGTCTGGGTTACAGCCTCAAGGACGGCGGTGTTGGAGAGGGCATGGATACCGAGAGCGAAGGAAGCGAGTACGTATGGAACAATACCGGCAAGATCGACTACCACAACATGAACTGGGGAAAGCTTCAGAAGCGCTGTGTCGAGAAGAACCGTGCACGATTTTTCGAACCCGAGGACAGGGAGATTGAGAAGAACGACAGCGAGAAGGACGCCCAGTCGCGTCTCGGCAATGCGTCAAAGCAAAAGATAGGACGTATTGCGATCGTGATACGAACCTATGTTGGATTTCAGTGGACACATCTCGCCATCCTCAACTTCCGCGCCATGATCTCCGAGTTGTCCTTGCGTTCAGGTGGTGAGTACGACGTGCACTTCCTCCTCCACGTCAAAGACAAGGAACAACCAATCTGGGCCGACGCGGAAACCGTGCAAAAGATCCTTGACTCAAACATGCCACCCGAATTCCATTCCATCACTTCCCTGTGGTCTGAGCCGCAGATGAAGCTGCTGTATCCCGGGCACTTTGGAGATGCATTTGAGAACCCATCGAACGGCGACATTCACGGTGTTTACCGTTCTGCCCACATGCCACTGCAGCATTTCGCAATGATGCACCCCGAGTACGAGCACTTTTGGAACTGGGAAATGGATATGCGCTATGTCGGAAATTACTACGAATTGTTCGACCGGCTCGGTGCCTGGGCCAAGAAGCAGAGTCGAGTCGAACTTTGGGAGCGCTCACAAAAATACTACATCCCCGAGTACCACGGCAGCTGGTCCAACTTTACAGACGTTGTTCACCAAGAGACTGACGCGTCTGGCCGTCGAACAATTTTTGGGCCCGTCATCTTTCCTGGTCGCCAGGCTCTACGTGCGCAAGAGCGCGGGTTCAGCTTCATGCCTGATACATGTGCCAGCGGAGGAAACATCACAGAGTGCGGCATAGGCGAGGAGGCGGACCTAATTACCCTCAATCCCATATTTGACACGGACGAGTCCGGCTGGGTTTTTGCTAAAGATGTGTCTGGATACGACCGCAACATGCCAGTTCCGCCTCGGCGTTGTGCAATCGTCACAGCCTCCCGATTGTCCAGGCGTCTACTCCAGGTCATGCACGAAGAGACATGGCGTCTGCACCATAGCATGTTTTCCGAGATGTTCCCGGCCTCGATGGCACTGCATCACGGAATGAAAGCTGTGTACGCACCACATCCCGTTCTGATTGACAGGAAATGGGACATCGACAGGGTCGACTGGGCTTTCAACGGAGGCCGTTCTCACAGTACCAGTGGCCGCGGCTCGCCATACGATCTCGACAACGAGCACAACCACGCAGGCACTAGCTGGTATTATAACAGTGAGTTTGCGGGTCTGTTATGGCGCCGCTGGCTGGGTTACGCCCAGTATGACGGACGCGGTGACAACGGTGGACGCGCTGGGGAGGGGACCCTACGTGGAGGAAAGGCAGAGGAAAGCCGACCAGACAGCACGGGCCGGTTATGTCTGAGGAGCATGCTCGTGCATCCCATCAAGTGGGAGAACCCATCGGAGAGAACCTAGGGAGGGTTTCACCATTCCCTGCCTGACAGCGATCAGGACAGGAGAACGATTTGCATTTTGAACGCACAGCGAGGGGAGATGACCAACATGATCCACTGATCGATGGATGGATGCTTTAACATCATGTCTGAAGCAAAACAAGAAGGCAGCATTGTCAGCTTTTGATCCGAGGTCCCGGATGGTTTCTCGGCAACGTCATTGGGCCTTTTTGGGGGGACCGCATTTTCGGCGAATGGCGCAAATTAGTACATTCTGAGTACTGCATGAACATGATGTACATATTGATCAACACTGGGAGATAGATCACGCGAGATACACACACTTTACGATAAAATGCCACAGGCCATTTCCGTACAACCAGAGTCAGTGGAGAGTTCGGAAGTAATAGGTGCCTCGGGGACCTGATATTAGGGCATGTCGGACAAAGACTTCCTTGGTGATCTGAAGAGACAGAACCGTCGTATAGAATCAAGACCTGGAAGTTAATGAAATCCATAGTGCTACAGCAGACTTCGCTTGAGTGATTTGTTTTCGTACATGGGTTTGAGGAGGAGGACAGGGAAATTTCACACAGCAATGTCTCCAATGTTACCATGCAGGCCATTCTGAAGCGTTCAAGATATGAATTGGGAGCAAAATTCAGGCCCTCGTTGGCTTCTCTCAGCGGGCGTAGACTGGGGATGAGATGCTGAATAAAGTCAGCTTTTAAGAGCTTTTAAGAATGGGCGTGGAACGTCCTTCCGCGACTGGCTTGCCATTCTCTTCCCTCTCTGAGTGAAGGCTGACTTTGTGGCAGACAAAGTCCTCCCTGTCTGCCTGCTATTTTGTTGAGGTGCTCATCCGAGCATTGGAATGCAGGTGGATTTTTTCATTGAGAGACATACAGCCCGGTGCTAATTGGAAAATGGCCTGATATCAGGTCGCTTCAAAAGGTGTGTGAGGGCAGATCTATCTACTTCGGTTATATGTGCTCTAATCCAGACTTGGAGCGGTGTGCGTAATCGAAGATCACTTCAATTTGTTCCTTCGACATTGTAGACTATTCTGGGTAAGTGAGTTTGATCCTAAAAATATCTATTTTCAACGTGATCTCTATCTCAGTCTGGTCTGATAACATTTGAAGTGTCAGAGATACGGCGACGGCTTATTCCCAGAGGATGCAATGACCTAACTATTCGGCATCATCATTGAAGGCAGTGTACCTACATGTTTCGCATAATTAGAACACAAATAGCAGCATACAGCAGAGACACCAATCAGAAAGGAAAAGCTCGTAAAACCGACATGGACCACTGTCGAAGGCAAGTCCTTCATACTAAAGCCTCAAAGCCTTGTTTCCCTCTAGCTGTATCACATCAACACACCTCACAACCAACACCCAAAGCCCCACAAACCTGGGTGAGCGAAGATCAAACCTCATCTCAGGGTTTATCTCATCGTCCAGTGCTCACTCAGTTGACCCAGCCCACGAACCGCTGTGCGACTTGGCTCACGTAGGCGGAATTGCCAGCGCCGTTGGGAGCGAGGCTCAAGTCCGAGGGGATGACGCTGCCTGAGTTATACTCGCGCAGGGCAGGGTAGATGGACTGCGGCGCGTTCTGGTCACCCCAGTCGACCAGGTTCCTCTTGTAGTGCTGTGTGCCGCAGTCCACCATGTAGGTGATATCAGCCTGGGATACGGGTGGGTGGGTTAGCAAATGTTGGGGTGTGGGCCCCGCTGGGCGGAGTGCTGGGGGTCTTTTCTGCATACCTGGGCGAGATCGTTCTGCCTGTCGAAGCCGTGGCATCCGCTTGCTTGCATCAGGCCGCCCGTGGCCTGGCCGTCCGCGTTCCAGGTCGTCACCACTCCGACGCCCCCGTGGCTCTCCTCCATCATGATGCCTAGAAGGACTCGGGGGTCGATGCCGGAGGAGCTGGCGACGCCGGTGATTGCGGTATAGATGCGGTTCACTGTGAATATTTTGTTAGTTTCTTCCACTTATTATTTGTTTTCTTTGGGGGGGGAGGGGGCAACATGAGTGATTTGTTGACCAGCTTCAATGTTAGAACGCCAGGTGGAGTTCGAGCTGGTGAGATTCGTTTGGAGCCGTTTGTGCGAAGGCCCGTTGAGAGAAGGTTTTCAAATTTTGCTTACCATCCTGCTGAGTGCTTCCAGCCGCAAGCATGGAGGGCTTGTTGGAATTGAACTGCGTACAAACACGACATTTTCAATGTTAGTGAGCCTTATCACATCTCAAACGTGCGTGTCAGTAAGACGGAACTGTGTGGAAAGGAAACGTACCATGCTGTCGAAGCCCACCCACGTGTTCATGGCAGGGAAGCTCGACCAAGGACCGGAGTAGAAGTTGCTGGCTGGCCGAGCGTCGCTCGTGAATGGAAGGGCTGACTGCCTGCCATTTGCCTGGGCCAAAGCGCTTGGAGCGCCAAAGGCGCTGGACAGGTTACAAGCCAGGACGGCAACGATGAGTGGTGTGATAGACACCATAGTGGCAAGTTAGTGGTGAATTGATGAATAGATGGTCGATATGGCTGTCAATACGAAACACGAGTTCTTAAGACGAGGAAGGAACAGAGGTTATCGAATTGAGCTGGATTGGGTTTGATTTGTAGAAGATCGAGGTCCGAGAAATCAGCAAATATTACGAATCTCTTCATGGTGTCTCGGCTTTCATCCAACAGTGAATCACTCTGAACGTCTTCAAATGGTCCTGTTATGCGAAAGGAATCGCAGAAGGCAGTGAGTCAATGATGGATTCGGCTTACCGTTGTAAGACTTTCATTGCGGCCATTCACCAGCGATGATTAAAGTTGAAGCAAGTGATTGTATCTTCCAGTGTGTAAACATCGCCACATATGTGTTTATTAATGCCTGCGTACAGTGTATCAATCCAAAGGGTCACAGTTCCCGCACGCGACTGCAAGTCTCTTTGTAGGTAAGCAGTTGTAGTATTTGTTGTTCTCAAGTATGTTGAATTGTACATTGACATATTCTGTGGTCAGAAGAATCCAGTGTCACTCATTTTGGTGCTAATACTGACTAAATCGTTTGAAAAAGTTGCATATCGTTGAAAACATCGGTGCCGTTTGGCTAGCCAAGTGTTTACCATGGTTTGTAGAGCGTGCGCAGCCTTGATTCTTGAAACCAAGCCTAACAACTGCTAAGCAAAACAGACAGGCCGTCATGCGTATATCGTAGAAATGGTCACTGGAATAAACTCTCATCCGGTTTCTAAACGGCCCTGTTCTTCAGCGCGATGCTGGGACAGGTGTCGAGTAAAGTGAAAAGGTGTGCCCGAGTGGTATGCAGTGTGCATTGAAATGCGGCACAGCATATCTTATGTTTGGGTTAGATTTCTCATCCCCTTGATACTGGCCTCATGAGCTTGATAGCGGCAATTTGTTTGCGGACAATGAATTTGTCAGTGATGAGAACGCTGTCCGAAAATCAGAAGTCGAGAAATGCGGAACGGCTGGAGGCTAGAGGAATCTTCTTGATGGTAGAAGCCGAGCAGTGAGTTGGCATATGAATGTGAAAATGTGAGGTCTCAAACGGTACATCATCGGGAAGTGCGGCAGTGAGAACTTCCTACTTGCCAGCGACATAAATGAGAGCTTTGGAATGCTGTAAGAAGATACTTCAGCTTCACAACGTGAGATTGCTCACCAGGTATTGCAATAACAACCCCGCGCTGCTTGTACAGTATGATGAGCATGTATATTTCTAACAAATAATTAATGGTTTCTAAGATAATTTGTACTTGGTGCTAAATGTATATCATCATGATCTCGGGAATGCTTGCCAGTCCTCCAAGTGTGCTCCTGAATCCAGCTCCGCACATGCATGATACTCTTTATAGTCCGGCCGGCCGCACTGTATCACATGTATTATATAATACAGTGCTGACGCTTCTTTGTATCTTATATCTGTGGGATTAACGACTTCAACCGTCGATTGGAACATTCAAGGCGGCTAGAATTAGCCCACCCAGTATTTCAGTATTCTTGTTTGGCTCTAATGTTACAGTTCCACTTCTCGATCTGGTTGTAGGTCATCACTCCACACGACGCGATCAGCAATTGGTTTCCCGTGTTTCTAATTCTGAAATAACGAGCATCCTGACGACATATTTGCAACAGCGTACTTGTGTGCTATTCACAGACCAGCTGTAGTATAGCTACCAGGATACTTCATGACATCCGCACCATATACTCTACCCCACATTCTCATATCTCCGGAGAATCTTCAACAAGAGAACTTGCTTGATCGGAATCTTGGGGTGCGTGCCGAGATTTCAATGTGCAAAGGTGCGTGCCAGTTGCAATCAACATAACCAGCATCGTAATGCAAGTCATCAAGAAGATGATGTATAAATTCGGCGACAAGAACATGACCAGCTCATCAGTATTCGTAGGTTCATCGTACTTGTCAGGCGGCCAAAAAGCCTTATCCAATGCTTTTGACTGCTTCGACCCAACTCCGATACTAGTAGCCAGGAGCCCGTCCACGAACACTTGGGCAGCCCAGTAATATACTGAACGACGGCGACTTGATTCTGGGGTCGTGTCGAAGATAACTGTCGCCAAAAAGAGGTGGAGAAAGCCTGCCAACGGGGCGCCCACCAAGACGGCGCCTGGGAGGGTCGAGATTATTGTTGAGAGAGAGTATGACACCCCAATATCCAGGAAAAGCACGGCCAAGAACCATGCCATTAGGGCAATGACGAGCAACGTAGTGAAGACAAAAGTATTCTTGGCAAGCTGGCTGGCTCCAAACGTGGATTTCTCCAGATACCTGAGGCATCTGAGGCTGCCTTGTGGAAGCGCATCCGCATCCGCATCGATCATCGAACCAGAGGACCTCGTCCTGGTAAGGGTGTTGAAGATGGCAGGAGAATGTGGGATATCTTTCCCTGTGGAGAAGGTCAGTACTCCCTTGTTGTTGCCATGTTGATATGTGGGATACGGACCGATGCCAAGAGGTGAAGCCTCTGAATTACTGCTTGGCTGCAGTTTACTGTCGCTGGGGGCAATTGACCTTAGAAATCCCACCACAGGTGCGATGAGGAGGAACACAGGCAGAATCTGTCCGAAACTCCAGGTTCCGCCACGATAGTCACCCTGAGGTGTGCGGTAGCCGTGAACCAAGTAGTCGGGATCGGGGTTTAGTGCGCCTTCTACCGTGTAAAATTCAGTTGAGATCTGAAGGATTCTGCTCAAGCCATACAAGGCGAGGAAGCAAACCCAAAGGATCTATGGCATGTGTGAGCCACAAGAGTGAACGTAGCACGCTTGCCTCTTCGCGGTGGCACTTACCTCGAAGAACATAGAAGACCATAAGAGTAGCCAGGTCCGTAGGAGCAGAAAAACACATAAAAATGGCCGTACTACCAATTCTCGCCACATTACTTCTTGCCATGCTCTTGTGAAATGCTTATTCGCCATTCTGCGGAGCACCGTCTGAGTACTCGAGCTCAAAGACGCCCTTCTCGATTTTGTAGTTGAGAGAAGTTTAGGGGTTATTCTTCCCAATCGAACAACAAAACTGAAGCACATTAATGCTATGGCCAATATTGCTGAGCCAAACTGGGCCGCAGTCTGTGTCAGCATGTCGGTATCGCCCCACTGAAGCCCCAAAGACACCGAGTGAAGATTGTTGGCCATGAACTGCGGACTGAAGAAGCAGGTGGCGTTGCAGTTCCAGGTCAGTATGAGGTCTTCTCCACCATCGTCCTCGGATATTGTGATGGCTGCCATAGGCACCATCGCAACTACGAGAACAATGAGCAGGATACCCATGAGTATCGTTCGAGATTTTCGTTCCCAGGAACGTCCGTGGAGATGTTTGGACATGATGCTTAACCCGGACAGGTGCGTAACGGTTGCAAACCAAGCGAGGTAGCACACCATCTGCCAGTGTGCCCCCTTGAGGACTGGTAGGGATACGAAACCGGCGAGCAGAATACCTAATCCTGTTAAGATTTGCAAATCACACATATTAAGATTGCCCTGCGAGTGAGTAATACGATCAGTTTCTATGCTCGTTGGCTAGTACCCGACGAAGGGCAAACTTGCCTCTCCTAGTGCTTCGTTCAGGCGATATTGATTACGCTCCAAACAGAATGCAAGCCGGGGAAGCCTTTTCCGGCCCCAACCTCGCATACTTCTAAGCACCCAGTCATCAACTGGGTTGACCGGTGCTGCACTACAGATAGCAGGATCGTATGCCCAGAAGTAATACAGGACCATAAAGGCTATGGCGATAAAGGCCCCGCCAACGAAGCCGACAATGACCTGGTGATGTTTGAAGATGTCAGCAGCGCTTCTGGACATACAGGTAGAGATTCTCCAGGATTTACCCCAGTGCCGGCAAGGTCATCGATGCCCACCGGATAGTCTCCGCAAGAAACCTCGCAGGCCGAAAGCCACTCTGAAGACATACTGTAAACGATGCGCCAGGATTGAGCTCGTCTTCTATTGTCTGTCCTGAAATGGAATTTCTTTACATGCTTCAAATGTGCGTGTTGACAAAATGTGCCAGCTGAAAACCAGAGCCCCACTGAGCCAGGCTGCCTGATCCTTCGGGACAGGGATGGGAGCGTAGAGATAGTGAGGGTCGGACCGCATACTACATCGTGAGCATGGGTTGATGTTCCTACATCGCATGCGCCACGTTACGTGAGTTTTCGGAAGCTTAACTTCAGAACTGTCTTACTTATTTCTTGGAGACAGCAATTGTAAATACGTTTCGGTCAACATTTCCTCGTGTATGCATTGATTAACAGGTTCCAGACCATATGGCTCGAATATGTCCAATTGACCCAGACTCTGTCGCAGGCAGACAAGACCATTGTCCTGACGTCTTTTGGTCCGTTTCGTCCACTCGTGAACTGTGTCTCTAGCTGTTTGTGTTCATGTTGAAAGCTCAAGATTTACCTTGTGTCTTAAGCGGCAATTCAGGTCAGGACTAACACATGCATGATCAAGACAGGGCCTACCTATTCTTTTACGTCAATAGGTCAAGAAGCGAAGCAGGAGAAAACCTTTACAGTTAACTCAAATTCCAAAAGTCTGCTGTTCTACTGCCGAGGCCAGCAATTTGCTTTCACATTGACAATGTTGATGTTGGCGCGAGGGGCCCTGGAGATAACTTCACATTGTGCAAACTGGACAGTTTCAGCACTGCCACTGTGGACATCTAGCGCTGAGAGATGAGGCGTCGCAAACACCAATGATAGCTCGCCAAGGCGGGCGTGCCCGCCGTGGCTGCCGACCTGGAGCCCGCTATTGAGTGCCGCTGAGTATCTGCAGATGTATGCAGGGGAAGCAGGTTTTCAGCATATGGATTTCCACAACGGGAAGTGATTGACAGTGGCTAGCCCTACCACTTGTCAATCAAACCCGCCAGCAGCAACACCGCTGAGGCCTCCGGAATCAGGAGACCTCATCGGATCGACCTCGCTGCTGGGCTCACGCTGGTTGACGTGTGAGGTGATCCAGGCAGGCTGGACATTGGCTGGGTGGGCAGAGACGGCGCCGTCGTCGTGACGAGAGATCATCGACGTTGGGGATAAACATGGCAAGGATAGGCCAAGTGCTTTTGATTAAGAGCAAAGATTAGCCAGTACCTAGGCAGTCTAGTGCAGTGTCTTCAATGAGTACAATATCCGCAAAGCCACGAAGTAACGTCTGTATTTCGGCAGATTATGCCCTATTTTCCACGAGCAAGAGATGGGTGCAATGTCATCCCTTGCCTCGCATGTCGTTGAAAGAAGTTTGTGGCTGGTGCAGGTTGCTGCAGCGAGAAGAACCGGCAGAAAGCGGAGGGTGAATGCGGTTTCAGGACCAGCCCATCAATCAGATCGCGCTATAGGTCCACCGGTGTTCTAGGCTGGTGTAGGGATCTGCGACATGGTGCCACAACGCCCATTGTAGTCTGGACAGGCGCGTCGCGGCCAAGGTAGACAGACTATGATCTCACCGGCCAGCGACAGCCCAGGCTGTCGACTAGGGCGCTCGGAAATTGCTGCCCTGGTCGATGATTTGAAGATGGGCTGACCACGAGGACACGGCAGATCTGGAGAGGCACCCAATTGTGGCTCCTGAGCCAACTGTCTCGACCGGGGTACACGACCATGACGTATCACAGGGGCAGAATCTTGGAACCTGATGCAGGTCTCACGACGTAAAACAGTGAACCATGGCGAGATGATAGGTGCTCAGGACTCGTCCGAATAGCTTCATGGCCGTGGCAGCGCTTGTAACGGATACCTGGCACGCCTGGGAACCTGAGAACCTGGGAACCATCGCAGGCCCCTGGCAAATAACGGGGGCGGCGACACACGTCTGGACCGTGGACCGTGGATGTGACTGTGACTTGTCCAATCTGGCTTGCAGCCTAGTTTTGCCCTGGCCACGACGTTGAGAGCAGAAGCGTGCGACTCAGCGTGACTGGTGACTGTCAGGAGCACAGCGGGCCATCTTCAATAATAAATAGCCACCCACTGTTTGTGGTACCTCCTTGCGTCGCGCTCCTGTTTGTGGGCTCCTCCAGCTTCAATAAGACAGGCAGCAATAACCAGCGTCCGGTTTTATACCAGCACCACTTTACCTCGCCTTGTTATTATACCAAATTTATACCTGTCTCCCAGTCTTGAGGCAAGTCAACCGCCAATATGATCTTGACCGATCTCGTCTCCATGATCTTCCGCCTAGCGGAGGTAAGTCGTTGCCACCACCTGAGCCACAAATGTGTATACGCGTAGGTGCTGACTCTCGCTTCATAGCTGGCCTTCGCAGCCATCGTCGCCGGTATAACGGGCAACCACCTGCACGCCAGCCGGGGCCAATCATCCTGGTCCCTAGGCCGCTTCATCTACGCCGAAGTCGTCGCCGGCCTCTCCATCCTGCTGGCCCTCCTCTGGCTGCTCCCCTTCTCCGGCAGTTTCATCCACTGGCCTGTCGACCTGATCATATCCTTCGCCTGGTTCGCCGTCTTCGGCCTGCTGGTGGACTGGCTGCATGGCAGCTGCGGTAACACCTTTGACTGGAGCGGCATCGGCCTCCATGGGAACAACTGCGGCTCATGGAAGGCTGACGAGGCGTTTGCGTTCCTGTCTGCCATCTGCTGGCTCGTCTCCGCCCTGCTTGGCATCTACTGGGTGCGCCGCCACACTGCAACTGGGACTCAGACCACCACTCGGAGGAGGCGCTGGTACCGCTCGCGTGTCTAAGGCGGACGCTTGACGGGCTGAAAGTTTGGCGTGATGAATGACAGTTGCTGTCTGTCTGTCTGTCTGTCCTGACTTACGCCTTTCTTGCCGTTGGATGGATTCGAATGACTTCGGACCGCAGCCTGCGACCTCACTCCGACTTCTGCCTGGAGGAGTACGGCTTGTATGCATTCTTGAATGACGGTTGCAAAGCTGCGGTGTGTTGAACCTGGTGTTCTGCTTGGTTTGTTTTTTTCGTTGGGGACGTTGAGCAAGTTGCTCTGGAGTGGTTTTGAACCACGAGATTCGGAAGGGATGATACCATATGTGCATGAAGATTGATACCCTCACTTGATACCACTATAATAACCACAAATCTAATATTAGTGAAAGCGTTTAACTCCAGTCTTGAATTGAAAATCACTCTTGTACCTATCTTCTGCAAGAGGTGACAGTCTCAAGAGCAAAGATAATCTCCAAGGTTGACATGTGGCTGAGCAAGTCTAGGACACAGGCACGCAACTGACCCAAGTGAATGAAGAAACTCCAAACAAACAGAACTCTGGAAAACACACTACGGACAACCATTTGTGACTTGGATTGGAACTTCAAGACGACCATCATCCCTCCCAATCCCATTGACGCTGTGAACAGGTGAATGTCATCGGCTGGCATGGTCTGAGCACTGATTGAAATAACACTCGCCGTCCATGACACCAATACACGGCAACGATGTCGTTCTTCTCCTTCCTGGCCTCCTTATTGCCAACACGCTTCGTCGCCACCGAGTCGCAGAACGAAGACCACGCCGAGATGCAGGCCAAGAATCAGACCGACGAGCACGCCGCCGTCGCTAAGTGGCGCGACAGATTCACCCTCTTTCCCAGACTGCCTCCTGAGCTGCGCCACATGGTAATCATGCAGGCACTCAAGGAGGAAGAATACGCCCGCGTCGTAATCCTCGATCCAGGCACCGACCGTATCTCCCCAACCGTAGAGCTTGCTGCTCGGAGGTCCCCTCTGCTGTTTGTCAACTCCGAATTGCGTGGCATGGCTCTGACCGTCTACACCAAGCTCGACGTCTTTAGCCTCGGCGCTCCGAAAGACGACCAGTACGGCCCCGAGCATGACTGGTACATTTCTCCAATCTCCGAATTTGACTACTTGGGCTACTATGTCGACATTCGCCGACAAATCGACCAGGAGGCCAAAGACTACGGTGTACACAAGGTGAGACCGTCCGACGCGCTTGGTTCTTTGTTCACTATTGCTTAACTTTTTCTTATTCTGACTATTCGCCTGCAGGGCTCGTTGTACATCAACCCCAAGAAAGACATGTTCATCACCGGGGTCATTCCACGCACTGCTGTGCAGTCTCTGTACTTTCGAAGCATCACCGATGATGAATCCGGTCCCTGGGAGCCGACTAGGGACTGCGTCACAGAGCCTCTTCCGCCGTCCGTCTGCGGCAAGATCACCAAGATGCGGGATCTTGAATGGGATCTTGAATACACGGACGTGTGGCGGCATACGTGCGATTTCTGTGGCAGTAGTCACCTCCCATGCTGCACCGAGGACTTCTTCAATGAGAGAGGAGAAGATTGGGTTCCTGACTACCCCCGAGACGTCTACACCAGCGTCGAGTCGTATGGGTTTTACCTACTCGCCTACGGAGACGACGTTCAGGAGTTCCTATGGGATCTCATTATCATGGGTGGCAAGAAATGCCTGGAGGAATGGGAAAGGCGCTACTTGGAGTTTGACTTGAGCATGCTCCAGGAGGAGAACTAATTCGGGCATATGGAGAGCCCCGGGAAACTTCTCAACATGTTGATGTTGCTGCTGCTGGAGATCGATAGGACTATGATCGGCGTAGCGGTCAATGAGATATATCACGGCTGCCACACAAATGTACCATCGTGCCTTCAAATGAAATGCAAGTGCTCAACAGAATGAAAGAAAATGGTGCTCGTTTCCATCCTCACAGACCTCTCGAAGACACAGGAGAGAGAATGGTGGGGTCTTCGCGTTAGTGATCTTTGCTTGTCGATTGTGCGTGGGTAGCTCATCTCTAGCAAACCTGAGGGGACAAAGGCAGGAACCTTTGCCTCAAGTCAAAATCTTATAAGCCGAAAGCCCACAAATGTTGATTCCGCCATCGAATACTAGCCAACCAACAGGTCAACTACATAAGCTAGAAAGCGGCAGGCAATCAGACCAATAGGATACAAGCCCTGACTTTGAAATTTGACTTGATCATTTGTACAAGGGAGCCGGAGAAAGGAGAGTGTGGCAATTTGCTGTCCTCCTGATATTAATACCCAGATGGCAGGACAGCATCACCAGCACATCGGGACTTTGTGAAATCTGCGGTCACCCACGACACCCAACCGCCGCCATGGGGCATTATAGTCTGTTCCTGATGTAACACGTTTCCTGCGATCGCAACCATGGGGCGAACCGAAACTAGGACAGAGTATGAACAGGAGTATGCACAGGAACTATGAATAGCGTATGAATATCCCTTGACAATGCTGTTGGTATGTACCAAACAGGTCCCGATATCCCTACTGCTCTTCTCACATGTCACCGCCGGTCGGGCTCTGAAGTTGATTGGGCCCGGACTACACGAGAAAGCACCAAAGTGGTGTTACCCACGATACAGTGCTCTGTAGGCGGCAGCGCACATGAACGAGCATTTTTCCACTAGGGAGCCAGGCAAGGCGTGCGTCTGACGATACACTTGTCCCATATTCACTTGTCCCATAGTGTCAGCAGCTTAGCTTGTGACTCTCCTCTCGCATGTTGAATCAGGTTTTAGCCCAGTGACACCGTTTCAGCCTTTTCTGTACGCTCAATCTTGCTCGTTGCCTGCTGTTGCATTGCTGTTGCTGGACGACACAACGGAACTAGTGGCCATTCGGAAAGCGCATCCCTATATGAGCAGCTCGATGCCTGCTTTGCATGACCCGGGAATCTGTGCAGGCGGTTGTGTTTCACCGAGATGTTGTCCATACGCCCAGACGACTGGGGGAAACTTCTCAACCAGCTGGTCGAGTGGATCAGTCACGCGAGAATGTTGGTATGTCGACGGATAATGACGCCAGGCCAAGCACTTGCTTGACATGTTTTCGTGGCCGACTTTGCAGAATCAAGGCCCGTTGACACTGTCAATCAGAACCCAAGCCAAGATGAACGCTCTCCAAACAGGTGGAATCCGGGCTGCTGTCAGTTTCTAGATACTCGGACACATCTGGGTATGATACCGATCAGCGAGGCTATCGTGAGGAGACATTGGAGATGCGTGCTCTGTAACGGGGCGAAAGGGGACTAACAGCCTATGGATGTCTCATAGCTGTGCGTCTCACCTCAGCCACGTCCACACGGCAGACTAAAACATTCGCTTCTTTGACCTTAGGCGTCAGATTCCAGCAACTGCGGCTGATGTGTGCGAGCAGACGGCCTGTGTGCTACGGGATTGCGACAAAGACACAGTCGATGCACTGCTGCGTGAGTTTTGCTATTGGTTGGCCGCATCGAAGAGACACCCAGATTCCTGCGCGAGGTGCTCGGCACAAGCTTGCCGAAGAGCTGCGGCTCTGTGCCCACAGTCTGGTCTGGCCCCTGTCCAGAGCAGGCGCCCCTGCTGGCCGTGGCTAGCCGTGACAGTAATGCTCTCACGATGGTCTCACCTTCCCTGTCCACAGTCACGACAATGAAGACGTGATGTGACGTTGATCTACCGGACCGTGAGGCCGAATAGGCATGGGCGTGCGCTGGCTCGCCTCTTGAGTGGCGGAAATTGCGTTCGGGAGACTAGCAGGAGCCTGGAGCTTTTTGCGACTTGTCACGAGAACAGGAGGGCCCGCGATCTAGGCCTTGCAAGATGAAGATGAGGATGACAGCTTCGCGGGCAAATGTATGTTGATCATCTCGATTGACGTCGGCTGATGACGTTAGTGTGGAGAAGCTTGAGAGGCTCGCGGGAGGCTGGCCTGCCCTGCCGTGTCTTTAGGTACAATACTAGTCCCGAACGGAGCTCACGCCACAGATGCCCCTCCCCCTCACATAGGTGGCTGTGCTGCGCCACAGGATGATCGACGTTCTAGCAGTGTTCCCGAAAGTTTGTTGTTGGTTGGGTTACATTGCAGGCTAGGGGCCTGGGTCCTCCCAGCGCCTTAACCCAGATGTGACCACCATCTTCGTTCATACTGACGACGTCTGACTGTGAAGTTCCAGCAGCAGTGTCCCGTTTCAGCACCGAGCAACGCAGGACGTCCCCTTCCTGGAATATCGATGGTAAAACCGCCTCCAACCCGCAACAATCCAGCCTGCCTGTCAAGCCTCTCAGTCCTCATTGATTGGGCTCGTTTCGCTTGTGCACACGTGGTGGGGTCTAGCGGCTGATCGCTGCCTCTAGAGCTCGCGGGCTAACCACACACGACGTGCACCGTCGTCATTGCATCTCCTCCTGGGCGTCGACTTTGTCTCAGTCGAGCCTTACGAGCTGGCCAGACAGGATGGACCCGACATTACTACGGTACCGATCAGATTAGCTCGTGGAGTTGCATTTGCTCATCCCTCCCTTGCCACCCGTCGCAGGACGCGAGACGTCGTTTTGGCCTTTCATGACGCTAGATGTCGTGCTCTGATGTACCTGCTGCCAACTGCCAACTTTGCCAGCTCCAAGTTGGCTGGAGGTTTTGGCCGCGCTCGTGTCTTGGCCCTGTACGAGCATACTGGCGCATACTGGCCCGATGGCACAGCAGCAGGCCCCTCCATATTGCAGCACACACGTCTTCTCGCTGCAGGCTTCTGTACCCTGCCACTCTGCCTTGGTGTCTCTAGGCGACAGTCCAGCGCCAATAGTCAGCTGTGTCCCACGGGCCGTCTCGTCAGCTCGTCTGTTTACATGGCCACTCCCCTGTCCTCACTTCCCAGCCAGGATCGGGAAGGTAGCTTTTCGTTACTAGCCCATCAAGATGACGGAGCGTCTGTCCCGTTGTGCAGTACTTTTACATCGCGAAAGTACCTCCTCCGCTGACTGGGCTGTCCACAGCCAGTCTCGTACCCCAGTACTCCTGCCCTCTTTGACACGATGACGACTGCGGGGTGGAAGATACCCATGGCCTCTCCAGGAGGCTAGGGTCTTTGACGATGCGGGTGGGCATGTATGGTACTGCTTCCCTTGGAGCACCTTGAGAACCAGATGAGAGTGGGGTACCTTGTACCCAAGGGTGCTCTTGCTGTTTGTTAGCCCTGAAGGCTGATATCAATATGATGCAATGAGAGGCGCCCGCGGCAACCAAGCTGGATGCCTCCTACCATCTTGAAGACAACACTTCGTGTTTATATAACGGGGCATCTTCCCCTCTCCTCCTCCTCCAGAAGAACATCATCATTCATCACATAACCTCAACAACAGCCTGACTTTTGATACCCTTTTTTTACTCAAACTCAAGACTCAATTGATACCCCAAACAACCCAACACGCAAAACAGATCAAACAAACAACCACCCAACATGTCTGGAATTATCAACAAGGTCAAGGACGCCCTCCACTCCGACAAGTCCCACGAGACTCCTGAGGGAACAACTGGCCCTCACTCCAACCGGGCAGCCAACGCTGCCGACCCCCGTGTTGACTCCGACCGGGACCACCGTGCCAAGTAAGTCTCCCTTCACTCAGGATGCAACAGTCCAATATCTAACATCTCCCACAGCCCCGCCACTGGCACTACTGGCACTCACGGCACCACCGGTACTCATGGAACAACCGGCACAACTGGCCTCGGCAGCACCGGCCACACCGGCACACACGGAAGCAGCAATGTGACCGGTTACGATGACCCTACCGGAACACACGGTCCTCACGGACGTGTGGGCAATGCCCTCGACCCCCGTGTTGACTCGGATGCTGACCACCGCCGCGCCGGAGCTGGCACTGGTGTTGGCACAACTGGCACCCACACCGGTACAACCGGTACTGGTAGCACTGGCCACACTGGCACAACTGGTATCGGCAGCACTGGTCATACCGGCACACACGGAAGCAGCAACGTGACTGGCTACGATGACCCCACCGGAACACATGGCCCTCACGGCCGCGTTGGCAACGCAATCGACCCTCGCGTCGACTCCGATGCTGATCACCGCCGTGCTGGCGCCGGTGTTGGCTCTACCGGCACAACTGGTATCGGCTCTACTGGTCACACCGGCGGCCTTGGCTCTACCGGCACTCACGCCGGTGGCATTGGCTCTACCGGTACCCACACCGGCACTCACACCGGAACTCACACCGGTACCCACACTGGCGGCATTGGTTCTACCGGTACCCACACTGGTGTCGGCTCTACTGGAGGCATTGGCTCTCACGCCGGCCACGGCACGACTGGCTACGACGACCCCACCGGTACGCACGGCACGCACGGCTCCAAGATCGCAAATGCGGCCGATCCCCGCATCGACAGCGACCGTGACCACCGTGGAGCTCCTGGCGCTGCTGGCACCGCTCACGTCGGCTCCGGTCCCGGCCCTGCGGCCAACACCGCTGGCCCTCACAAGTCCGACATCCTGAACAAGGCCGACCCAAGAGTCGACAGCGATCTCGACGGAAGCAAGACCGTTGGCGGCAACAAGACGTATGGACAGTAAGTTGTGAGTTCAGGCTTTCATTTATGCCAACCCGATTGTACAGCACAACAGGAAACATGTCACTAACAATCATAAATAGGACTGGCAACTCTTCACTGGCGCACAAGGATCCTACGGACGCTGCCCAGGTGCCTCCGTCTGTGCTCCGTGACCACATTGGCGACCCTGATGTAGTGCACGGCGACCACCACCATGGTCGTGATGAGAGACATCAGTCTGTCTCTCACCAGGAGGCGCACAGAGGTCTTTAAGCTGGGAAATTCATCTGATGAAAAGCGATTTTGATTTCGGGATGGATGGGCTCACACCAGAGTGTTTACGGCCCCTATAATTAGTTCGCCTAATACCAATACCCATGTTTTTGTCTCTCAAATTGTCTCTTCTTGAATAAGTGAAATGTGGTCACTACTAGTTACTTTGACAACTATGTCAACATTTCCCACACGGCTCAAGCCTCCACGTTTGTACACATGGCTAAGCTCACCATAACCAATACGCCAACCTTAAATACATCCAGGCATTATTGATGTGTTGACACTTGGCGGAATGATGTTACATTTTTCCATTCTCTAAAGTTAACCCGTCTTACTAACAACTTATTTGAGTGCCACTCGCGCTGTGCATTGGAACTTATTGGTCCTCATCACGCTTATGAAGATCAATTAGACATATGCTTCTGCTGGTAGTGTAGTTAGGTAGCCTTGTCAACTTCATGCACGATATGGTGTTGTGTTCTCAGTGTAATCAGCCCTTGGTTTCCCGACTGCTCATTCATAGAGTCTGCCCTGGACCAACGGTTCGACTTCAGGTGTCCTGCCCACACCGACCATTCCGACAGACTTCTCTCCAGCGACATCACCCAGCCGAACCCTCATTCCTCTCAACAGTTTCGCTCTCGCGTTGGCATCAAGTGTGCTCCCCGGGTTTGGCAAGCCGAGGGAACTGTTGTTATATGTCAGGCCCATCACGGGGTCGAACACATCTGGCTCTCTCGTCCGCAGTCCCATGATCATTCCGACTAGACCGGTAATGGTCAGCGCAAGGGACGATATCACCAACACTGTCACATAGACGTAGTCGGCTTTGTAGATGACGGTTTTCTGTGTGACTGACGCCTCGGTAGAGGCGGCAACGAAGGCAGCACCACGAGATACAATATTTTGGACATATTGGTCGACATCGCTCATATGTTCTCCAGGAGTTGTTACGTTGTATGCCGCTGCTGCCGCAGATAGGCCACCTGATGGAGTGTGAGGTGGCCCGTAATCTACAGATTCAACTGGAGGCAACGCACCCGCGAACCCATAATAAGAGTAAAGTAGGTGTATCGCTGAGTTCAAGAGTAGAGTGACCCTTCTTGACAGTATAACTGGTTCCACTTTTGCGAGATTGGGCCAGTAGGCTTCCGCAGCATCCAGCCAGGTACTTGCGTGGTACACAGGAATCGTGGATGTTTCATTCATGAAGAGTTCCAACAAGGTAGGGCTCCATTGTATATTTCCATTCGCGTGATTCAACATATCCAGCGCGACTACTCCCCAGAAATCGAATGCTGTTATGTTTTCTGGTCGGTGATCTGTCGTCGACGGCCGGATCTTGGTGGCTCTGCAAAGGCCTTCCTCGCACACAATATATGTTTCAACAAGGACCTGTGTAACCTCAGAAGAAACGAAGGTCCCTGTTCTTGATTGTGCGATTCGTACGTGATTAGCGTTGGTGAATGATTCTTGGGAAAGTTGCGACGAGTTGGGCTGTGTCCAGGGCGGCCCTAAAAGCCGCGCAACCCTTCCTGGGGAAACCCCGGGGTCCGACAGGTCCCGGAAGTTGTTGATACATGTGGAACATGTAGCCTCAACACTTGAGGAACTCGCAAATGGCTCGACTTGCTCAACAGTCGCGTTGCCGAACTGTACATAGGCGGACTCAATTCCAAATTCCACCGTCCCGTGATCCGGGATACCCAAAAGTGGCAAGCCAAACAACGAAGTGAATGACTCCACCGCAGGGGATTGGGAGACTTGGATCCAGCCATTCTCATCGGCGGTAGATTCATCCACCATATCAAGCCGGGGAACTTTGGGGCTGCCCCACGAATCTCTGGGACCAGATTTCGTCTCGACGTTTTGCATGAGTGCGGCAGCGAGAGAAGACGCCATTGAGAATGGGAAATCGCCGGTCTGGTTGAATTCCATGTCGTAGCCCTCGAATAGTGTCATGTATGTGCACAAAAACCCAAGAGGGCCTGTATCCATATAACGTATGCTGGTAGAGCTGACTGAGGTCTGGTTCGCTCGGTACAATATTCTCAGCGAAGCTTGACCTCCAGCTGGAGACATTGCCCAGAGAACGCCCATGAGAATTGTTGGAATTGAGAAGGCGCCTGCTGACCACTGGAGAATAAAAGCGTCGAACACTGTTTTGGTGGATACGAAGGCCCAGAGCGTCTGTTTAGGGCAACATATTAGCATCACCCAGCCACACGTCATTGCCCTTGGGAGGACGGCTGTAATCTTTTGACCTACCGACACTTCTATTCCTTTTTCGCTTTTGAACCTTCCAACGGTTTTGAGGGCACGGCCTACCAGTGCCGCAAATACGATAGGAAATATAGTTGGTCCTAGTCTTGCGGCTTGCTCGATCAGCCCTCCACTCTTGTCGCCAATACCTCTGCCGCTGACAGCCAAAGCTCCTGCTGAAAGTGCCAGAAATAGCAGCGCAAAGACGATTAGGACAATGTCAAGAGCAACTGCGACAAACCTTGCCGTGCGTGTTTGTGTCAGCGGGAGTGGGTGGTCTGGCCAGCCGGGAATTTTGAATACTACAGACGACTGAGAACTTGGTGGGAGATCTTGGTTCGAAGCCACAACATCCACTTGTCGACCCTCTGTCGAATCCAAATTATTTGTTGCTACCCGTTCGCTCACAAGGTTGCTGTGCCTGTCTCTCTGTTCAGAGAGCAGCTGCTCGCGCAATTCAAACGATGTGTCCGTCATATCCGCCAGTAGAGCTCTGGATCTCAGTTGAGGGACTCTAGACTGATCACAGCAACGATTTTCTGCTGATGGGGTGTATTCTAGTGAGCCAAAAAATGCCGATTGTCTGTTGAGTTTGACTTGAAATTTTTCTCCGATGTGAGATATCGCAGGAGGGCACCACTGGTGCTTTGTAGTAGATAGATTGAAGCTGTGGGTACGTGCTGAAGCATTTGGCTGTTCTGGGTCGCTGAAAGACGGAGGGACGACATAAAGTGATAACACAGCCCGTGAGGCTGTAGCATGGCCTCAAAAAGTAGGCCGTATGCATCACCATTTCAGCCGTGGCGTATTCCGAAACCCACATATAGACTACTCTAGGAGCCACTAGATGGTGGGCTGCTTACGATACCACATGAACCAATTATGTTTACAGTACATATGTCATCGGAACGACAGTTGCAGTATATTGGGGAAAAGTCAGGCACCTATAAATCGAAAGTCTTAGCCCCCAATTGATGCCCATAGCCACCTTTAGTGAGATCTGTGTAGCACACCTTGAGGCGGCCCAGGCAGACCTGCATTTCGAGCATCCGCTTGCAATGGTCGAGAAGATAAGGTATGATTGCATCAATCTCTTGTCATTCTCATATGTCATGTTTTGTGAAACCCAGTAGAATGAATGCTCCTCTGACCGTAATTTGGCAGCCGAAATTGAAGACCTCCAAACTACTAATGTGATATGTGACAGGATATGTACACTAAACGAAGACAAGTTCCCAGGAAGGCATAGAATGTTCCTGGCATGTTGTGAGATCTCAGCCACAAGCCCCGGGGATGAACGAAGCATTAATGTCGAGGGTCATGATGCTACATATGGCAAGGCTACCTGGCGAAGCAGAGTGATCTGATCATCCCCACACTTTCGAAGGCTCTCATTGAAATGAAGAACATAGAATGGAATATGAGTTCGGTCATTGGCAGAATGTATAATCTCGAACAAAATAATTCGCTTTTGACCTGTCCCTTGCTCACTCCCGGCCTTGTGAGTGGACTTCCCTATCATCATTCATTCAGTCACACTACCAGCATTAGCACCGATTCTTCCCAAGAGAGTGCAATGTGGAACAATTGCTGACAGCTACACCTTGAATCACTGAAAGGCTGGATTTCGTAGTGGCAGTGCCCACAGCTGTCAACTGCGAATGCATGCTGGCTACGATTTTCCTTAAAGCATTATATTTCCTGTAATATTAGAGATGACACTCTCTCGACTGTGAGCTGGTTACCGTGACTCGATTTAGTAGCTATCGTGATAATACCCTGGAGCATCAGGGCAAGTGTTCACTGGATCATCGCTAGGGCCGTCTTGTCTGGCGTTGCAAAGCTTGTGTAAAGAGGTAATTCAACCACTTACAGGGTGCTTTATGGTTACTGCAAATCCTGAGTCGCTTGTGTGAATATTAAAACACTAGTTTCTGTCCTTTTTATTGTCTCAGTTCAATGAAATCACCTGCTTTATTCACATACGCGTCCAAGCACAGCTACTACGACGATGCTTCAAAGTGACATGTGTGGACGATTGTTTCTTCTTCTCATTATACTCTAAGCGGACTTTAATTTATAGGTGAGTCGCGCAAGGCATTCTGCACTGAATCTTTCAAAAGCTAGTAAAGTCAAGTTGGGTCTAAGGGTGTCTTTAGCAGACATTTAGATGGAAAGGGGCTGTGAGATGCGGGCAACAACTTCAAAGTCAAGCAAAGTCAATAAGCATCGCAGTAACAAGTTGTCATAAGAGAACCCGGCAGACAAACAAATAATGCGAAACGTGTCCAATCTAAGTGTTGAGAGATTCCATGTATACAAACAGAGCTTGGATGTCTTCTTCAGGCTCTTTCTCTGTCACGACTTTTTGAAAGTATCTATGCATGTAACGTGTACCTCGAATAGACACGAAAAAACTTTCACGTTTGTGGCGGCAGCAGGATTACACGTGGAAGCTAGCTAGCTAGTGTTGAAGCCACAACACCTCAACTGCCAGAGGTTCGGTGAGGCTTACAACATATAACGGGGTGTGTTGCCTACATTAGTGCTACTGTGACACTCCACAATGCCTTCTTGTCAAACCATGCAATTAAGCAGTACCACAAGGCGTACTGTGTACTCAAAGAGACCCACTGAATTAAACCTCGCATCGAGTGCGAGTTAGAGACCAGCACTTGCCGACGTCGACGGCCCAAAACGGCTCAGGGCGGCGTCCATTGTGGCGACCACCCTTCGCTTATTTGCTTTGGCAAATAAGGTTCAGTAGGCCAGGCACACCAGCGCACACACCCACCCCCCCTCAGCCCCGCGGAGATATCAAATCACTCTTTTGTGTCCGACCACCAGTAGGCGGAAGGGGCGGAAGCCAGAAATCCCCGTGGCTCAATGCGGGCGGGTTCGGGCTGGTGGTTGGGCACAGGCGCGTGGTCGGTAATTGTGTACATGTACGGAAGACAACCCACGGGGCGGGGTGGATTGGATTCCCGCCCGGTACAGGTTGCATGTCTTGTAACATGAGGGAGCGGACATTAAACTTTAATGCCCTTGGAGGGTGGATGGCTTGGTTTGCCTTTTTCGGCCTTTGGAATTGGCTCCGGGAAGTGTCCAGTGGAGAAATTTGCCACGCGCATGCGTACACGCAATTTCACACGTCCTCGCACTCATTGTTTGTGAGGTTGGAATGGTGAGTCCGAGGTTACGGTGGGCAAGGAGCGCGACGGGATCGACGTCTAGTGGTGGCCCCCGGATTCATTTCCTTGGACGTGGAGGGCCCGTGTTGATTACCACGCACCTTGATGTCGTCCGATCCTGGCCCGGCATGGCCTCGAAGCATAAGTGAAGAATGTTATTGTTCGGCGTGCTACGCAAATAGCACATCCCAGACGTAGATCATACCCTCGCTTATCTCGCGTCTCGCAACGGTCAGCGGACCAGGGACGACGGCACCTGGGCGTGGATTGCATGTGCACGGAGGCGCTTCAGGCTGGGCCTGTCACAAATCACAGCAAACGGGCGTATAAATCCCGCGTATCAGATTGTCAGACAAGATTTGTTGGGGGGTGATTTGGAGCACACTGTAGGCCGTGTGGTGGTGTTCCCGCCCCGGTCGAGGTTCGATACGAGGCAGTTGCTCCGCGCTTGGACTGACAACTGTCATCAGAAACTCAATTGGGAGCGTAGGGGGTAGTCTGCCCCGAGCATCTGTGAAGGTTGTGTTGGGCGTTCGGCGTTGTTTCGACTTTTGTTCGGGACGAGATGGGCAGCAACTTGGGTCGCCCCAGTGGCTTTTCGGCAAGGAGTGCGAAACCGAAGATGTCGGCATTGAAAGCGTTGACAGGCCCCCAGATGACGGACTTCTGCGGCATCTATCAAGGTGCTTGCTGTCAACACAGCACAGGCTGGCTTGCATTCCTTGCTTCCCGTGTAGACCCCACAGCCACGTGGTCTTGGCAGCGTGGCCGCTGGGTGGTGTAACCCTCCTTGATTCGAGCCAGGACTGCTGCTTGAGAGATGCGCATCTCACGAGAGCCAGTATTCGCCCCCACAGACCTGGAGCTTGAGCGCGAGGTGATAGTGGCAGGCATCGCATTGTGCCGAGTGCTGGAGTCGGTAGGAGCCATCTATGTATGAAAAGTTTATAAAGTCAGGTCAGGTGGCTCCTACCAGGCTGTAGATGGAGTCGATGTTTCTCTTTCTCGTTCGCTAGTGATGACGATGTTGGGCAGGTTGATGATGGTGATGCCTCTCTCAGGTCAGGAGTAGCCTCAAGGCGGAGCGGGTAGAGCCGTCCACCGTTACACCACTGTACGAGTGTACGTAGACATGTGGCGGAGAACAAGACGCTAGACCGTCTAAGACGGAGAGCTCCTTATCGGTTATCGTAATCAGCAGTCGCTTATCGCGCGCCAACAGAGCCGTGGCCGTGGCCGTGGCCGTTACGCAACTACACGAGAGCTCTCTCGCTGCGCTCGACTCCGCTCTGGTCGGCTCACTGCACTGCACGCAACATGTCACCTGTCAACATTTGTTGTCCCGAGATCCCATGCAGCCCTGCCGTCCAGGCCTGACTTCCACTGCATAGCACGCACGTCACGCCACTCCACGCCCACGCCACGCCAGAGCCTGCCTTGGACTGATGCGTCGTCGTCAAGGCGAGACGGTTGGAGACAGCACTTGAGGCATGGCTGCTCCTTGAGTTGTATTCATATCGGAAGAGCATCTTGCGCAGTCTCCAATCAACTGGCTCTGTTTTCTCATCCTACTCTGCGATCAGCGCCTTGCTGGGCAGCAGCCAGGCCATTCAGAACCCTCCAGGATCCATCGCCACCCGGCGGCCCCTGTCTGCCCTCGACTACCACCCAGCCTCTCATTGAGCTGCCCACGCGCCTGCAGAGCCAGAGTATCAACCGGGCCGCGCGCCCCGAATCCGAGCGTGATGGCCTCATCTCCCTCTCCAGCGTCGCCTGTTCCTGGCAATCAATCATCCGAGACGCACGCGGGCATCCCGCAGACCCTCTGGAGCCTGCGCGTGCCCCTCTACATCACCCGCAAGGCGGCACCCAGCACCCCCTTCATCACCTCTGTCCCGCGCTTCAGCTACCTGGCGCAGCTCTTACCGAGACTGTCGGCCTTTTTTGGGACCCCCTGCAGCAGTTTCCACCATGAAGAGGTCCAAATGCGGAACCTGACCGTCGGCCTGCTCGTCGATCTTTACCAGCCTGAGCTGCCATGGAAGCTGCAGGTCGGCGACGGTGACGAATGGGATATTGGGGACACGTTTCTCAACGGCGTCAAGGAGGTGAGTGCATTGTCGCCGCCCACCCCCAGGAGGGATTATGGATGATGGCCAGACCAGGTAGCTCCTGGCCAGGTCGCGTCCAGGGGGAGCGCCAACAAAGACGGGACAGCCGAGGCTGACTCTGTTGCTGGGGCTGCTTTCCAAAATAGGCAGACTTCGTGCGCAACGGCAACGCGAAGCAGATCATGAGCCTCTCAAAGGAGCATACCACCGCTCTTTGGAACGCCGTCCAAGATAGTACGTGTCATGCTCTCTGACCTCCCCCACCGGTCCTCATTTCAATCCGCCGTCGTCCTCGAGAGCCGTCCCCACACTCTTGCATCGCTCTTGTCGCTTTTCGTCCATCTGCTCCGGCGCTCAGATCTCCCCTTACCCACTCCACCTCGCTTAGACAGGCCCAGCATGATAGCATCATGCACGTCACCGCCGTCAAGCTCACTGACACTGACTGACAGCCGGCCTGCTCTCCTTTTATCTCTGACAGTGGGGGGTGGGGGAGCGGGCCTTGCTGTCAGTCCTGCACGCCATCCCGGATCCGCGACCAGCCATGGCAAAAACGAAAAAAACGAATGGGCACTGACCCTGCTGACCTGCTCGCTTAGACGACTACGCCTCCTTCTCTAAGGTCAACTCGCAGCTCCTGAACCCGCCGACACCGCTCAAACACGTCCCAATTCGCATCTACATCCCCTCCTCACCGCCAGGTCCCTCCACCGGCGGGGCCTCGGCGGCGGCGGCGGCGGCAGCGGCACCTGGCAGCTTCAGGGTGATGCAGTCGCTCGTGCCCCCTCGGTCGGCAAATCGTGAGTGACGACCTATCCCGCGCCCACTTTCCCTTCCCCTGCCATGCCATGCCATGCCATGCTTTGCCCTGCCCTGCCCTGTCATTGCGCCCCTCCTCCTCCTCCTGTCTGCCAACCCCCATCTTGTTTCGTTTCACGCTTGACAACTCACTCACCGTGGGCCCCCCACATCTCCAGGTAGCCCACAGACCCTAGGCCCCGTCTTGCGTGGCATGCTGCCGTCGCTTTTCCCCAGCAGCCGAGACCCGGTGCTGGCCAATGTCGTCCTGCACGGCGCGCCGGTGCCATTTTCTGCGCCGCTCGAGGAGCTGATGCGCGAGGCGGCCTATCCTGACGGGTGGCTTTGTCTGATCATCACCCTGTTGTGACCTATTGAGGCGCCCAATCCATCGGCTCAATCCATCGTCTGTCTGACCGCGGGGGGGCCTGGACCGTGATATTTCAGAGGCTGGCGATCCGTGTCTGGTTTATTTTGTGGCGTTTGAGTTCTGACCAGGCAGGTTTCAGGCAATCTTATTCATAGACAGAAAGGAGTTACTTCCCGGGCCATGGTAGTTCTGGCAGCCTTCGGAGTTGGGAGTTGATCAACGCGAACAAATCAAGGGGCCCGTAGAGCCCTTTTCCCTTGCACTGTAGACATTCGTTGCGCAAGGGCAAAGAGACAGGGAGGTCCCAGGGCGGGCCCATCATTATCCAATTATGGCCACGAATTCTAAACCTTTGTGTGTATGTTATTGCCAGGTACCTTGGCGCGCACCACGCTGACTCACTGCCCATTGGTTCTGATTGCTCTGCGAGATCTCTGTTGCTTCCCAAACTCTAGATCCTATCAACAGCCCACTGCACACATACTGCTATATCAACACACATGCGCACGAGACCCCCGCTCTCCCCCACTTGTTGAAAGACACAAGCATTACAAGTCCAGATGATGCGAGGGGACCGCGCGCAAACAATGACATTGTAGAGATCAAACCGAGAGAACAAGGAAACGTTGTCCGGACATATGAGTGGTATCTCCTCCCATCCCACCCTCTCTTTTGAATGATGTGATGATGGAATAGGGAACATGATGCAAATCCAGAAGAGCACGAAAGAAGAAATGAAAATGGAAGTGTCCAAAAAACCGTACAGACCAGACCAGACCATACCAGACTGCCCGCCAAATGTTTTGTTTTCGCTATGCAACCGTGCCGGTGTCCTCCTCTCCCACCATGTAGAACCCCTTAAGTACCAGTTATTGATTTCCCGTCTCCTCCATGTCCCACTGGGTATTATTAAATGAAGCCTGAAAAAGCCCCGTGACTGTTGCGCGTTTGATGATGATGATGACGACGTTGATGTTGCTCAGACTGGTTTGCTTCTTCCCCTGGGTGCGAACCCTAAAAAGACTTTTTGTCGAAATTCTACCCTGTCGATCCGTTCCGTTCCGTCTGCTATAATGTCGTTCCCCAAAACTCCCTCTCATCCTTCGTCTGCTTCTCTGCCGTGCAATCACTGCCAACAGGGAACGTTGCAGCGTCCATATCGTAACATTATGTAACGGATCAACCAGCGTCACACAGAAGTTGGCGGACCAACCTTAGATAATAGGCACCGGGTCGTGAATCGTCAACTCATTCGATTGCTGCCCTCTGCTTTCCTCTGTGCGATCGTGGTGACGCTCTCTTTGTGTCCTTCCGTGGAGGTTACCATCTCAACACTTTATCATGAAAAGTTGGCTCTGCATGAGGAATGAGTGTACTGGCTGTGGAACAAAAGAAAATTCACGACCCGGCTGGGGGGCATCCTGCTTTGGGTCGAGTACAACTTCCAGTTAGTACTCCATCGGAGTAGGATGACCCTGGGTCATGTCACCTGGTGTGATCGGACTAGGACCTGCTGCTGATTGAGGTGTCGGTCCGCTGGATGCGTAGGACGGCATTGGGAGGTTTTCGTAAGGTGCCGGTGGCATGAGACTCGGCCTCGTGCGCAACTGCTCCTTGGAGGGCAGTCTTTCCTCCAAACCCTGTAAAACCCGAAGGTCAACTGCCAGACTGCTCGAGTCCTGAGCCACAATCTCAAAAAACTCAATCGTCTTCCTAAGTAGTTGTCGTAATTGTCGTTCGTCGACATAATCCCCAAGGAGCGGATCATGGTAAGCGGCAGCGAGTGTGATGAGGTTGCCCCATTGCCTGTACCTAAGTCAGCACTGAGAGAGAAGAGATGAGGGGGGAAATGCGGGATACATACGCGTGTGCCGTTCCGAACACGTTGGTGATGATGAAGCGTTTGTCCTCCAGGCCATGAAAAGCCATAGTGCTCTTGATAACGGCATCGATCCCCTTCCTTGCGTTCTCGAAAACGACACCGTCGATATCGCTTGGACTCCTCGCATCGCTTCTTACCGTGGCCCAACCGCTAGCGTCTTCATGCGGAATGGCTCGCTCCGAGTCTTCTGAGAAGGCATTGCTGCGCTTATGCGAAAAGTCTAGGACCGTCTTGATCGATGGGCGATAGGTGATGACGTTGGCTCCCCAGAATTTGGCCCGGATGCGTGCCGACAGAATATCTCTCGCTGGCGGGTCGTTTCTGTCAAACTTATACATTCCTAGCCACACGTTGCTTCGACTCCCCAGATCCTCTTCAATCTCTTCCAGAATTTTCTTCTGCTCTTTAGCGTCAGGCCTCTTCTGGGGATCATAGAGGGACCCTGATATTCTGTTGAGCCGTTTCCGCAAGTATAGCTGGGCGGCGTAGCTGAACGCAACAGCATCCGAGAAGCCCAGCTTTTCTTGCAGCACCATAAGGTCTGGGTATGGTAAAATCTCTTCGTATTGAAGGATGCCCGAGGGAATCAGGTTCAACTCAGCGAGAATGTCACTGCGGCAGTCAGATGAGTGGTTCGACACGTCCCGAGATAGAGCAGACAGCTTACCTCTCCAGTTGACAACAAGACCAGAAGGCAACAAGAAGCTTGTTGTCTATAACAACATTCCTCTCTATTTCGGGGCCCTCGTTTTCTGGGGCGGCAGCGGGGACTTCGCCTCTTGCCTTCTGAGAGGCCAACTCGGCCGCCTTCTTCAATCGATCCATGGATCTGTCATTGTCAGCATGTGTTTTCGCCCGTCTTAGCAGGGCGGTCGATCTACTCACGGCTGGAGCTTATCAATGATCGCCGAGCATGCAAATCTGATGTGACGGAAGCTCGGTATCACTCGTCCGAGCTGCCCATAGTACAGACAGGCGAGGATGTGGGCCTGGATGTAATTCAGTTTGTAACTGCCGAAGTGGTTGCCTAGGATGTCACTCGCAAATGCGAAGTAATCGAGACCAGGTATGATTTCATAGTTCTTCTTCGGTGGCGCAGGTGAAGCGGCACTGGTCGGAGCTTGCACGCCGGAAGCCTGCATCGAAGAGCGTCGACTTGCACCCGGCCTTTCATGATCCTTCGGCGAGGGAAGCCCAGCCTGCCCAGGAGACTGAGAAACTGCGCTGGACGGTGGTGAGCCGTGATTCGGCGAGGTAATGTGGCCATTTCGCACAAGCGGTGAGCCTGAATTTGGTGTCTCCTTCTCCGGCGGATCTGGCAATTTCCTATCCCTCCACGTACAAATCTTGCCCAGCGCGAGAACGAGTAGGACCAAGGCATGTTGAACAGAGCGTTGGGGCCTCGGTCTTTTCGGTGCCGGACCTGGCTCCACACCGTTGGGAACGGGCGAACGTTTGCGCTTCTTTTCGTGGTCAAACGACGGCTGTGAATTGGCGAATGTGGCAACTGGCTTCTGCTTTTTGCTGTTGACCTCACCCAGGAACGTGGTAACCATGGCGTTCAGGTCCTTCGGAGGTATCAAGGGGTGCATGTTCTGGATGTAATTCATGTAGGCATTCACGTATTCCCAGACCCTCACAGGGTCAAAGTCCAACGTGCCTTCTCTGGGTGTCTGGCTTCGCGAGTCGTTCGCGAAGCCACCATGTGGAGACAAGCCGCCAATGGGACCCCAGTCGGTACCACCCGATGGAGACGGGTGATCGCCAACCGAGGAATCATCTGCCATATCAATATAGTCCAACGTGGAATCGCGGTCAACCGAGCGCGAAGTTGACCCTTCGCCGCGTCCGAAAAGAGGTAGTTCGCCGCGATCTTCCTCATATCGCTGCGGGTAGATCTCGATATACTTGACGCGCTCGCGGTCCAGCAACGGCTTCACGATCTTTCTGACAGCTGGCCACATGAGCAGACGCCCTGCCGGAGTCGTATGGTTGTGAGGAAATGGTGGTGGCTGCGGCTGGACTGGTTCGCCAGGTGGATCCATATTCTCCTCTTCGTTCTCCAAAATTCGCATTCTTTTGGCCGCAGAAGATTGTGTGTCTGGCGCATCACCTCCAATATCGTCACCGGGCGAAGAAGAAGACATTGTCTCGTCAACGTCCGCAATCGGTTGCGGTGTTGCTGGTCTCGGTTCCTCTTTGACATAGTCATCCAGTTCCGGTGGTTCCTGCATGCTGTGAGAAGACCCGACCTGTATCGCGCCCCTGAGCTCCCGAATTTCGGATCTCACTTCGCCCAAACCAGCACTGAATTTCTCGTCGTACGACTGCAGCATGCTCTTCATAGCGTCCAAGATATCTTGTGTTGCCTTGTCTTGCCTGCAAAATCCACGGGTCAGAGAAAATGGGGAATTACCCCACATGGAGGACTACACTCACTGTTTGGGGGCTGGATCGCGATATTGACAATTTATATTCTTGTCAGTGCAGTTTTTGCAGGGCTTATTCTCGTCACATTTTGCCTTGAGTTGTCGACAGCTTTCACATGCCTGAAATTTTTGTCAGCGGGTCAGTCGCCTGGCCTGATCTGGTAGCCGAAGGGGACGTACCTGCGAAGCTCTTTGCGATTTCCGTTTGCTTGCGGCTGTGTACGTGGTGATGGGATAGGGACCGTCTGGTCCCATCGGTGGGGGATACATCGGACTCTGGTCATAGGGGGTAGGCGGTGGCTGAGGGTGCGGCGGCAACGGGGTAGGTGGTGGGGGAGGATATGTCTGATGCCGGTACATCTGGGGCCCCGGACCGTTGTCGTAACTCATGTGCCTCCTCTCCTCCATATGGCCCGGAGGATGAGGGCCAGCATGCGGAGGGGGAGGCGGGAGAGGCTGCTCGGGGCCGTTGCCGGTTGAGTTGGGCCTGCGGAGTTGAGGCAGTGTGACGTCGTCGGACTCTCTCTTCACCATAGATTCTCGGCTCTGAGGCTGGTATCCAGGAGGAGGCGGGTACTGTTGATGCGCTGGAGAGGGCGGAGGCTGGTGATGGGGGTCCTGGATATGCTGGTACCTCTCTGGCTCATGTTGTCGGCGGTCATCAAAGTGCTGCGGTGGCGGCGGCTGCTGCTGATGTGGCGGCGCGTGCAGCTCTTGAGGACGGTGAGGGAAGGTATGGGGAGGGTGTGAGAGATGCGGTGAGGGCGAGTACTGAGAAGAGGTAGGAGGAGGAAGAGAAGGTGGGTGTGGATGGTGGGCAGCAGATAAAGGTGGCCCGGGATGGGGGAGCGAGACACCATGACCATGATGTGATGGCCCCGCTGGCCACGAGGGAGGACCAGTCGAGAGGCGCGGCCGCTTGCTTTCATGCCCTTGGTCCATGCTTCCAGGAGGTAAGGTATATGTGAAGCAGGTACATGAATACCTGGACCCCGGAAAAGAGATGAAATTCAAGAACGAGTTAGGGGACCGCGTCTGGGGTGAGAGCAACACAGCACAGAGCCAGCAGCGTCAGAGCCAGAGGAGCCACAGCCAACAGCAATGGCGGAAAGTCAGGCAGCAAGCGCAGCCGCGGAGGCCATGGGGTGGATGCCCGTGTGCGACTCTACGGGCAGCAACGCCCAGGACTCTTCTTTCGGCAGCACTGGTGTGAGTGGTGGTAGGTACAAGGAGCGAGGGGCGGAGAGGGCAAGTCTCGAAGGGTTGACGACAAGGAAATCTGGGCCTGAGACCTGAGACTTAGAAGCCGGGACCGGGACCGGGAGCTGGGAGGAGCTGGGAGGTGGAAGCTGGGGAGCTGGACCTCCTGCGCCTGAGGAATAGAGCAGGAAGCAGGTAGGCGCAAGAGCCAGAGCCTGAGCCTGAGCTTGGTGATGAGCCGGGATCAGACCTGACAGGGGTAGAGAGATTCGAGAAGGCCCAAGGTCCTGGTCGGTAAAGAGGTACGTATCCAAGGCGGGCGCGGCAATACTGTGAGAGAAACTGGCCCTGGACCGTATGGGTTGGCGATGGAGGAATGTGCGCAGGGCCTCGGGGGCGTCGAGCGATCAAGGCACAGTTACTGTATGATCGATCGAGTCCGGGGTTGGGACGGATCGTGGAGCTGCAGTCTTATTGGTCTGGACAAAGCGATATTTGACCAGCAGGTGCCGAGATATGAGATGTGCTGCTGTTACGGCGTGCAGGCTCAGGCTGGGTAGAAACGGCCCAGGCAGGGTGAAGGCAGGCCGACCTGACTGTGGGCTTTCCGGGAGGTACGGGATGGGCAAGCCAGGTCAGGGTGCAAATAAGCGCACTGGCGGATGGAGGGCGAGCTTGCGAGGCCTGAGGGTGACTCTGTATGGTACAGGAACAGGAACAGGATCTGCTCAAAACGTGGTTGTTGGCGCGTGTCCGAAAGCCCGGCAGCTTGTATTGATTGTGCGTCAGAGGTCCAGGCCGGCACAAGGTTTAGGTTTGGAGGAGGCAGACAGCGAGTGGTATGTAGTAGCTGGACTGGGCATAGGCTTGAGCCTGCATGCGTGCAAGGTAAGGTAAGGTAGCAGTCAGGCAAGGTAAGGTAGAGTAAGGTAAGCTTGAGGCGTGAGGTAGCGCTGCGTATCGAACCGTAGCGTCGTCCAGTGTCGTCGCGCGCGGGGGAGGATAAGCACGAGATTGATCGACGGTTGGGCAGCGATGGATGAGCCAGAGACCGGAAACAGCGTCCAGATCCTGCTTGCTCAACAGGGCACGGGATACTGATTGCTGCGTTGCTTGGTTGCTGACACACGGAGGAGTAGCAGCAGCAGTGGGCAGCGAGCAGAGTGGCAGTGGACAATGGCAGCAGCGGCAGCGGCAGCAGCAGCAGTAGCAGCGGTAGCAGCAGCCGCAGCGACAGAGACGGTGACGGTGACGGTGACTGTGTCACTTTTTTTTTCTTCCTTGGGGGGGTGGGCAGGGCAGACCACGTTCCAATACCCGGGACCAGGAACAGGAATAGGAGCTGGAAACTGAAAACTGGACTGGGCTGGACGGGACAGGACAGAACAGGACAAGACAGAATAGGACAAGCCACAGCGTGCGCAGGTTTGACCGGTCGGTACGCACTGGCCGAGGGAACGAACGAGCTAGGGTTTGAGCAGGTCTGTGGATTTGAGAGAGGTGGATCCTGGCGAGATGGAGGAAGGAAATGCCGAAATCGAGGGCCAAGCGAAAACTCAGAAAAAGAGTGAGTCGAGAGTACTGTACGGATGGGAAAGGGGACGACGACAACGAGAGCTTCGTCAGCCTGTCTGTGTCTGTGTCTGTCTGTCTGTACTGTGGTATGGTATGTCTGTATGTTCTGCCTCTATCTGATCTCCTTGCCTGCCTGTGGGCTGGGGCTGGACTCGACTGGGAAGCGGGCGACTGGACGTGGAGACGAGGGGGTGGGCAAAGAGAGGGAAAAAGAGTGCCAGAGTGCACGCACGTTTCGCGACGCGACCGGCCAGTGCGATGCGATGCGATACGTACGATGCGATGCAATGCAATGCGATTTGATGGCAGAGAACTGGAGACCAAGAGAGACCAGACCAGAGAATTGACTCGGCTCGACTCGACTCGACTCGAATCGACTCAAGCGACAGGGCAGGGCAGGGCAGGACAAGCAAAGCAGACAAGACAGGACAGGATAGCCAGGGAGAAGACGCTTGCCCGCTTTACTTCTCCAATCAGTCCGTCAATCAGTCAATCATCAATCACAATCATCGACCATCAACCGACATCCAGCCTCTCACTGACTCCAGCACCAGCTCCAGCTTCCAGCCAGCTCGAGCTCGAAAAAGCATATATTTTGGCGTGTACCTGCGGGGCGCGTGGTGCTGTGCTGTGCTGCGATGTTACTGTACGTACCCTGCCCGTTCTCGACCGTATCTGTGTGTGTGTGTGTGTGTGTGTGTGCGTGTGTGCGCGCGTGCGAGTGTGCGTGTGGTGTGCTTGTGTGTGTGTGGTGTGTGTGTGCCAGCCAGTCATGGCATGACGGAGGTTTGCTGAGGCATGGGCACAGACACGCAGAAGTGAAGAGAGGAGGGCGCGCCCCCAGCCTACCACGGGAAGCAAGAAGAGCGCCCCACACTGTGACAAAATTTGCACTAGCAATGCACGCTGCGTGCCAGGTACCTCTGACAAGGTTGGGGCACGGGCAGGGGCCCAGGACCCAGGGGGCAGGGGTTGGCCTGCCGGAACGGAAACAAAACGGTGAAGCTTGTGGAGGCAGCCATGACGAAGCATGAGGGACGGCCAGACACCCAGTCCCGTCAGTCCTCAGTCAGTCAGTCAGTCAGTCAGTCATTCAGGCGTTCAGTCGTTCATTCAATCGGTCGGCCCGCTGCTCGTTGAGGGAAAAATAAACACAAAAAAAGAGGTGTTGCTCGCTTGGTCCGTCACCCACACCTACCACCACCGCCACCACCACCACCCAACCCAACCCATGTAGGTACTTGCTGCCTGGGCAGCTTGGGTAGTGGGAGGCACTATAGCGCATGGCAGAATTTGCAGCATTGATTCCGACAGTGGGGATGGGGATGATACGCGCATTTCGTCTTGAGATTGCCCCGGCAGAGCCTTGGGGCCTGGACAAGACCCTGATCAGATGCTTCTTCTCGGACGTGATGATGCCCTTCTGCACGGCACAGTCTGCCCTTTCTGCTCTGCCGTGCAGTACACGGTCTGGTACTGCGTACATGTAACAAGCTCCGCGCAGATAGGATGGGATAGTCAGTCTACTGACTGGTCTTTGCGGGGTCGTAGGACAGGGCGGTGAAAGGCAATGGTCGCTTCGGCTGCGCAGCATGCATGTGCGTGCAGCAGCGCGGTGCAGGTGTGTGGTGCATGCTTCTTGAGAGTGGGTGTGTGTCCCACCTCTCTGTCTCGCCAGGGAGCCACACCACCACAACCACCCAGACCACCACGTACCGCCTTATTGCATAAAGCTACTTTCTGCGGCCTGATCCCTGGCCCTGTGTGCTCGTATGCGTGTCTGTCCATATTCGATTGACCTGGGTCTGGATGATGCGAGGAGGGGTACTATCCATGATACCACCCAGCCAGCTGCTGCAACACCAAGCAATGGACGAGGCGAGCTCATTTCGCAGTCAAAAGGCTATCTCAAAAGCATCGGTGAAAATTTTAAATGGTGCGGCTCGTAGGTACTGTATCCTCGGGCTTGACACGGCACGGCTCTGCTTGCTGTTCTAAGAAAAGACGAAACAGACCTAGCGCACCCACGCCGTCTGGAATTTTTCTGCGAGCGGCAAAGGATAGGCGGAGCGGGAGCGGCATGAGGCAAAAACGTGGCCGACACTGCCCCAGAGAATGCAAGTCGATAGTGGCATTTGCGAACCGACAGCCCTCGTCCCAGAAGTATGGACAGGCCGGTGGACGCCTCCTTTTTCTTATTCACCCTACCCAGTGTGAAAGGCTAGTACGGATCGCGCGGGGCTGGGCTGTCGAAGGACAAGCCCTGAACGTTGTTAAAGCCCATCGGTGTGACGGCTCCATAGAAGGATGATCCTGACCCAAGAACAGGACAAGAGCTTCAGGACTGCCCGGCCGGTGGCACCGAGGGATCCAGAGAGGCTGTGAGTAGACAGCGGACAAGGAGGAAGAAAAAAATTTCCCGGCGTCGTCCAGCATTGCCTCAGGACCTGGTGGATCTCGTGGCGTTAAAGGGTGGCACTGGTGGCTGTCTTTGCACGTTGTGCAAGCAGCCACATGGTGCCTGAGCATGCAAATCAGCACCGGTACAGTACGACGCTCAGCTTGGTGCTCTCGGAATGCATCATGGGTTAGCTGCATGGCCCTACGCCTGTACCGTGGCGTTGACTATGGGGGGATTGCGCCGTAGTCGAGCAGCTGTCACTTATCACCCCGGGGCGATCTTGACGTATCAGATCACATCTCCGATTGAGGCCGGCCGGCTGGACTGCTGACGGGCGGCCGTTGAAACGCAGAATTGGGGCTTGCGAAGCGCACAGAGCGTGACTGCTCGCCCCGTTCTCTCTTCTCTCTTCTTTTCCCCCCACGACATCTCAAACAGAGACTGGACAGCCCTGGGCGGGGGCACTGACGGCCCAGAGAGGAAGGTGAACCACCACCCTGCAAATTCCTTGCTGTCGCTCCAGACAAGCGTCCTGGACATGAGCTGATTTTGACCTCATCGCAACGGAGACGGCGGCGGCCCTAGCAAACCCTGCCTGTGAACCTTGCAGATGACCGTAACGGTGAGGTGTCACTGATCGCTTTGGTCGCCTGGCATGTCAGATCCGGCAGGGGTATAATACACTGAGGCGTTGACAGCTTCAGCTGAGATGTCAAGGGACGCGGTGGGTTCTGCTGCTTTGCCCTGTCGCCTCGTGTGCGTGTACGTGTGATGAGGCTGGCGGGCGCGGTCGCGTGGTCACATTATGACCTGGGTAGCACCATGCCCATACTGTACTAATCGCAGCAGCTGTGGCCTGGCCCTTGTACAGTGTGTGCGAGTTGTTCGTGCTCGGTTGCTATGGTTAGTCAGGTCGCTCGCTTCGTGGGTACCATTCCTAGGTGGGCATGGGTTTGGCGAGACGAGGTGCGGGCCGCTCTCCGAACATGCAATGCAGGCACCAGGACAAAAGTCGACGCCAGGAATAACTTCGAGGGGTTACTGTGTGTACCCATCCACGACGCATCTACCAAGGTAGGTAGGTAGACCTACTGATACTGTGCCGGTGAGCCAGGCAACTTCTGTTCTAGACCACTCGTGGCCTGTTTGAATTGGCAAATCGCTCCTGTTTCTCAGCCCTTCATTGATGCGATTCTCACCTGCTTCGACATGGGGCTTGGCCTTGAAAGTGGGGACAGCGTTGAAAATCTCGTCACAGTGCAGACGTCAAGATCACGGCCATTTCATTCCGCATACTGCAACGTCGCCAGTCTTGCCAGCGCCCTCAATGATGCCTCGATGGACTGCAATCGCCATGTTCCATCGACTGCGACAACCCGCAAGCCAGCCACTTAACCAGCCAGCAGGAGCAGCGGTGATGCCATCGCTCAGAACAGCGAGCAAGCCAGTGCTGGCATCCCAGCGGCCCCCGTGACCACGGCCTCATGCTCGTCAACGCAGCACTGACCGCCACTTACCCTGGCTCCCAGGAAACAAACCTTCGAACCTGATTCTCTTCCCGGCTTGACAGCGATCGGGGTGCCCTGCACGTATTGCCTGTCCGCGAGCCCATCAAGTGGGCCGATCATGACCTCGAAGCGAAATCACGGTTTGGCTTTTTGGGGGAGGGCGGGGGCCTGGGCACCGCTTGTCATTGCGAGAGGGAAAAAAAATTCCGAACTTTCCAAAGAGCGGTCCGAACGTCCAGGGTTCCCTTTTTTTTTTCTCTTTTCTTTTCCCTGCAGCTCCCCACGCCGGAGCAAGCGAACACTGAAAGCGGGTTTGGATGCTCAAGCCCAGAGATCATAATAACCGACGGCATGCCGATCAGCCAGCCACCCACTCACCCAGCAGGAGACAACTCAGAGGAGCAATTACTTATTTAGTAATTGACTGACAAGCGGGCGCTTTTCCCCTCTCGGTAGTCCATTGTCGGTAGTCCATTGTCGACGACAGACCGCTTTTCAGGTGTTCCAAGGAACACTGTTACAGCGCGAATACCCACTGGCGGGCCGCATGCTTCTATAGACTGGCGCCTTCATTCGCTTCGCCAGGAACTACCGTGTCTGGCGTGCAATGACAGCGAGTTAGCAGGCTTGCTAGCTGGCAAGTCACTGACAGTTTTGGGGCTAGCTGAATTCGCTGCTCGGTTGGTGGGCCGGCAAGGTTTGCTTCTGCCATGGTTCTCGCCACCCTTAATCAGCAACTACACTATTGGGCTGTAATTTTTGGTTGATGGGGCCTCTTTCATGGCCGGGCCAATTAGTCCAGCGTGGTACGGTGCTCGAGAATGCTGCCCTCGGGAGCCAACTTGCTTCTCGAGTTCTGGGACAGTGGAAATACGGTGTGGCATGGTTCTCACCATTGATGTCTGTGGGCCCCTCCCTCGTGATGGATTGATTGACGCAAAGTCCCCACCATTTGGAAGGAGTGTTTGTTTTCTGGAAGCTTGCGAAACATCAGAGCCAAATTCATCCGTGGGTCCTGATCCGGGGGGGCCTGCCAGCCAGCTCGCCCGCGAGCCCGGTTATCACGATGGCCCTTGGTGATGACGACGATATTGGCGCAGAGAAAACTTTTTCAACCAAAAGCATCCTGAGTCGCTCCATCTCAACCCGAGGTGCGGAGACCTCATCACAAGTAGATACGCTCACGAACTACGGCTACACCGGCACGGCCGGGCAGATTGATGTCAAGGTGGAGTCTCCAGACCTGGCGCCTCACCGACCCGGTCAGCCTGCTCACCTGATGGGCGTTCCCTCATCGTCATTGGTGTGACTGGCCAAGTCTTCTCACGAGGGCAGCCTCGGCCCTCGACAATCTGAACATATTAGACTTTTGACGCAAAAGCACGACCCGGTGTTGCAACATTTCGCTCTGTCTCTAACAGCCTGCTTCGGCTTCGGTCGGCATTGAACTGCCTGTCCGTGTGTCCTACGCAGGATCAGTTATTTACTCTAGTAGTCGCGTCCAATCATCCCAGGAGCACCCACTAGATGAGCTGGGATCGCGACGGAAAGTGGGGGAACATCCTCCAAGCGACTTGCTGTCAGGCAAACAGCTCGTGTTTTCACATTGCAGTGAGTCCTGTCCTAGATCCTTGCCTCGCAATCATATGCATTGTGTGACCCGACTGGCACCATCTATGCTCTATCTAGAACCCAAGATCGCGGTGGTCAGCCGAGGCTCGAGTGGCTCGCAAGCCTAGAGGTCGGAGCGGCCAGACCGACCCGGGTAGGTGCATTGATGATCTTTGGATTGACCTTCGGTGTGTGTCCACTGCACTTTGAGCAGTCCAGACATGAACCGTATGCATTGTTGTTTTGCCCTGATCTGGACGACGAGGGGGTCGTTGGTTGTTGGGTGCGATCTGGCTGTCATCTGCAGCTCAAGTGCGATTCATCGATTTCAAATATCCCGATGGTCATTTCTTCTGCATCTGCTCGCAATCACTCAAGTCCGTACTTTATGACATATCAAGCACAGCTTCACATCTCAACTTCTCCGTAACAATCGCCACGACAGGCAGACTTCATCGCGTATCTTGGTCGATTGTGAGTCCATCTTAGGCAGGCAATGGTATGCCAGGCCTGTATGCCCAGAAATGCGTACCTGGGTATGGCGCCGGAATCGTAAGATGACTATTTGCAATTACAACTATGCACTTGGGGTGAGGTCTCATTGTGTACTTGTTGGTAGCAATGCTGACATGCATTTCCACGGTCACACAATTGACCGTTTGTGAGGCACCTCCAACGGCGGAGTGCGGGAGCGGAGAAAGGCTCCTAAAATCCAGACCCTTTTCGGCACTGGTCACCGCAGCTGCATATGCAATACCACGCGACGTACTGTTGCAATCCGGCTGATTGAGAACGTTCCTGTCAAGTCTTTTGTTAGGTAGCACTTGCAAGACGATAGGCAGCCATGCAATTTCAAGACGCGAAATGTATGATCTGTCTTCGAACCTCCCGGGAGCGTAGGATGCGATGATTTTGCCAATCTCCGGCCGGTGGTTAATCTACCCAAGTGGGAAGCGAAGCAGCCCGTGCTGGCTGGAGCCTTTATCATGGCCTCATTAATAGGTACCGGCTCCGACATCGCTCCATTTGACCTAGCTTCAGCTTACCCCAGCTTTGGCTGTGCGGCTCTCAGCAAGCTAGAAGTGTGTTTCAGCCCGCACCAACAACAAGTGCGGGCTCGCTGCGTGGAGGTTGCCTGTTCCGTGAAAGTAGCTTGTTCAAAAACAAGCCATGATGCCACGAGGTTTCTAGGGGCTCGAGCTACGGCGCGGCCCTCCCAATCGGTGACCGTTATGCAGCTTGGGACGACCGATTTGTTGGGCGCTATCGCAGGACCAAAACGTTCCTGACCAAACAGCTGAGCGAAACGAAGAGCCGCTCTCCCAAGCCACGGCTGATGATGGTGTCTTGGCGTACCGTGAAGCTGGCGCTCAGCGCTGTGTGATTTGACTTGACGAGCTAATTGCTCTATCCTTCCATTTCATACCGTCTTGAAACTATCCATCAATGTCCTCAATCTCGGTAACGGCTCAGATTCTGCACCTTTTCACGACTCGCCCCAGCGTCATTGGACCCCTTTTCGTTGGGCATCAACGCGGTTCCTGGGGCCGCAACTCGAGGGCTATTCCGGGATCTTATGCATCTTGATGCCCAGGGGACCTTCTAGAACGACGATCTCCTCCACAAGGCTGCGTCTCCTAACAGATCTGTCGATACGAGAGATGTCTTCGACAGGCTATCACAGTAGAGCTCTGTTCACTTGGTGACGCGTTACAGCATTTATTGGCCGCCGGATGGCCAAATGGGGAATTAGTTGAGAAGGGCAGCACTATCTGCGATACCCTAGTCGCCCCTTTAAAGTGTCAGCGGAAATAGAGTTCACGCTATATCATGATAGACTGAAACTGATCGACCGCGGCTGCCGGCATCATACCTCCAATTTTGCGGTGGACAGGGTGAGGGCAGGCCTCACCTTGCCTCTTCCCGGCTGACTCGTCGCCGAGGCCTCGCTCCCCAGTCGTGTTCGGACGCTCCATCCATGCCTCGCTCGGAGAGACTCGGGTCGACTCGTCAGCACATAGAGTCTTCGAAGCCGGTCATTTCCGCCCATCATTCATCGAGATGAGGCAATACCGATGTCACATTTTGGAGGGGCAGCTGGCTACTGCAGAACTTATGTCGGCGCCGGGTCGGATTCTCATCACCGCCTCTTTCGGGGCGGACTTGGACGACGAATTGAACGCAGACAACTCAGACCGCTCGATAGTTGATGCGAGTCGTTGTTCACCTTGCTAAAATATGGGGGCGGGAGCCGTCGTGCAATTGGACCAGGTGCCCGATCTTATGCCGGCTCAAGGTCTTGGGCCAAACTCTACTGTATAGCACGTCTGCTTGACCGCCGGGAAAAAATCGTTGGTGGTTGATAATCATTACGCAGCACGACGACAGCACAGCCGACTGTCTGCACGTCTGCCAGGTCGATAGGCTACGGCAGTCAATCAGACCTTGGCTAGAGAAACCTGATCGTCAACATGCAGAGAGCCAGCTACTGCGGCTGGAGTATGTAACTGAAACGGGGCGAAGAACTAGGAGGAAAGCAGTCGTCGGCGTTGCCTCAGCTTCAGCAGTGGTTTCGTACATGCATCGCATCGGACATCATCATGGGAGGGGGGATGAGATGATGGTCCATCATCACTGCGATGACACTCCAGCCCAGGTGCTGTGCGGGCTGCGCGTGGCATCAAACATGGCACCGCAACCTCAGAGTCGCGTTTCACAGGGCACGCAGCGTTACACCGAAACACCGTGATCACGGATGACTGCAAGCCATCGCCCATCACCGCTCTAGATCTTCGTTCGTCGCGTCCATAGATGCGACCTCACAGACCGGCCCACGTGACGGCAAGCATCAAGTGTCTCTCTGAGCGAGGCGAGGGTATCCTGGTCACGCCCCCGCGCGTAGAACTCTGTTCGCTGTACCGTCGTCGCCGTCGGAAAGGGGCACTCTTAGCGATGTCAAGATACTTGCAGCACTCTGACTTGTCCACCGTCCCAGCGCTGCCGATCTTACTGCCCAACTTTCCCAGTGTCGAGCGGTAAGTCTCCACTGCAACCTCATCTCGTGGTTCAATCTCCGAGCCGGACTTGCGACACATTGCCTGTTGGAGCGCCACCAAAGATCTGAACATAGAGGTTGCCGGATGAGAGCGGAGGGCTTGTCATTAGGCTTCCTTCAAGATGATCGGTAGAGGCACTCCCACAACCGCAAGGCAGGGACGGCTGGTCGACTTCCGATCCGGGGAATTCGGCATGCTTCCACGTAAAGCAAGGGAACGCATTCCTCGTCTAGCTTGAACGTTGTGGGTGAACTTGGCGTTCGAGTGGGATGCCTTCAGACGACGGGAAGGCGATTTCCCTTAACTTCAAACATCTCCGCACGTGGCATGCGTGACGGTTACACAGTGTCCCAAAATGAGAAGTCTACTGTCTGGGACCCCGATAATCGCATGTCGCTGTGGTATCTTCGTACCCATGTCTATCGTGTTTGCTTCTCCCAATATCCACGTGCGGTCACCAGGTCGAGGCAAACATGTCCAGCCCCTGAAGAAACTCACTGGAGACCCGTGATGACGGACAATCGCGACACTATTGCCTCGCCAGGAGCTGCCGACCATATTCGGAGTTGACATGTCAGTTGAATTGGGAACAGTTTTACACAAACAGACGTGCAACAAGCGGGCAGCACTTTGCAAGGACCCCGCGGTGACACCGCAAGAGGCGGCTGACCGAAATTTGCTTTTCTTTCATCCTCTTGCAATCTTCTATGGGGATCGAGGCGAATTCTCAGCCACTGCAAAGCCGCTGAGCAAGCTGTGCCCGGGAAGGATCGCACCTGCTGCCGAGTGGCGTTGAGCCTCGCGACGTTGTGCCTGGAGATGAGCAGAGAGAGACGACAGTACCGACAATTTGGGTGAGCATGGGCGAGACAGGAGTTCGATGAAGCAAGGGAGCGATCCCATGCCCCGAGATCTCGGTTTTTGGGTACCAGGAACGCGGCTCGCTAAGGCAAGCGGCGGCGAGGCTCGGTCGTGCCCTTGCCCGTTGTGAGCTGTCATTTCTGAGCTGCGCATACGGAACTGGAGCTGGATGTCATCTGAGCCAGTGACCGCCAGCTGTCACATTCCAAATGCGCGCGATGTTGACTGAAGTGAGGGATTGTCACGGATCGGGGCAGGCTGACTGGGTAAGCTAAAAAGCCCCGTTGTGGAAGCCTCGTGACAGGTGGTTTTTGGCAACATGTCTGCAGATCAAGGGTGATTTTGAGGCAAGGCCTGGCCCTTTTCGAGCCGAATCACACGGCTGTGCTCTTCTTTCGGCCGCCGTTCTCCCACCGTTTCACGCCTCTCTTGGGAGTCAGTCCAGTGAATGCCAATTACCGGAAATACACACGGCTATCGATGCATGCTGTGCTGCTTGTTGGCCGCAAGCCACAGGGTGAGATTCGGCAAAAGGACGAGGCTCTTCAGCCTCAGCTTTCTGATACGCGGCCGATTGCAACCTCAGAGCATACGACTCCAAGACAGGTAGCAAACACATCCTGCGGCGAGTGTGCCACACACTGCATAGCCAGCCTCTCTTTACCCGCAAGAGATGGGTCACAGGACACGGCGCTGACGAAGAAAGTGCCTGCCTGGACTTCATCCGGCCGGAAAGCTCCGGGCCTCGGAAAAGTACCGTACAGTACAGTTTGGCGAGCATAGGAAAAGAGCGCAATAGCGCCGGAGTGGGCATCTATGCGGTGTCCTTTGCAGGCGATGCGGCCAGGCCGCCGAACACGTTGCCTTATCGAGGACTCCAAGTAGTGTAACCTCGACGACAAGCACTGCCAATGCTGGCAGAGAGCAACGGCTTGCGAGATATGACAGCTGCAAGGTGAGTTTGCCTCTATGCGATGCTCGTTTGGAGAAGACATGGGGGGTGCGCATCGAAGAGAATCTCGGCCAGGCAGGACGAAAACAACAAGGGCAAACAAAGCAATGCTAGAGCGCCGTGTGGAGAGGTGGCAAGCTGGGCCTGGCTGGAACCGTGGGATCGTGGAGGGGTAAACCGTCCCAAGCCGGACTCGCTTATCTCGCCAGATGGCAATCCAAGATGCATGATGTACTACTGTATGGAGATCTCCGGTAGTCTAAGGTTGTTGAGCCCTGAGATGTACCAATGGTTTTCTGCGGGCGCGCATCAGGGGGGGATGCGTGGCATCGCCAGCGCCTTTGCTTTGGGTCTCGCCGGCAGGACGCCCTGGCCAAGAAGGACGTGATTTGTTGATGAGTAGACCACGGGTTCGTCTTGTCCCACAAGTCATATAAGGATACATGATATCGGAACAATTCTGGGTTGCTTTTTGGGCTCGTCGAAATTGGTCCCGCGTTGCAGACGGGCCCTGCCTCCCTTCCCGAAGCTAGCAAGCTTCCTGCATCCATGCATACCATCGCGCTGGAGCATGCAAGACACCCTTGCTTCGTCCCTTTTGGAATGCCACACCTGCATATTTAAGGTGACCACAGGACAGCAAACAGCCCAGGAAACCACAATTCAAAGCGATCCGTCGATTTCGACCTGCGGAGGAAAACAGGGCGGTGTTACAAATTTGCGTCTCAAATGACGGCGGCTATCGCGCAATGTGTCGGGTGGAGCTGAGCTGTAGCTGATCATGGCCGATGGCGACAGCTACGGTCACAGTATCTTGCAACTGGGCAAATCTCCCACGCAGTGGAGCGATTTCCTCTGCAAGTTTCGGCATTGTCAATCGCAGATGCTGTGATGACTCTCTCCTAGTCTTCACAATCGCCCAACTCCGGTGCTCTATTCTCTCTCGTCCTTGACCTTCCTACTCCTCGAGTACGGTCTCCTCCAGAAGGCTTCCTCGCCCTCGAATCCAACAGGAGTCTGCGACGCAGGAGGTTTGGCCGCTTTCCGTTTGCCTCGGCTGTCCTCACCGTCCTCGACACCCTCGGTGAACACCAGGTCGCCTTCCTTGCCCAGGGACTCGCAGGCGGCCTCTTCGAGAAGGATTCCAAATGCGAGGATCGCCGTCTCATCCATGCTTCGTTCGTTGACCCGGCCAATATACCCTCGTGGCTCCCCTGCACGCCGGTGACCTAGCGCCTCGTAGAAATGACTCGCGTAGCCGTGTACGGCCTTGACCATGTCGCTGTCGGGGAGGATGTTGCGACCGCCATCGGGCAGGGACTCGTTTGCAAAATAGATATCTTTCTCGGCATATCGCTGGGGAGCACGCTTGCGGGAGAATAGAACTTCCTCGGGAGTCAAGACTGGGTCGCCGAGATGGTGTTGCCCAGAGGCAGTTTTGTGGCTGCCACCGGTGGCATCATTTTTTGAGAATTTGAGTGACACTCGACCTGGTTGTGAGGCCTTTGTCAGCTGGGCTTCTTCGCGAAGCAATTGCAGTGGTAAGTAAACAGCAACAAATTCCATACCTGCGACTGCATCGTACAAAGTGGCATGTCTCTGCTTTGCCGCTTCGTAGTCCGTGGAGAGCGCCTCGGTGGCGTCCTCGCCATAGACGTAGGTTCCTCTCTGGCGGTTCTGAGATGTCATGTTTTCCCCTTGTGCTGTGTGATGCAAGGCGAGGATATAGCCTGGCACTCAGCGGTCGTCAGGATTGTGCTCTACCGAGTCGCAGCACATCTTCGGGCAGCGTGGAATCTCCAGTTCGGTTGCGCAGTTGGAAGCCCATCAACTGCGCGGTGGGGATGAAACAGAATTTGAGCCTTCTCTATTCTGAATGACATGCGCCGAGACCCCCGTTTCGCAGCCAACAGGTAGAGAGGTGGTCTGAGGAGAAACACAGGAGAAAGAATGCGGGGTTTGCTTGAAGTAGCACGCCCTGTAGCTGACCACGCTGACCTCGCATTCTTCGACTCAGCGCATTTGACTCAGCTTCAACATCGCTGTGCTGACCCGGTTCTTCTGTCAGTGATTCAAGCACGATTGAGTCCTCGTACAGATGCATGAATCAACTCTTGTTTGAACGGGCCACGGGCGGCCTCGGCGCCAACTCTTTCGCAAAGCTCGAGACCACACGGCTGCTGCGATCCTTCCGACCAGCACCACGATTTCGATTTGATGGTGGCGAGAAGGGTGCAGCTGTTGACATTGCAGAGGGCAGGTCCAACTCTGCTCTCCCCGACTCCAAGTCGAATCTATGGGCCCATCAGGCTGGTGTGAATGCCCTCGCGCTAGAACGATTTGATGGCAGAATGTTGGTTAAGCTGCCCTTCGACCATTGTTGTCCTACTTCATGGACATTACTTGGATTCGACTAATGGCTATCCTACAGATTGCTATCTGGGGGCTCAGATGCGACCATCAGGCTCTGGGACATCGAGCAATGCGGCAATCCAAACAATTCGCATGTCTACAAGCCTTCGGCGCAAATCGCACGTTCCGACGACAAATCCAAGTCGCATCGATTCGGCATCACACATCTGTCCTTCTACCCTTTCGACCCGGCCGCGTTCCTATCGAGCTCCTATGACCAAACGTTGAAACTGTGGGCGACGGACAGTGTACAGATATCAGGTTCTTGGGACCTCGAATCGAAGCTATACACACATGCTATCTCACCCATTGCCGATCATCTATTAGTAGCATGCGGGACAGCTCATCCAGCAGTCAGGCTTGTCGACCTTCGGTCTGGCGCAGCTGTCCAGTCTCTTGTTGCGCCTGGACAACTAGGTTCTGGAGGAGGTGCCGTCCTCTCCCTCTCGTGGTCCCCGCGCCACGAACATGTGCTTGCAAGCGGGACTCTGGACGGAGCAGTTCGAATTTGGGACGTCCGGCGTGCAAGTGGTCTGATAGGTCTCTTGGATCAAGAGGATAACCTGGGCATCCTACGACGACGCGGAGATGTCAATGGCAATCACATCTCGGATCGTGGGGTCCGATCATCGGCAAAGGCGCACTCGGGCCCAGTGAACGGGCTGACTTGGACCGACGACGGCGCTTATATTGTTTCTGCGGGTCATGACAGACGGATTCGCGTGTGGGACTCTGCTACAGGCGCGAACACTCTCGCGTCTTTTGGGCCGAGCATCAAGAATGGCCAGCTTGCTAGTACTCCCATGTTTACAACTCCTGTGGGATTGACGTCACCGAGGAAAGAACTGCTCTTTTGGCCAAACGAGACAGAAATTCTGGTTATGGACTTGCATGAGGGTACTACTGTTACCCGTCTCCGAGGCGTGGGCGCCAGTATCTCGGGAGTGAGGGCACGGCGTGGAGGTGAGAGAACAGTGAAGAACCGAGTCACAAGCATCGTGTGGAGAGGAGCCGGGGGCGTGGGTGGCTCGAGTGGCATTGTGCCAGGTGCATCCAATGCTCCAGGAGGAGTCTATAGTGGTCATACCGATGGTCAGATTCGTGCCTGGGTGCCACAGGTCCAGGGATTGGACGAAGAGGACGAAGATGACACTTCTGAAGTGGCTCAGCAAGAGAAGACTCAGAAGCGGAAAGCTCTTGACGATGCCTTCAAAAGTCTTATGGGCCAGAAGATCACATTCAACTAGATATTTCTGGGAATCGTTATTAACATCACTGGACCATTCTCCGAAAGGAGCAAATATTGAGTATCCTTGCAGACTATGCATGAGTTCGGATGAAAGCTCAATTGAGTTCACACCCCTGCGATAGTTGACGCACGTTTTCGATTGATTGGTCAACGTCTCTGGATGCACACTTGAGGTGGGTCTGGCATCACGAGAACTCCAAATCAATATTTTGATAGCACCGCGACTGAGAGGGGAATCTTTGATGGACCAGTGTCAAGCGAATACCACTTCACATGCAACGGCTCAAATGCCTTTGCTGGTTAATATGCCAAGGCGCGATCTCCAGGAATCCAGATGTCATGATGGACTAAGTCGAACTGTCGACATGGCGGCGATGATCTGAAGGGAATGCAGTTCCATTTAATGGACACGCTCAACGAGGATTCTCTTGATTCTTGTGCTCTATGTGTCCCAGCTTGTCCATATTGTAGTCATGGTTGCCCTTACCCATTCACTCGTCTTAGCCTTGGCCTCGGCCTCAACGGCGTGGAAGATCGGAGCTGAGAAATGTGATGCCTATAGCCACTACATCAACTATACCACGGTCCCAGGATTTTTCCTGCAGGACGAAGCCAGCACTGACCCATCAAGTTTTGACTACGTAGGAATATGTCATTCAAAAATTCGGCCTCCATATGTATTTGTGCTAACGAATCTGCAGACGACGGTCAGCTTTGGTCTCCTCAACAGGACTTACCCCACCGACTCGTCCTATGGGAGCAGAGTCCTGAACCAGACTCAATGGCAGCGCTTCTCAGCTTATGTTGATGCCTTAAACACAAACTCGAGTGACGATGTCGCGTACAAGGTTCTCTTTCTGGCAAGGCACGGGGAAGGCTATCATAATGCCGCTGAGACGTTCTATGGCACTCCTGCCTGGAATTGCTACTGGGCCGAACAGGAAGGCAATGCCAACGCCACCTGGAGGGATGCTCTGTTGACTTCGGATGGCATCGCGCAGGCTGAGAAGGCCAACACGTTCTGGGGTAGCCAAATCGGCTCAGTTGGGCTTCCAGCACCGGAGTCGTATTATACCTCACCGTTGCGGCGATGTCTGTACACCGCAAACATCACATTTGGTGGCCTAGATCTTCCTGCAGACAGACCATTCACCCCAACTATCAAGGAGTTTTTTCGGGAGGGCATCAGCATCCATACATGTGACAGCCGATCCAGCCGCACACACATCTCCAGTCTCTTCCCCTCATGGGAGTTCGAGCCAGGCTTCCCCGAGCAAGACCCCTACTGGAATGGCATCACGGGCGAAGACTCCTCCAGCCAAGCAGCCCGCACCAAGATTGTGCTTGACCAGGTCTTCAGCGAGGACGACGCGACGTGGGTCTCCGTGACAAGCCACTCGGGCGAGATCTCGACTATCCTCTCCGTGCTTGGACACCGGGCGTTCCGCCTTGCGACGGGCCAGGCGATACCGGTGCTTGTGAAGGCCGAAAGGCTCTATCAGGCATATCCGTCTGCGACTGTTGCGGGCTGGACATCTCAGGCGACGTGCACTGCCCCACCAGTTACCAGTCTCGCCACAGGCGGGTGTATTTGTTCTAGCGCGACGGCGACAGCTACTGCGACGGAGCTCGCAAGGAGAGGCTAGCTTGGCCTACGCAGGACGCCACGTAGCTGTCGAATACAGCTTCGATAGATATAAATAAATTTGTGTCTTTTGTATAAATCCATAGCCGAAGAGATAAACCTAATCACTCTTGCGCAAGACTTGATGATCGCCCTCAAGCCAGAGGGTTCCGCTCATTTTCAGTGGCCACCAGCGCCTGTATCACCGTCACATATCGAGATCGAAAACTTGGGACAGCGCGGGATTTGTTCAAACACGTCCTGGCAAGAGGCGTGATCTCAGTAAATCATGTAAGTCGAGGTATGTGGGCTCCTCAATTCTTGTACGAGACTAAGGCGCCGAATTTTAGGCAACTTTGGTGAACGCTGCGGTACTCTAGGCGCGTCGATAGTAGTACGGCCGTCTTCAAATGCAATAATACGGGTGGAATACCGAAACTCGAACTCCTCGATAGAACGAATCATGGGGGGTTGCCAAGAGATGCAAGAAGTGCTACACCGTGCTAGAGCTAGAGCCATCAAGGTCCCTGCGAAGGCAAACCTGGGACGGCTTGACGAAATGCGTGGCTTGCTTGACATTGTTTCGGCCTGAACCCAGGACCCCTCTTCGAAGAGCGCCAGCCTGCTTGAATCTTCAAACAGGAACCACGACCTCCACCACGGGCTGCATGGTCGGCTGGGGCACCCCCAGCATCCGAGTGGCAAGGTTTGGGCATCAATCAAACTTCGGAGACGCCCACGAGGAAGCATGGTGGGGGAACCCGTGATCGTGAGCTGATGCAGGTCAGGAAACAGGAATGCAACGCTGATGGCCCCCGGGGGCGCCGTCTCCCTCTAGCCCCTGCTAGCTCCGCCCGTCTCATCTGTTCAGCCTCACATCAGTGTAGGTCCTGCCGAGGAGGGGGAGCTCTTAAGGCGGCTGGGTGGAACGCCCTTCAGCCTTGTGGAAAAGGCAGCAATCTCCGTGGCACGGCGTTGGATCGCGCGGCCGGCCCCTTCGTGTGCCCCGTTGCGAGCGCTGTCGCGAGAGGGGAAACCAAGCCAGCGCTTACCATGGTACTCGATGCCGTGCCATCGCGCGCCGCGACGCCTCAACGTGCTGATGTCTCCGAATGAGGCCTCGGCATCCCAATGTTTGACCTTGAGTGACTGAAAGCAAGAATGTGACGGTGATGTTACCACGGTACATATTACAGGGATCCCAAAGGGCTGCCAAATACTCAGAACTACATAGAAAGCAGACAAGATACCTTCACAAGATACCATCTTACAGATTATCCTAGGAGAGATTATCTCGCAGTTGTTAATGCTATAGGGATTTATCCTCCCGGAGGTATTGCCATAGGAGGTTATTTACACGGGAAGGTGTGATATGTGCTAGTGAAGTCATACCAGTCATACCCAAATATGTGGGATTGCTGGGAGCTAGCCGTAAATAAGGCACATCCGATGACGGAGAATTGACGATGCGCGGGTCCAGACTCTCGACGACATGTCGTGGTACCCTTGGGCAACTGAAAAAATCTGGGATACGACGCAAATCTCCTACCTCCGTCACGGCACCGTTTCCCCTCGATTGGCCTCCCTGCCCTTTTGGTTGTGCTCCTATCCTCCCGAGGCCGCCGAAAAACGGTGGGCAGCGTTACACTCGCGACCTGCGGCGCGACATTGCTGCCCAACGTCGATAATCCGACGATCAAATATCCGAATTACAGGCAGCACAACCAACCTGCGTCAAGCGGATCCGGAGCGCACAAGGAGGCACAGCAAGAAAAGGGGGTCTAGGTACTGGTACGACCAGCCTCTCAAACATATCAAAAACTTTGGGCATCGTTGGTGGTCACATGAGCAAAAGTGCATGCGTATCATTGATCCACCTATACGACCTGGCCCATGTTCTTCGGTGACAGCTCGGGCACTGTCTACTATTTTGTCTTGATCCGCGTTGATGATTACCAACATGAACTTCCGCATTATAACTTGGCTTTGTTTACCGAAAGGCTATTATTTGAGGAGAAAGAGGAGCGGATCCGCAGGTGGCCGATGTCTTAGCGAGCTCGCACCCCGGGACTCACGGCAGCTGTTTAGAGTTCCATGTCGGCTCTGGCATGTCCATGCCCTCTCGTAATGAATTCATGGGTTACTTGGGCTCATGTCGCGGAAGATATTTATGCCTTGATGCTATGTTTGGATAGGAGTAGGCATGGGGCATGTGGCTACGTTGACACCGAGGCTGTTCGCTCACAACGCGCGTTGGACAAATACGTGTATATCGGGATAACAGTGACCCCGAATCCCACCCAAGCCTTAAAAGGTGATGATGCAAAAACACCAAAAAGTTCATCATGTGACAATGACTGGTGCCTCACATAGCACGGTCCTGGGTGGATAGTCTCTACATGATCCAGACATTAACACGTCACACGCAGGTGGACTGAGTATCTGTAGCACCCGGTTCTAAGCGGCTGACCACGTTGCCAAACTTGCATTAGTTTGTTCTGGGCCGCTACTCAATGTTTGGCATTGGTTCGTAATCCTTAAAATAGGCTGGAAGGAGAAGATTTCGGGATGTCATCACACTCTGGACGACACTCTGGGACTTCAGAGACGGCAGCAGAGCTCTGCCGTGCAGATTGTCGTCCAATGTCCGCAGTTTCAATGCCCAAGGACAGTAGCTAAGAAAGATCATAGCGATGATGCTGCTTGATGTAGAGGGACTCTGAGACATTGAGAGAAAAGACACAGACCTTGACGCCCTCCACAGACTACTACCTGGCCTACCTAGTGAGGTGCGCTGGGATTCCGATCGATTGAGATCTGACAAGATCTGGGGGCGGGACCCCTGGTGGACAGGCTGCAGCTAGTGGCGTAGCTTACCTACAGCTACAGCTCCTCAGAGCCCCGCGTGCTCCACAACCAGACTGCCAGACCGGCTGACCAGGCACTAAGGATGCCTGCCGGTCGGCGCGTTACCTGGCCAGCTTCTTCGGCTCCGGCGATCCAAACACTCTACAGTCATCAACGTCGCCGCCCTCAACATCTATCGTCATCGGGGTGCGCATCATCGCATCCGATTCTACGGATTTTGAAACAATCACCAAGCTCGGCCATTGAGAGAAATGGCAACGCGCCACCTTCGCTGATCATCTAGGTGCCCTGAGCTTGAGCTTGAGCTTCTCCCGAGCTGTCCAGGAACGACCGTCGATCTCGCCCAACAACCTCCGAAAGAATCTCATCTTGGAAGACTCGTCAAGATGGCCACACCGCAGTCCATGAAACCTGCGCCCTCGCAACAGGGCAAGACCCCTCAGCAGTCGTACCATGGCGCGACTGGTACTCCAGGCGCCTCGGCTTCGACCCCGTACTCGAATCTACACGCCTTCTCCCCTCATGGGCCAAGATCGTCGCCGCAGCAAATCAAGAAGTCGCCTGCGACAACTGGCACGTTGATGGGATCCAACAGTCAGGCTGGCCCTGCGCCCATGAACTTCGACAGCCCCTCCGCCGCAGCCTTCATGGCTAGCTTCGATGCGTCTTTGGTAGACAATATGGGGATCACATCGATGGGCATGCCGCGGCCCAGTGGTGATGAGGAAAGGCAAAAGAGACTTCATGATGTGATACATATTTTGAGGGTGCGAACTCGATCATGGCCCCCCGGGGCGTGGCTGGAGAATGAGCTAACAGTTCCGCAGCAAAAGAAGGGTATTGTCAGCGACGAGGGCCTGGAAAGACTGACTAAGAGGGTCGGACTAGAGTGCTTGTGGGAAGACGACAAAGCCATCAGGACGTTTGTCGTTGCGGGAGCAACAATTTCATTAGACATTGGCATGAAAGACCATGTTGCGCAGAAAGTCGAGCTCAACTTTACTGTGTCGAAGCCCTCCGTGACGAAACACGCGAGCAAGGCTGAGGCCATTCTTGTCGATGACCTGAAATTGGCACCTGGACAACATCCTTGGACCAAGTCCCTCGACAAGTTTGCTGCGAATCTGGAGCGTCTCGCAGCCTTGGACAGACTGAGCGTCTTGGATAAGGATGGGAAGCCACATCTTGTGACCCACGATGCCGTAGCAGGAGTCTTTGAGAGCCTGGAAAAGTTGCATGAATGGGACATCAAGCGGCTTCACGAGGACGCAGAGCTTAGTGCAAAGGGCGACGAACACATCCGGATCGTTGCGATGTGTGAACGGAACGGCCGACCTGTCATGCACGAGAGGGGGCGCGTAGGAATGTGTTTGGACTATTGGCGCGAGCGCAGGTTATACATCCCACGCAGCGAGCAAGCCAAAGAAAATTACAAGAGTGCCAAAACCTGGGGCATTCTGGTCGGCTGCGCGCAAAGAGATCCCCTCTATCCTGCCCCAGTCAGAGTGTCCAGCGAGTGGCTGGCGGATGGCATCGAGCTGCCAGCCACAGATGGGCTTCAAGAGCCTATACTGAATTGGCAACAACCACCCGACTGCATTTTACCCGGAGACGACGCCTCGCAGGCTCACGACGGATTGATGGCACTGACGGGCCCGAAGCTGCCCGATGTCATGTTCATGGCCGCATTTGATCCACCTGTCACTCTCCCATTCAGTGTGTGGATAGAGATGCGACATGTGACAGGAGCACCGGTCGGTGACCCACCGCCGTACATGCCAACATTCGACAGTCTCATATTCCCTCCCGGGCCTGACTACAACGCAGCAGAGCCGCGAATGATCACAGCAACGAAAACAGTCAAAGCTTTCAACAAGGACAAGAAGCCGGCACCAAAGACGCACGAGAATCGCCTGTTCATACACAAGCCCGTTTACGGACAGGCCTTGACTGAGCTACCGTTCTCGCACCCCTCACAATTGGTCGCGATGCTCCCTACTTTGCGCCAGTATGCTTTTCTCCAATGTCTTCTCGACAGGGCATTCAGCAACGGGAATGACAAGGCATTGGCGCCCGCGAAGACAAGGGCAGATGAACTAGTCCAGGTGGTAACCGCCAAGGCAGACGAGTTCGATACCTGGATGAATGAGGGCAAGAAGGACACAAAGACACAGGAGGATAGCGGACAGGCGACCATCAGCGCGTCGCCTGACCAGGGACCACTCAAGGTCGACATCACGTTGAACGCCCACCCACAGCCGAACCCCAAGCTGCAGATTATGTTCCCATACCGAGGCCGGCCCGCGCAAATCACGGTCGACATCGAGCGCAACGGCGTGGTCCAGGTCGAGTCGTGCAATATCGTCGACAACGAGGGCCGGGCGGTCGACGAGGCGGGCAACCCGGTCGAGGGCGCGGCGCCGAACCCGGCATGGAGCAGGGACCGCCTGGGCCGCCGGCTGATGTTCTTGGAAGACATTGGGCTCTGGTGCGAATGGATACGGACTAATGTCGGGCCCTAGGATGACGGGGTAGGGTTCGCGTCTACATCTACTATCTTGAACCGTGGTGGAAGCTGCTACGCTTGCGGCAGCGACAGAGCGCTGGATGAAGGGGTGCGGTTCTACGTTTGCCCTGTATTCTACGAGACGACAAGAGCGGGTTTGATTCCAGTGTCAGGTAGAGAGGGCCTATCTACAATGAGGGTGTGCACTCGGCGCCCAGCAACTTGAGGTGCATGACCGTGGCAGAGGAATTATTAAGACGAAGGACTGGGAAATGAAGGGGACAATTACAATAGCAGTTGACGAAATGATACCCCCCTTATTCGTGTTACACATGAAGCTACAGAGTGCAATTAAAAATACGTGACTGCTTTGCAGGAGGAAGGTCAAGGCGACAGATAGCTCATCACCCTATATTGGAACCTAATCTTAAAATAAAAAACACGGGAGGTCAGTGCAGCCATGCTCATGTCCGAGACGTGCATATTTCGTCCGAACGCGTGCGTTCGTCCTCGGAGCCGTTGGAGCTGAATTGGTGGAAAAGGGGGCCGGGCCGCTGGACCCCTGGCTGCTGATGAAGATTGGCGGCCGAGCCGGTGGTCTCTTTTGGGTTATCGATGCACCAGGAAGAAGAGCGAGGGTGACCGACCCACTGCGGTAGGAGAGGACCCTTCCGTCTGGGGGAGGGGGGCGATTGGAATGGCCCTGGAGATGTGAGGAAGCACAGGAAGATGAGGAGGGGGGAGAGGCCGCAGGACGAAACGTGGCATGAAGATGGCGAAATTGCAAAATGATGCAATGCATGCAATGCATATGCGGGATTTTGGTCAATGGACGGACGGACGGACAGTGAGCTGAAGATGAGGAAAGGCGTACGATGATGTATTGTTTGTTTTGATCAGCGCTGTGTAGAATCCGTACTGGTCGGCCAACATCAAGCGATGATAGGGGCGAAAGCACGGAACCCTGAGTCCTGCAGTCTTGGTCTCCGACGAGACATCTGAATTAGCTTTGCTGACGATATATTGAACCTAATTTTGGGCCCGGCTGTGCGTCCTGGCCACCTTCGTGGTCATTTCTGGCCGCTGTTGTCATGCAGGGTGAGTGAGAAGCTGCGAGGGCGCGCCCGGCACTCAGGGACAGCCAGGACAGGCTGTCAGCAACGTGGCCTCGTGTTGGCTACTAGCACAGAGTTTCAAGAGATCCCAAGAGGAAGCCAGCAATGGATCTCGGCCGATGCTCCAGTCAGTGACGATGACCGAGTGTCGCGATGATGTCGTATTGTAAATAAAGGGTCCTCAGGGTACACGTCACAACAGGAAGACCCTGAGGTCCCCCACTCGGATATATCAACAACGCGTCGTCTCCCGAGGGACGAAAGTCTTTTCAACAAGACGAGACAGTTGTTCATCGGCTATCTTTGATAAACTTCAAGACGCTGCGTCATTGCTTGCAGAATGCCGCAGCGAGGGAGCTCGGGGACGAGTGAGCCAGCATTTTCTGGCGGCTTCTGGCGCGTCTTCTGCTTCTGAATCGCAATCTAAACAAGGTTGCACAGGCGGGCCGTTGTAGGTTGCAGAGAGGTGCCGTCGTGCCGCCCCTTCTCATCCACATCAATCCAACCCTGCCATTCCTGGGCGTGTGATTGATTGGGTAGGGAGCAAAGCGTGCCTGATGGCTCCACAGGCTGCATCGACCCAGGCCCATGGGCCCAGTCATCCTGCTTCCTGTCTGGCCCGCCGCCTACCTTTATGGATCACTCTGCAGACCCTGAGAGGGCCGCGAAAGGAGGGACCCAGGGACCTCGGGAAGGGCTTAGAGGGTCCTGATGGTACGGAAATACCGCCCAACCCAGAAAAGGAGGGGGTTGGTGTTGTTATTGTTATTGTTGTTGAAGGGTCTCACTCTCTTACACCAGGCCGAGACCTCCCGTTGTTCGAAACAATGGGGAGGCCTGGCTGTTTTTAGAAACTGCGTGAATGAGGATTGCTTGTGTTTACTGCGTACCCACCAGCAAAGACGAGAGGGAGGTGGGAAAGAGGGAGAGGACAAGGTTTGTTGGGATATCTCCAATGCTGACAGGGATGGATGATCGGAGCCGATAGTGTGAGTGAAAGAGCAGACTATGGTGCTGGGCTGCTGGAGATTTTTTCATCTAGTATAGAACAAGGGACAAGTCATCAGGTGAGGGTGCGGCATAGTAAACAATCTGGTCTGGCTGTCACAGGGTTGATGGGGAAATCGAATCTTGGGAGGGATATGCCATCTCATGCAAGCCAAGAACATGCCAAAGGGGAAGGCGACAGGGGGGTGCGCCCACCGCCTTGCAATTGCCCCCACAAAAACGCGTCTTGCAACCGCGAATGTTGCTTCCCAACTAGGAAAGGGGTAAACAAGAACGCGACTTCCACTGCTGCTCGCCGCATGAGCGAAGCATTGAACTTGAGCATCAGCCAGAACCAGAGCAGGAGCCACGCCCAGATCCAGACAAACTTACAAGGAAGCTGCCACTTTTTAGCCTGCTCTACCACCACCACTCCCACCTGTTCCTGCACCTCCTGCGCCTGCACCACTCTTGGATCTGTCCATCCACCCATCCATCCATCCGTCCGCCCATCCCATACACCCACCATCCCGTCACTCCCCCTACCTGCAACCGCACCTCCAACAAATCTCATCTCGATCGCGATCACAGACGCTGCTCCTGCGGCACAGACACCTGTGACGTCCTCTTTCCATCTCTTATCGCCAGGGCCTCACCTACCCTTACGCGAAGGCAACAGGATACACTCCTCTTGTCACGAGTCGCCACTGCTTTGAAAACACAACCAGCAGTCGGCCATTCTCACACATCTCGAACATCCTGCGCCACTATTGTCAGTCGCATGCAGGCGCTTCCACCACCACACCCATTTGGCATCCAAGGAAACTTGCCATCCTGATCGCAAGCAACCAGGCTAGAACGAGCCCTCGTTATTTTCGCCTTCAACCGCAGCCCCCTCTGCCTGTGTCGAGCTGCGCCGAATCTACCTTCGCGTCACCCGTCAACGGCTTCCAGAAGTGCTCTAGTCTACTTTGTCAGCAGTCATCGAAATATCGCCACCCTGGGTCAGGTTGTTGAACATCTTCGAAATGGTACGAGGCCGACCTGGCTCCTCGTCTTGACCTCTTCTTTACCTCGTCGGCCGATTTGCTGCCTCCTTGTCCTGTTTGCCCTGTTGCCTGAGCTTTTGGTTTCTGCCTGTGCCATCACTGCCGCCTGGAGACCTACCACCACAGACCGCAAGTGTGCGCTGACTATCGCGCATCACTAATACTTTCGACTGGGACGAAGCCTAGAACCCATCATTCACTTACACAACCAAAGCCATGTCGTATTCTAACGGCAGCGGCGGCACTCTTACCCTCCCATCACCAACCAGTATCCATCACGTGGATGTCACTGCTGCGGTGCGATCGTTGAGACGCTCCATCTCCCGTTCACCTTCAAAATTCAATCTAGTGAGGGCAGCATCTCAGAGCTCCGACGGCTCCCTTTCGTCTCCAAATTCACCGTCACCCTGTCGCGTCATACAACGACCTATGCCACCAGCATCTGCTCCCCATCTGTCGCATCAGTACTCGCAGTCTAATCTCGCAACACCTTTCCGAGCTGGTGTCAAGCTGTCCCTGCGCTCCGGCAAACCGAAGGCCGCATCTGCCAAACCCATCTCTCGAGCTCATCGCGTCTCCCCAAAGAGCCCAATGAAGCGCGCCCTTAGCAACGCAACAGATTCTGGAAACTCGATCCTCTCGTCTTCACCGCCCGCCACAGACCCATTGGAAGGGCAAGAAAACGATCTGTTTGGCAACCTTCCAATGACTCTGAGCCCCACCTCCCGCAAGAGCTCTGAGAAACACCACTCGCGCCACTCCATGCATCTTGACGTGTCTGGCGCGTCCAAAAATACCTTCCCGCGTCTGTTCGACTTCAAGACGGATCCAATACCCTCGAACTCAATCAGTCCGCTGAAGCGTAGCGATGCGGTCATGAATCCCGATCAGGCGCATATTGACAACCCAGTCGCGAAGCGCCGCAGTTTGCACGGCATCTCGAACTTTCCCACCGGGGCTTCTGACATATTCGACGTTTCTTCGCCTGCGCCTCAGTGCTTCGAGATCCACGAAGATCCAAGCAGAGAATATGAGCTGGGCCACGGGTCCTCGATTTTCCGCGACACCCAGGCCTCGCCAACACCGGCCGCGATGCCTCGCCGATCTGACTCATTGCGCAGATCGACGCTTCAGCAGAGGCAAGACGACAGGTCGTCATGGGGAAGACGCCAGGGCGAAAAGCATCTGGCTCAACTTGGAGCTGAAGCCTCGACTCCCATTGCTCGGAACAGACCTCGTGTGTCTCTAGATCAGTTCGTTCAACCAGCACTTCCCCGCGACAGTCCGTTTTCCACGCAGCCACCACTGCCCAACCCGTCACTGCATATGCTAGACCGACAAAATGCTCCGCCACAGCCTCATCCATTGTCGCGGTCGCTCACGACCTCGTCTTCGAGCTCGAGTATTGCAGACGAGTCTCCCACCCATATTCCCGTGCAATTCGAAAAGCCGAGAGCACATCCATTCGCAAAGTCACTGCCCGTGGGAGCGCGGCCTGCACACGACGGCGGCAACAGGAATACAGCGACGCCAGCTTACAAGTCAGCGAGGCCTCTTCAGGATGCCTTCAAGTCGACAGGCTTGATTTCGAAGGTTAACCGCAATCCAGAAAAGGAGCCTTCATTTAAAGCAATCATGCCTGATACCCCTTGCAAGAAGCCAATCTACCCTTCTAACACATACCCACCCTCGTCTGGCGGCGGCAAGGGACGACATCGTCATTCCTTTGGGTCGCCCTCCAGTCCATTTGCTCCTGGCCGCAAAGACAACTTCGTGCTCGGAGAGCCTGACAAGGTGGCCAGCTTGTTTAGGCCTCTCCAATCCGGCCACACTCGCAAGGGCAGCATCTTCAACTTCGATTCGGATATCGATCCTCAGAGCTTTGCTGATATTGAGTTCCCGCCCACGCCAACGAAATCGGTCTTGTTCAGGAGCCTTGGAAATTCCAGATCAGTCGGTGCAGTCGGTGAGACCCCTTTCGCGAGAACCATGCCGGCTCCCGTCTCCGCTGTTGGCTTCCGCGATCGCCGCCCAACTCCCGACCCAATGTGTAAGTCGATATCTTTCCAGGAGAGCGCGACGGCCAAGGGCAATGCGAATCAGACATCCTTCGGGGCAGCCAAAACCACTGCTGCTCTCGAAGGCGATCTGTCCTCGCCACTCTCAGAATCACTCCTCTCTCTCGGTGATTCTCGAGCTTGGCGAGGGTCCCATCTGACCCCCAAGCCGCTCAAGCTTCATTCTACTACCCCGACTCTATCCAGTCAAAAGAAAGTTGAGTTTGCTGAAACTGCCTACGTGATCACAGCAAGCCCATTGGGCCCTCTGGACAACTTGAGATCTAGTTCACCCAAAACCCCATGTGACAGCAGCAACATCATGCCTCCCGACCCCAGCTCTCTCTCTATCTCTAACCACGAGGCGCCGGGCAACACAACATTTGGATCATTTCCACCAGCAACACCGACCTCAAGGCAGGTTGACCATTTTGGTTTCGCAGACCGTCGCATGAGCATCACGCCTGTCAATGGCCATGGTCCGAGCGACGTTGACATGGTTCTCAACTCCCTCTTTGACCACGTTGAACTTATTGGTAAGGGCGAATTCTCTCAGGTTTTCAAGGCCACAGAGACAGGCGATCAAAAGACCGTGGCTTCCATAAGCGGCACTCCTGGCACGCCTCCAACACCATCGCAAGCCCGCGTGTTCGCTGTGAAGAAGACCCGACTTCCTTTCTTCGGCGCAAAGGATCGCGAGTCTAAGCTTCGGGAAGTCAACATACTAAAGGCCCTTCGTGGTCGCCCCCATGTACTGCAGTATGTCGACAGTTGGGAGAAGCAATTCCATCTTTACATCCAAACCGAGTATTGTGAGGAGGGTAGTCTTTCGGAGTTCCTGGGCAATGTCGGCTCTGCAGGTCGCCTGGACGACTTCAGAATCTGGAAGATCTTGGTCGAGGCTAGCATGGTAAGTACTTCAGAAGCCACTCAATTCTTTGTCATGCATGCCTCTAATGGAATAAACAGGGCCTGCAGAGCATCCACGAAGCTGGCTTCATTCACCTCGATTTCAAACCGGCAAACGTTCTGATCAATTACGAAGGCACTCTCAAGATTGGGGACTTTGGCTTGGCGACGACTTGGCCAGCGGCTCGAGGCATCGAAGGTGAAGGAGATCGGCGGTACATCGCCCCAGAGATTCTTCAGGGCAAGTACGACAAGCCCGCCGATGTATTCGCGCTTGGCTTGATCATGTTTGAGATCGCCAGCAATGTCTGGCTCCCTGACAACGGACCTCATTGGATTGCGTTGCGGGAGGGAAACTTTTCCGCTGTTCCCACCGGTCCTCTCACTGGGAGCGAAGCCGACGCCTTGGTCCGAGACGCGACGGGCATGCCCATCGTTGGGGACCTCGACGCCACGACCGGAGTATCCCCACTCCTTCCGGACGAGCACAGCGCCGGCGAGGCACGCTTTTATACAGACGACAGCCGGCATAACTTTCCCTTCAACTTCACAACCTCATCTACCCATGATGCCAGCAACTTGTTTGGTACTCCGAAGCGTGTCGAGCTCGAGCACCCTCCCCAGTTTATGGTCGACGCGGGAGATCATAACTCGCTCGACAACATTGTTCAATGGATGCTCGCCCCAGAGACAGCGGATCGGCCCACAATTCAACAGGTGCTCGATATAGAGTCTGTCAGATGGGTCACTACTCATCGCCGTGCCGGCGCTACTGTCTTCGAGGGCAACTGGGGTCCTCAGGATGACGACCAGGATGACAATCAAAGTGATACGGTGATGACGGATGCCTGAAAATACATCACCATTTGGGGAATACTCGCTTTCAAATGCCACATGTCGTGGAACTATTTTGATCGACCTATCTGGATAGGGCCCCCCTCGATGGGGCACAAACGATCTGGGCAGGGACGATTGGCCTTGTCCTTTGAATTATAGGCGTTCTGGCTGGATATCCACCATGCTGGGACTGGGAATCATTTGGCATGGCGCAGCTTGAAGGAATATCAGGAGCGCGGGAGTACAGCACGCGTTGCCACATCTTCGGTATTATCGACCGATTTATTTTACGACAATGAGATGACGAAATTTTGTCACGACCTTCCTTTCACCCAACTCGACGACCGAAACGTGCTTTCCCTTTGTTCTAAGCATTTGTCAAATTCGGTCGCTATTCGAATACAGTACTCGGTATCCTCGTCATATTGTACAGTTGGCACTGCTCGGTGCGTAGCAGTCTGCGTTGATCACGAGTGTTTGCGCCACAGCATCTCACGGATTTGGCGTACTCTCAAAAAGGTCTCAGGTTTCGGCATGGTTATTGGTTCCCTACGGTGCACAGATCTCATCATCTGGCCGAGTGGGCGTTACAGTCTGAGGTTGAAAGAGCATTATCATAGCATCGGGACCAGCGGCTATACGACTAAATCACTGCACTTGTATGGACTAGAAAACTCTCGGGCTTTCTTGCTATTGGAGGTCAAAGGCGCGTGTAGGACATGTACATAGTTATCTCAGCTGGCTCGCGGAGAAAGCCGCTGGAGTCAATAATCAAGATCTAGACAGCTCCATGATGGAGTTGACAGACACGAGATCGTTTTTCATGACTGTGAAATTATGTCGACCGGAGGACGCATTGATGCCCACGAGATGGGATGAAAGACTGTTGAATGTCCGTAAATTGTACCTACAAATATGTTCCTTGATCGGCTTTTAATTTGACTTATGCCATGATACTTCAGTGGCCTCTGTACTCGCCTCCGTAGCATCGAGTTTCCTCACCACTGCGTCAGGACCCGCCGAGCCATATCTTGAGTACGAAAGGCCTCACGGGGCCGTTATTGATGGGCTCTGGATCCTCTTTACAACAGGAAATCGCTGGGTGACCTTGCCTTGCGTGGCGAAGCGAGGCGTGCTGCTTTAAGCCAGCGACAGCGACAGCGAGCCAGCGCCAACGTCTTTTTTGGAACCTGCCAACCTTATTCCAAGACAATGGTCCTCACCATGGGAGACCACGCAAACATCCTAACTGCTGAGACAACATACGAGCAAGCAGCGGGCCGGTTTTCCAACGATGTGATGCATCGGCGCAGCAATTACAATCGGGCTCCGAGGTCGAGAGACGTTGTCCGCGCGATAACTCGTGCCGCCGTCAACAGAGTCCCAACCAATCTTTTTTTCAATCTGACTTTCAGCTGCTGGCAAGACGGTATCACCAAGTCCCACCCAGTTCGACAGACACAGATCAATGCCCTTAATCGGCATGACTGTCTCTTTCCCCTTTGGCACCAGGACGTCGACCTCACGTACACAGAGACCTGATACCTGGTAGTTCCAAGCCCGAGCCGTGTATGGGTATCTTCCGATAACAACCTAGGCAGCTCCGATGGCTAATCTTGCGCGCCCGTGCTAGAGTCTCTCTCTTTGTGTGCCGTCCTCGAAGTGCAAGTAACTCTCTGCGTAAGTATGACGGGACCCGCTCACCACTTACAACCACCCCACGTGAGCCGGACCACGTCCCATGCGCATACGATTGTGTCCCGGAAGGCACGGATTCGCCCCCCTCATCGCACGGCTCGGTAACGTGAAAGAAGCAACGCCTTAGCTCGCCCGCGTGCGCGGTCAAACCCAGCCACATGGGAGGAGGGAAGCAGGCGCGGCGGCTAGGTAGCCCGTGCTTTGCGGATGGACAACGCACCACGGGTAACACAAGGCAATTAGGCTGCCTACCTCGCTGGGTCGCAGCAGCAGCGCGGGCTGTAGGACGTGGGCGTGGAGAAAGAACGATTGGTATCCACTCGGACACGGGGATCCTTCAGGATCCCCGGGGAGGGGAGAGATGGGGGCTTTTTGTGCGACAAACTGGGGTGCGATGAGGGTTTCTTGAAGACTGAAAGTATATAAAGACAAAATACGTGTGTGCATCTCTCCAGCGGGTGATACAGAGCCCAGCCTCCAGCTCTGACGAGAGATGATATTGTTCGGTGTGATGAATTACACAACCCGGGCTGACCGAATAAGCCTACCAAGCTACGGCTGGAAAGCAGCAGTATGCATCATTGCAGTCATTCGCGGACAAACCGCCGGTTCTCGCCAGTCAATCGGCCGTTTGCCACGCACAGGACCGGCAAATGTCGCCAGTAGCCATCGCAGTCTCACCTTGCTCAGAGATACGCAGTGTTGCAGCCGTCAGGAGCGCAAAAAAAGGGGCCGCAAGGTGGCTGGGTGGCCGGTTCACACAATCGGACACATCCAGGCCGAATGTGACGTTGAATGACCGGTTCACTTGGTCTCTCCGCGACGTCTCCAAAGAACGGATGCCGTTGTCCCGTGCGGCTTACCCGACATCTCATCTGAGACGGGAACAGTAGCGGGCGTAGAAGTTGTTGCACAATCTAAGGTCCTTTTGATGCTGATGTTGACCGTTGATGCTGAATGCTGTTTTCCGAGTAGATGCGAGGCTCAGGCGACAGCAGATACATTTCCCGTCTGGGTGGCAATCTCCCCTGTATGCACTGGCTGATAGCCTCGGAAGAAAGCTGCAGTAGCGCCAAGGTGCTAGCGACCGAAGCGGGTGTGGGTCCCGGGACTTATAAGACAAAGTCAGTGACAAGGCTGACGATCCTACCGTCAGCAAGTTTACGGATTTTCCAGGCTGCGTCCGGTGATCTGCAACGAGGGTGGAATCCGTTCTCGCTTGCTGAGTGCGTGCCATTATATTCACTGAAAGACAGGTTTAGAGTATAGTGCTCAGAATGCTCAGCAAGTTTCCGCTGGATTCTTGGTGGCACGTAGCCAATCGGTGTCAAGGTACGGCCTTGTGTTCCGGTAAAGTTGCTATATGCCGAAGAAATATAGGTTGTTCGCCCGCGATCCAGCATCGAGAGCTTGTCGCAAGTAAACGGTAGTCCGAGGTCGCAGCTGGAACCAGATTTTGATGTTTAGGTCCATTTAAGGTTCATGTTCATTGCCCATTTGTCAAACCTAAAGGAAAGTGGCTTTCCAGTCTGTTGGGTTCGGTTTCCTCCCGACTGCTGTACTGCATATAGTAGAGTCAGGCGCAAGAAAGCCGAGCCACGCGAGTGGCTGCAGCACTCTGATAAGATTTGCTGTGAAAGGTGGTCAGTCCTTCACGTTTTCCTGAGACACTTGCAACACGGAAAATGAAGCAAATCGAATCTGGCGTCTTGCCCCCTAGGAGCGACCGCAGCTGTCCATGTGTACCCAAGTCTGAGTTGGTCCTTGCAATGAAAGACTCGAGACCGGTGTGCGTCGGTCAAGCTCAGTGCGTCGGTTCAAGCGAGGTTGTGCCCGTGGCCCTGTCATTTAGCGACCCGTCCTTGGCCATGACTCTCAGAAACAGTAAAGGTCGGCCACGACATTGGGAGTGCAGATCGCCAAGGGTACTGTTCGAGGGGACGTGCGACGTTGCGTCGACCTGTCCGAAGCTCATCCAGCGATACGGCGAGGTCAAGTAAGTGCTTTGACCACCCACCGGCCCATTCATCCCGTCATGAATGATGACTCGCAGCGACTATCACCCACAAAAGTTGTATTCACATGCCAAGCCTGTTAAGGTGTTTCCCAGGGGCAAATGCAGCTCATGACTGGCGCCCGCGAGGCAATAGAGTAGCCGCCTACCGTGGATTGCTGGAGAACCCATCGCACGAGCCTTCGAGGGCGAGGGCGGTCCTAATCAGGTGACGCGCAGCGTCTGTGCAAATAGCTGATTTGGGGATCGGGATTGCACAGGCGATAGATCTCTTGGGAGGCCCTGCGGCAGAAGATCCGAAGATCCCCAACATCAGACTCGTCAATGCGTGCCGTCCTCGCTCGCCGGGAGGGTGTTTCCGCAGGGTAGGAGATTGGAATGAAACTTGGGCTGCAAATAGTATCGAGGCGAGGAGGAGAAATCACTGTCGTTGTTATTGGTGTCTGGTGGAGAGCCGAGAGCTCCCTCCCGTTCCCCCCAAACGACAAGCGCGGCTGAGAGTTACACTAGGTGTGCGCGTGCTTTGGAATTATTGAGGAGCTATTCGTATCGCGCCGGTACCTTGCAGCAGGCGCGGCGTTGAATCTCACAGCCGGAACGAAACCAACGGGGCCCGCTGGCCGCTAGATATGCAGGCTTCTGGTACCGACCGTGGCAATGGCGGCAGGCCCCCTATTCCAAATCCAGAACGCTTCCCGGATGCAATGCGGGTGGGAGCTTGATTTGTAGTAGGTAGGTCTATTCTGTGAACTGAGGCATGCTCCGCGACGAGTTGTTGGAGGATAACGAGGTCGGCGATGAGATGCACGCATCTCCCACGTCTCGTTGCCTCTCCCTTCGCGTCTCGTCGCGTCGTCTTGCACGGCTCGATCGATGGCGGGTAGGGCAGCAATTTCGAAATTCGGGGTGCTTTCAACACCCACACAGGTTACGAATGGCCTGCCCAGAAACCATTAGCCCCAGGTGGAGTGATGCTGCCGATGTGTGGGTGCCCAGGAGCTGTTTTGGGTCAAGCGGTCCACTACTGTAGCATGTCTCAGTTCGCGATGGGTCCGGCCCACAGCCGTCAACAGGGGAGGCCCCTGGCCAGGCTGGGGGAATTCCCCTTTTCTTGGGTGCAGAAACGAGGTCTGAAGTCTTGAAATCCACAGGGGAGGCGTGTGCTAGTCACGGTGGAAAGTGTGGTTAACGTTGGCAGCGTGGTGTTAGTTTGGTTGATTTGGCGGAACTGAACCAGACGGAACGAGGCCGGGGCCCTCTGAATCTGGAGGTGCGTGCCTAGACTATGAGTCTAGATACTGTCATGTAGTCAGTCTGCTTCCTTTTTGCCGCATGGCTTCTTTCCCCCCCTGGCTGAGGATGCTTTGCATTGCCCTGCTGCAGGCCGAGCCGAGCTGGTGATGAAGAACCCAGGTGCAGGACCAGGGGCAGGCGCAGGCGCAGGCGCAGCTGCAGGTGCTGATGCAGGTCAGGTGATGAGCGAATGCCGAACATGGTGAAGATGATGAGGACGGATGGATAGAAGGGGAGTCAAGTTGCAGCGTTGCATTGGGAGGGGAGAGGCAAGATTGAAAGGAGATGCGGAGGATTGGACCGGCCCACAGGCCCACTCGCGTGCTGGTGGGCATGACATTGCACAGGCCCCACAGCACTCTCAGGACCCTCTGCTATGTTCATAGTAGATTGCTAGATGGGGTATCAGAGCGAAAGCAGTGCAGTTCCCTCTCCCAATTGAGGTCCAAGTCCAGGCCCTGGGGCCAGTGCCAGTCAGTGCCATCATGATCTAGTAGTCTACTTGGTAAACAGAACAGACATCAATCCATCCCATCCAATTCCCATCCCATCTGCCCAGGCTGCCCGAGTGGGGTGCGAGATGGTCTCCGTCGTCTCTGATCAATACCCTGGCTTGCTCCGACTCCTGCTTCTGCTTCTTGCTCCACCTACATGCAGTCAGTCGTTCCGTCAGTCAGTCAGTCAAGCAGTTATGTCCGTCAGCCTGGTTCCGTTTCAATCCTGACCACCACAAATCACGACTTTCTTCCTGCAACAGACCTGAGAAAAACGGCGAAGTCGAAGGCGAAGGTGAAGGCGTATACCTGATCGTCAGATTTCTTTCTCACTTCCTTTCGTTCGCCCGATCGCTGTACCTGTGCCTTTATGCTTCTTGCGGCACGTCACACCTCCATCCAACCTTGACGGCCGCCCTCAACTTTCCTTTCACCTTACCTTTCTATTCAACATCCATCCCATATCTACAACGACTTTGGAGCCGCTTGGCCTCGCCTCCTTGAACTCTATATCTCCTAGCAACAACTCGGGCAGTTAAGCTCAAGCTTTTGTTCGGGGGCCAAACGATACCGGGCTCTCTCTCTTGTACAGGTAAGCCTACAGTGCTTGGATTCTTTGTCCCATCTGATGTCTGCCATGCCGCGATGCCTCATCCTTAATGTACACACACATAAACACACCCCCAGAAGTCACTGTTACACGCGAGGCCACCTGGTGGGAATCTCTGGGAACAGGGTCGCTCTCGGAGTCGGGACATTGTTCTAGGCCTTCAAGTCGGTTTTGAGCCCAGATGTGAGACTCGAAGTGGCTTGCATGCTGGTTCCGTGGGCAACGAGACAGCTCAACTTCAGCCGTCAAACAGAGCACGTCACGTAACATCAAGTCGAGGCCCGGTTCAGAGTCAGAGTCGAGACTGGAACGACTGGAACCACTGCACACTGCACTGGGCTGGGCTGAACCTTGCGCGCTGGCAGCCAAAGGGCAATTGAGCCGATCACTCACTGTCCCCGGGCACCGAGCAGGAGGTAGCAAAAGAGCAGCAAGCAGCAAGCAGCAAGCAGCAAGCCCATACAGGCAAGATACATCCAACAAGAGACACGACACACCGACTGTGCGCCGTTCCTGAACGGCATCCTGCTTGCGACGGAAGAAAACCAACCACTGCAACCGTCCTTGGGCCTCGATTCTGATTCGTCACTGCCACCACATGGTCACTCACTCACCTTGATCCCTCCGTCCTGCCCGCTCCTGCAGATGCACCTCTGCACCTACTGTCCCCGTCTGCGCCTCTGGTCAGCGTCCATTCCTCCATCCTCCGCCACCACCCCACCCCTCCTCTATCATAAGCACGCACATACAAACTGTACTGTGCTCCCACAGAGAGATCCCGCCCCCATCTGTTCCTAATTATGGAATGGCAACTTGCTCCTCTGCCGTCATATCAATTCAATTCTACCCCGTCGGGCGCAGCGCACAGCCGGTCCAGCTTCTCTTGAAGACGCAAGCACCAACAGCACAACCAGCACAACCAGCACAGAGGCGTCTGCAGTGCAACCCTTCTCTGCATGAAGACCAGGACCACCCCAAATCCCAGTTTCGCTGCTGATCACACACAAGCCCGGATTCTCGCAGTCCAGCCCTTCCCTGCTTCTTTTTGTTTCAGTCCACCGGCTCACCACGCACCAGACTAATAATCCCCCAAGCAGCTTGCCGTGAGCCCGTCGCGCAATTCTTTCTACACCCACATTGCGCCGACCACCTTAACCGGTCACCCTCCACCTACGACCGCCCCTTCATCGCCCCAGCTGCCTGACCCGACACCTACCGCTCTATCCATCCATTGGCCACCCAGTCATTATCCGTTTGCATTGTTCGCCATCCTTGGCGGCCCCGCGACTACGGTGCGCTGCCGAGCCGTCAAATCCAGCCTTGTGGGACGTTAAACGGGTTGTTAATGGTCAGCCCCATACCTTTACTCGAGCATGCCCTCCGCGCCCATACTTTAGCAATAAGATCCGATATGGCGTCCCTATCTGAGACTGGCATGTCTCGATCCTCGCCCGAGATGACCACTTCCTTTCAGAGACCTGGCTCCTCCAGGTCAAGAACCCAGAGTATATCGAGCGACAGGCCCTCGACCGCAGGCATGAGCGTCATGTCGCCTCCCCTTTCCGCGTCGCCAGAGGCTGCCTTCATCGCCGCCTCCGCGGCTTCTCAGATCGTCACCAACGACCACGACAGCCACGCTGATACGTGGTACGACCAGCATGGCTTTCAACCCTCCGGAGAGACCGTGCTGGTCTCCCTCGCCGCCTTGCGCCTAGTGAATGGCTTCCTCGACCACCTCCTCTTCAACTTCCTCTCCAGGTCTGGCTCCACAACCTTGGCAGCCCTCCGACCCGCCGTCACCGAAGTTCTCAAGCCGAAATTGGCCAAGGATGCCATCAACAACGCAGATGAAGAGTTGCGCGAGTACCTGGGCGGTGGCGACGACGACGAGTTCCTGCAATCCCAACCCTCGCCCTCGCCCAGAGACTGGGACCTGGAGCTCGTCTGGAAACGGACCAGGTTGAGGTGCATGGTATATTCGTCTCTGGGCGATATGGAAGAGGAGGATGAAGACCACCATATGGAAGAAGGCCTGCTCAGTGACGACGACGAGAACCTCACTGGGGCCGTTTCCCCAGCAGTCGCCATCTTCCTAACTTCGATCCTCGAATTCTTGGGCGAGCAAGCACTGATCTCAGCTGGGCAGGCGGCCTGGCATCGAATGCGTGTCAAGTACGAGAAGGACCAGAACGAGGGCATCAAAGGCCGCTCGGATGTCGTTGATAGGATCGTCGTTGAAGAAGTCGACATGGAAAGGGTAGCCTTGGACCGAACGCTTGGCAGATTGTGGAGGGCCTGGAAGAAACGGATACGGTACCCCATGTACAGTCCCACCGACATGTCGCAGCAGTCCTTGTCTCGAGAGAGGCTGCTTCACTTCCGACAGAGCAGTATATCTGCCGAAAGTACTGTGCCTCCCGCTGTTCAAGAGTCCGCGCCCGAGTCTCCAGTTGATGAAGATCCGGAGTCGTTGGCAGACAAGGCCGCCACAGAGCAGGATGACGTGCAGGCTGCAGCAGTCCCGCTCCCTATGAGTGAGAGAGACATAGACGAAATCGAGGTACCTGGGCTCGTCCACTACAGCGACGACGAATCCGAGGAAGACGAGCCCGAGGAGCTGGACATCGGTACGCGCCCAAAGAGCATGATGATTCTTTCTCTCACAGCAAAGGCCGAGCTTCCAACACCTACAACATCCGAACCACGCACTCCGACAAGAGCAACGAGAAAGCGCGCAAATTCACTGCCAACACCGACATCATCTACCACTACCTCGCCTGAGCAGCGCAAAAAGGCTACGGCCGTGGTAAACGATTCCACCTTGGCATCAGAAACCTTGGGTCAGGTTAAGACGAGCGAACCACAACCCGAGCAAATCGACGACGACATCAACGATGACACCTCCGTCCCAGAAGGACTCGATATTCACAATGCACAAGCTGTCCTCGACAACCACACTGACGATTCTGAGGTTACCCCGATTGACGAAGAGAGCGCAGCGCATCAGTCTACAGGACTCATTCCCAAAATTGTTGCTGGTGGTATCGGAGCGGCCGCTGCCGGGGCTGGAGTAGTAGCCACACTTGCGGGTCTCAAGAACCCAGCAGCGCCGAAGGATGATGCAGACGAATCGGACTTTGAGGTTGAGGAGGCCCAAATCCTCACATCGTCGAGAATTTCGATTGGAACCAACATCTCGGGTCGGAGTAATTCGCCTGCAAATTCTGACAGAAGCAGTCGACCACCTCTGACTGTTCAAACTCTCCCAGTCAGGTCAGGATCTCTGAGACTGGTGAATGTTGCGAGTCCACGAACGCCCTCGGTCAGGTCCCAGATGAGCTCGGCCCAGGAGCAAAGCAACAGCTCTTACTCGCGCTCTGGAGATGTGTCGAGAGCCAGCAGCATCCACACTCAGCCCAACTTGGAGGAGTCACGCGCCGCAGAAGAAAACCGTAGCGCTCAAGTTCCTATCACGAGCTCAACAGGCATGTCACGCTCCAGCGTTGGCCAGTCAATATCTGAGGCCGAGGAGAGTACGGTACCCGCTGCGCGCAAGCCTTCGCCAACCTTCGGGCCCGCTGCCGTAGTAGCCTCCAGGAAGGAGACAGCAACCGTCCCCAAGACAATCAAACCGCAGTCTACTGTCAGCGAAGAGCACTCGGCACAGCAGAAGCAGGCTCACCCGCATGGGACGCAGCCCCTCTTTGGTTCCAGTAGGCGTCAGACGCCGCATGCTTCGCATACACCCCCATCCGCGAGCCCTGACCAGTCGCAGCAGCAGGAGCAGGCCTTCGAACAGCAAAAATCAGCTGTCCTGAGCACACCTCCTGATTCTGGTACATTCTTCGAAGATGATGTGGCGGCACCCTTACCACCGAGGCACCCGAGGCGGTCTCCCAGATCATTTGGCCAGCAAGCCAACAGCCCGGCGAGCACCCCGATTCCGGAGGAGAGCGTTAGTACCAACCAACATCGTCACAAGCACTCGCAGGGTGGTGCATACCAGCAGACCACCATCGGTGTCGTCTCGGTGGACCGTCCTGATTTGCAACGCGAGTATGGAGATGCGTCCCGTCCCTCACAAGACCAGAGCACCATCCGGCAACTTCATACCTCCGGGTCTTCGTCTACATCTTCCCACAAGGTAAGAGCCGCGCGAGGCTCTCAGGACAGCACAGCCACTCGACCAGAGGACGTGGCGCGAAACTTCGAGGAGCTCATTCACAGCAATGAGACCATCCAATACACGTTGACCCCGGAAAACATGCGTGAAATAGAGGTACAGTGCCCGAATATCATGGGGCTTTCCAGTATACATGCTAATGCGCTGCAGGGTTCGCCGAGGACTATCCAATCCGGCGTGTCTGGCAAGGGCAGAAGGAGTGAGGACGCTCGCCAGACAAACAGGGACAGAGCTGCTTCGGCTGCTACGAACAAATCAGGTGAGGTGAAGAGATCGGGATCGGTCACCCGCTTGTCGCCATTGGCTTCGCACCCTATCGATCTGCCCGAGGGCGAGACAGCTGCCGGGTCTTCCGCAAGAGCTCCACCTGTCTCAATGGCAAACAGAGCTCGAGGGGCTGCACCTCAAGCTAGAGATGCCAGGGTACCTCGAGAGTCACTGATCGAGTTCGCCGAGTTCATACGCGCCACCGGTCCCTCTGGTGCTTCTGGTGCTGATCCTGGCCCGACATCACTCAAACGGAATCAAAGCGTCATGAACAACAGGACGACCCCTCGCCAAAAACCTAGCTCCAATATGAGCCTCGATTATGGACGTCCTTCAATGGGCGGTAGTGTCAGTAGGGCTCGTCTGCAGGCTAGGGGCGCTACAGTCGACAACGACAGCGACAATTCCGACCTGATTGATTTCATCCGTCGTGGGCCACCCAGCTCTGGTGGCAATCCGCGCATCCCTCGGACCGTCGCACCTTTCCGAACGACCATGGATTCGGACTTGTTGAAGTCGGCTGTTGGGGGCAAGGCGACGGATGCCAGTCTGCCTGATATGCACGACACGCGCTACAGCCAAGCCTCGACAAATGTGACAGAGATGTCCGCGCCGTCTGTTCAGTCGTCTATCAATTCTCAGAGTGCTCTTCTCGGAAGGAAGCAGCCGCCCGGACAAACCGGCAACACATTCGATGAACCAGATATGATGCCGCAGCGCAAGCAACGCCGGGTGCGCGATCCTTACGCTATTGACCTCAGCGACGAGGAGGAAGAGGACGATGAATTCGAACCTCAGCCGAGGAGAAAAGCACAGCAGCCGAAAGAGGAGAGCTTGTTAGACTTCTTGAACAGTGCACCGCCTCCGCCCGAGACGACACCAGTTCCTTTCAATCTTCCGCGGACACAAACTGTGCCTGCGCAGCCAACGCAGGCACCCAAGAAAAAGGCGAGTGCGCCCAGTCTCATGTCAAGATTCCGACAAAACAGCAGCGCCACAGCTGCTGCTGGAAACTCGAACGGGATGAAGAGTCCCACGAAGTCGCAGAAAATGTGGGATTCGCGATCCCAAAAGAGCAACGCGGCGCCAGCAAGCAAGGGCTACATCCCTATCCAAGTCAACATTCCCACCGGCGGTGACCTGTTCCCGACCTACGGCTCAACTAGCGCAGCCCCAGCTGTGCCCAGCGTGCCGTCCAGCATGTCCTCCTCCCGACCAAGTGGCCGAGTGCCAATGAAGAGATTCGAGCCCCGCGATGCAGTCTCCGTGCCATCGCGTGGCACGTCTGACCTGGCCGACTTCCTCCGAAGCTCTGGGCCGCCACCGTCGATGAACCCCACTCCTTACACTGCTGAGCAACCCGAGAGTAACGGCGGATCTAGATTGTTTGGCCGTAGAAAGAAGTCAATGGGTTTCGCCTAAGATGTTGTTGCATCGTCTGCTTGTTGAACGCATCCGACGAGATGCTAGGCGTTGAGACTCAATCGCTATGCAAATATTTGGCAATTACCACAAAAATGTTCGTCACACACAGAAACCCAAGCATGGCTTTTGAATTCTGTACATACGGAGTATATCGGCGGGAGACAGAACTCGCCTTCCCCCTCCTGCACATTTACTTTTCACCTCACTCCTTGAGCGGTCCGGCCTCTTTGAGCATTTTACCCTTGATACCACTTTGTAGGACAGGTTGTTTTTCACATTTTCCAAAAAAAGAGACGTTATTGTGGCCTTGTTATCCATCCGATGGGGACAAAGAGTCTTGTTTTCTGGGTCGGGTTGGTTTGATTTATCAGAGGCTTTACGCCTGCGAGCTGAACTCGCTAGATATTGAACAGGGGGGGTCTGCGGAGCATTGGCTTACTGTCTACGGCTCTCAAACTTCGTTGGATCGTGCGTAGCACATGCTGTTTTGTATATGTATTTGGATTTGGCAATATGAAGTGTTGCAGGAAGTGCAAGCATCCTATCTATCGTGTTGAAATTGTATCGTGAACATCATCCATGACCTTGGCTTGGCCCCAGGCAGCATCCCTAAAGCTTCTCTCCCTCAGCATTGAAAGTGTACGAGCAACCAGTCGAATTGACAATTCCATACATAGCCGTATCCTGAAATTCGTTGTGGCGTGTCTACACTTCGGATTGAACCTCAAGTCTGCATATGACTTGATCAAGTGGGCTTTAGACCCTTCATATGTGATGACCTGTCCTGAGACTATTCAGCCCCTGTGCAATATATCTTAAGGATCGATGCTGTGTTCCGTGACAGCAGAAAACGCGCGTTCAGCGTTGTCGTGATGACTTTCTCCGACGACATTGGCGGTGAGCCTTCCCGCCCCGCAATTTCCGCCCGAGCACCCCGGCGCAGACGGGAAGCCTCTGACACATTTCAACAAGTGTCGATATAGAGACAACGCCCCCAAAACCTCGATCCATCTCAAACCCACGCTCTATATCGACATTGACCGTTCTGATTTTACTTGGAGGGGAGAGTCTCACCGCGTTCCGGACCTATATATCAGAGACAGGAAAACCAAAAGAGATGGTACATCCAGCCGCCAGCCCCTTCTCACAGATGAACGAGCGAAGACTCCTCTGCTGACTCCCGGGCCACACGCCCCTGCAGGTCCACGCCGACGCCTCGACCTTTGCCAAGGGCGTCTCGAAGGAGGAGGCCCTGCAGCAGGTGCTCGACCAGGCCGCGGCGCTGTTCGATGGCCAGAGAAACTGGGTATGTCTGCTCTCCCAGCCCACTCCAGCGTTGTACCGCCCTGTGTGGACGTACGGTTGATATAGGGCGTGTATGTGGCTTTTTTTGGATGAGATTCTGATGGTTCTTTTGTCTATTTAACAGGTTGCGTAAGTTTTGGATGGGCCACAGTGAGCATGTGCGACTCACTCCCCCCCCTCCCCGGAAGCTGTCTTGGCCGCGAGAAGGGGCAGGAGACGGTAAGACGGAGGGAGGGAGGGAGACATATTTATGTGGATGAGGGAGAGTTGTTGACCCGGATTCTTCTTACGCGCACACAGAAACCTGGCAAACACGGCGTCGTTGCTGTGGCACGCCTACAAGAGTCTCCCTTCTCCGAGCAAGGACGTGAACTGGGCTGGTATGTTTGGCCTTTGGCATCTGCTCCCCTACTCCTTCTTCATCACATATGGCTCGATAGCTCCAGAACAATCCCTTCGCCCCAGAGCATCGGGCAGAGGCGCTCAGCCATACCATGCCTAGGACCTGAGGCGGACAGACACCTTTAGAGATTATCCCATCTAACAGCTTCCCCCCCCCCTCCCAACAGGGTTCTACGTCCTCGACCCGTCCTCGCACGGCAACCGCCTCATCCTGGGCCCGTTCATGGGCCAGGTGGCATGCCAAACGATCGACTTCGGCCGCGGCGTGTGCGGCACGGCGGCGTCGACGAGGCAAACGCAGCTCGTCCCGGACGTCGACGCCTTCCCGGGCCACATCGCGTGTGACGGGGCATCCAAGAGCGAGATCGTCGTCCCGGTCACGGTGGAGGTGGTCAGCCCCGAGGAGGGAGGGCACGTGGAGAAGAAGGTGGTTGGGATCAGTGAGTTGCCTTCTCTTCTTTGCCGTTAGGAGCAGGTCCCCTGGTTTGGCCTCTTTGAGCTGGGCTGGGAGTGAAGTGCTCAGTGTGAACGGGAGGGCCGCGATGGGCTGGTGATGAGATCACGGTGTCACGGCGTGCTCAGAGCACGAGAAGCATGAGCAGTGATTTCTGTCAGTCCCAAGCTCGTCTCAAAGTTACATCTGGGGCGAGCAGCCTATCGAGACGCTGAGATCCACAAGGCGGCCGGAAAGGGACGGCGTACAACTACGGAACAGACTTGCTAACTCGTATATCTAAGTCGACATCGACTGCGCCGAGAAGAATGGGTTCAATGAGACGGACAAGAAGTATTTGGAGGAGTTGGCTGCTCTATTGGGCAGGGCGTGTGACTGGTGAGAGCTCCGAGGGCCTTGCCAATAACATTCGCTCAAGCTGGACCCGAGAGTGTCCATGGGTGGACTCTTGCGAGGTCCTTGGTGAGATCATGGACAGCAAGTGGTCACGCACAGTGCCGCGAGGCCTTACTACGTCGCAGCACTGGCGACGTAGGCTGGACGCGTGGGGGTCAGACTGGCTACGATGGCACAATGTTCATCGAGACAGATGAGCTGCTGGCACCAGCACTGCAATGCTACTGTCATCTATCCCACACTGTCGACTCTCTGTCTCTGACCTCTCTCAAGCTGCCGATGGCTCCCTCGGTACAAATGAGGCAAGTCAGTAATATCAATTGTCCCCATTCATGTAGCTAGTAGATGGCTTCACGCGATGGCTTCACACGATACATCGTCACTAGCATCTCGTCTCACCGCCTGCCCCTATACTTGGCCCAGTATCCACATGGCATAGGTCACTATTGATTTTGCGCATTACCACCGTGAACGGCGGCATGGAAGAAACAATGCCGACGAGCTCATGACATACTTATGAAGATCGCAATTATAACAAGCCTCGTTTGACATATTACGCAACGTCTCGGCCACGGCAATATCAAATCACACAAACTCGGACCGGCTCATATACTGCCGTCCACCAACCCCGTCAGACAAGCCTATATAAGCTGTCATAAGAAACCCCCCTCCCCTTCATCCGACGCTTCATTCCCGGAAACGCCATGGCCACCGCGCCAGGCCCCCCAATGCTGCGCTTTGGTCCAGGCCCAAGTGTGATCGGCCCGGACACGACGACCGCTTCCGGGGGTCAGGGGGTGGGGGTTTGCCATCACGAACAACTCTAAACCGCATGTGCTTTCCCATTTTGGGCTCAACGGGTGCGTTTCGCCACGCCTGTCACGGTTGCTGCCAGAATGTGTGATAATGCACGTCACAGCTTCGTGACATTTTCCACTGCTGCCTCAGTGCCGGGAGGAAGCGCTGATGTCTCCTTCTTCAGACGGAGTAGCCTGTGACTCTAGCCTCATGATTTCGCACACTGTGAAGCAAAACTGCTGTCTGTTCGAGGGGCCTTAGCTACAGGGAGCGGGCACGCGGACCGGTACCCGCATGTTATAGTGGGAGCGAGGTATCGTGAGTAGGTGAGTACTTTTAACAACTTCTGGGCACACAAGCTGCCTTGAGACAAGGCCTTTTCTCATCTCATCTTCAAAATGTGGCAGCACCACGAGTCGGGACTTTTATTCACAGCGATAATGACGGTGACGTGGTGCATCAGGGGCTTGCAGGCGGATGGTCTGGAAACGCCGCGTGCTTTCCCACCCCCAAGAGCCCGTACACTGTCCGCCTCCTTCTGAACCTCGCATGAGTGTCTGCAGGACGACAGCTAGACTGCTGTGAGGTGTCCCGGCGGCTGCACGAGGGCCATAAGCTTACGGCAGAGGCGCAGGAAGGCGAACAAGGCACGACGCTCACTGGGCCGCGCATCGCAAGAGGGTGCAGATGTGTCCCTTCCCATGGCCAAAAGCAGCAGAATGAGGTGGTGACACGGGCACGGCCCAAAGGTGCGTGCATGTACATGACAGGACATCTAACTTTGGGTTCCCAATCAAATGCCTGCGATCGTCTTCGCATGCAAGATGGGATCGAAGGGGGTTGCAGGCTGGGTTGGGTTGGGAGGCAGAGAAAAAGGAAAATGCAGAGGTGGACGCACCCACCTGCCTACATCGATACAATCAATAATACATGCATGTGTAGTCTACATACTACATACTGCGTACCACGTACATACGTAAGCCGCATCACGCATGGGCCTGGGTCACCAGGTTGAGACGATGCTGGGCAAACAGACCGGAAACATCGATCACCATCGGGTGGCCGGCTTTCAAATGCCTATCTTGCATGTGCCGTCCACACGATCCTGTCTCAGCGTCTGGCCTCTAGGGACTTTGATGTAGCTGATTGGGTTCGCGGATAGATTGGCTTTGGGGTTGTCCATGGGCGGGAGCGGGATGAGGTCGCACAGAGCCAGTGTTCCTGTCTGTGAGCTGCTGTCTATCCTTCTCTTTCGTTCGTGGTCCCCTTCGTCAGCACGCGAGACCGAAGTGTCCCCCTTCCCTCAGTGCGTGATGTTTCTCACTGTCTAGCAAGACTGTACTCTGTATGTCTCTGGGCCCTGTGCGGCCCCATTCTCGTGTCTCCCGGCGGTGGACGCACCGAGGATGCAAGATGAAAGACGATCGGGTGCCACTGCGAAGCTAAGGGATGACGGGTGGAAAGGCTCCTGATCCTCCTTCTAGGCCTCTCTGTGGGCCGCCAGCTTCCCACCGCTACTGCTCGTGTCAGACCTTGGTGAGATTGTGCGAGTCCCAGTCCGGTCTTGGTGAGCAGGGACTGGATTGGATCTCTAGATCCGTGGCACCGTATGATGGGCTCATGCGTTCAGACACAGACACACACACACTCTCTCTCTCATTCTTACACACTGCGAGATCATCCACAGCTCCGTCGGTCCCGAGCCTCAAATCCTTCTAGAAAGGTGTCGAGCGCCGAAGGAGGTGCGGAATGCGTCCCCTCGTTTATGTAGCACAAGAGAGATATACTTGTCTCACAGACGTGAAAGGGTTGTTCACTCATTCGTCCCCAGCGTCAGCTATTGAGAGCACCTGCGACTCTCGTGCCACTCGCAACCTCTTTCGCCTCTCTGTTCTTTCGTCTAATCCTCCTCCAGCCCCCTGAAACGAGGCCTTTTCTCCGTCGACACAACTACCGAAGTCACCAGGCCTCGATGGGCCAGAGAAGGATTGTCGTCAATAGTCTTGTATAGCACGTGGGTGTTATTGACTGACGGTCAAATACTACCACAAACGGAAGTGAAGTCGACAGGGGATGGATGTCCAACGTTAGTCCGTGTGCCTGTCTGTCCGTGTATGTGTGTATGTACAGTACATGCTCCAGGATCCCGTACCGTGCGAGAAACACAAAACATCCGACGACGTCTGTCAGGCGAGGCCAGCAGAGGGGTCTTCCCTGCTTGTCTCGCGGCTAGATCCTTCTCAGTGGCCCGTCGATCGTACCTCAGCGCCGGGCTTCACCTCCTTGTTCGGGTGTCGATCTCCGGCCGTGTTAGGGGGGGTCCTCCCTCGCGCGTGGCTCTTTCCGAGGGGAGATCGTTGAGCCTACCTTGGTACACTAGGCTGCGGCTGACATGATGTCTAAACTTTGTTTGTGGTGTTGTTCTGGTGGTCAAGCGGGCAAGCTTGGGGCGCTTCAGCGTGCCAATCCATAGTTTACCCGGGCACGCACGCTATTTTAGCCCAGCAACGGCTTCGTGGTGTGCAAAGACGGGTCGCTTTATTAGACTGGCTGACAGGCCTTGGCAACAATCCCGATACCAGAATCTTGGGAGGGAAGCTCAGCACGCAGAAACCGGTGTGAGATCTGGGTCAGAGATAGAGTTCCATAGCTCCCGGCGGAGGACCGTGGTTGGAGGCTCGGACTTAGGCATTTCAGCCGACGCATGATTGTTCATCGACAGGCCATTCCTCCAGATTCCTCCGAGATGAGATGAGATGCGATGCGATGAGATGAGATGGATGGAACTGGATATCGTGAGATCCCAGATCCGAAGCTATGTATCGGACAGGATACATCGACGATACATGTTACCTGCCTGGGAGTAGTCAGCATTACTGCAGATACAGTAGCCAGCTGTCCCGGTGCGAGTGGGCCAAAGCAGATACCCCGGGAGATCTTCTTCCTGCTGGAAGTCCTCCGCCATGCTTATACAGTTATATTAATCTCTATATGTGGCTGAAGTGATGGTGTCGTCGATCGGCTGTTTGGGAAGCATGGAAGGGAGTCTTATCCCTTCTTGTTTGGGCATGTGCCCCGTGAAGGGGACAGGAACGCCATCTCTTTCCCGAGGACAAGACAGACTTGTTTGCATGTATAAGCCAAGGTTCTGGGTTCTTCTGTGTGTGGTACGTCTCCCTGCAGCGAGCACCGTGTCGAAACGCCCGTCCAATGGGGCCTCCAAGATGGAAGCTGACAGGGTGGAAGGGCTGGCTGTCAAGATCTGTTGGCTTTTTCGACACTTTGGCCAGGCACGATGTCACTCGGCCGCGGCGGAGAGAGCGTGGCGCCGGTGTTTCTAGAAGCGAGTGCGAATAATGAGGTCTCCTGCGCGGGTGGGGAGCTGTGAGCAAGGCCTTCCCAGCCGGTCTGGCTGCCGTGTAGGCATATGCCTACCGGCTGTTAAAGTTACGCCCGACGCCCAGCCAAGGCATCAGCAGATCTCAGCCACTTCGTCAAGCTTCTGGAAGGCAGCGCCCAATGGCGATGGCGAGGCCGGATCGTGGAAAGACTTGTACTTCTATTCTGGACCGCAAGAATGGCTTGTCTCGGATGTTGTGCCCTGTGTGCTGCGGTTCCTCGCGCCTACTTGGGCCTGTTGGGGGCTACTCGTGGATCTGGAGTGTGTGTGAGATCGCTCGCTACTGTACAAAGCCATGCCCGTGGACGTCACCGGGCAAAAAAAAAAAAAAAAGAACTTGGGCGCGGCCCGGGCTTCACACGAGGCTCGGAAGGCAGTAGTTAGATGAAGCGAAAAGACTCATTTCCTCAGCTGGCCGAGATCGACAACGGATAGAGAGCAAGCCGAAGCGGGCCTGCTGGCGCGTCTCCTGCTAGAGCAAAGCTGTGGGACGCCGGCGAATGCCAGGTGCCTTGCCCAGAGAAGGCAGAGCTGGGCCATGCAGACGCTCTGCCGTATGCAAAGGCTGCATGTCTGGCGAGTTGCTTTTCCCTCCCAGACTCGAAACATCTCATTCATGTCCCTTCACAACATCGAGACCAACACGAACGTAACGGCGGCTCCCGTCAAACACACACAAACGTGGGAGTGCCGAAGCCTCGTTTCGGTTCAGATCAGGCGGGAAAAGCAAGTGCCTTAGCATGATGGTAGGCTTAGACTCACAGAGGCAGGGCAACTGTTGGATGGAGGGAAGGGTGGTGATCACAGAGTCCTGCCGACGCGCGCGCGCGGTGCATTCTCCATTGGGAACTCTGCGCCGAGACCTTGGGCAGCAGGTAGTGCAGATGTACCTCGCCGGACGGTGACTTGTGGGCGACTCCAGCTACCCGGACCTTAGTGACAGCAAGCACCTGGCACCTGGCACCTGGCTTGCGTGCTCACCCACGCTACAGCTGATAGTTCGAGTCGTAGTGTAGTGGGCGACGGGGGAGGGAGGGAGCAAGGATTGGAGGATTTGCTTCTTTGAAACTCGACGAACGGTAGCCGGGCCCTGCACACAATCTGCATCGTACGATGGGGATTATAGTGCGCACATGCTATAGCCAAGTAAGTACACAGTTAGACTACCGTATGCGGTGGGCTCTCAGCCGAGCTTGACGAGCTCCCACGATGGAAGTGGAGACTCGGAGATCCAAATCTAGATCCGGATCTGGTCTCAAACTAACCACCCCAGCCTGGCCCCCGAATATCCGCCCAGTCGCATTCTGGCAT